AAAGAAAGAAGTCTGAACCTTTTATAAGCTTAAATTCTCTTCAGCTTAAACCGTATATTTTCCCAGTGAAGACTTGTTCATTGAAAGGATTAAAAACCTCCCCTAGAATCAAATTCTATTGCTAGTGGAAACCTGAGAATTATTATCAAAGAGCAGTGTATGTAGGTAACAGATGACTGACAAATGGGAGAAAGGTTCCAGGGAGATGTCAGGGCAGGTGTGAGACATAGTTTAATTATTGTAGAATGCAAAAGAGATAAGCTGCATCTTCTGTAATGTGTCCTAAAAAAATGCAATATAAAACAGGAGTGGAGCCCTAACCAGTTTGGCTCAGGGGATAGAGCGTCAGCCTGTGGACTGAAAGGTCCCAGGTTAGATTCGGTCAAGGGCAAGTACCTTGGTTTTGGGTACATCCCCAAATAAGGAAAACACATGACATTTTTTCTTTATACAAGTACTTTCTCCTATATTCACTAAGGATAGGCAGTGTGCAGGAGGCAGCTGATTGATGTTTCTCTTTCATCGATGTTTCTAACTCTCTATCCCTCTCCCTTCCTTTCTATAAAAAAATCAATAACATATATTTAAACAAATAAACAAACAAACGAATAAACAGGAGTGGAAGGCCATCACTTAGGAGGGACAACCCTGGACGTTATTGAAAATGAAATTAAATACACTGTGATTTTATAAAGTTCTCTGAACCCCCCATAGCCATAGCCAGTTTTACATAGGATGTTTGGAGTAAAAACCTGGAAATGAACACCAGCCTCCTGAGATCGGTCTAAAAGATTCATGAGCCATCCTTCATGCCCACGGAAGATGTTCCTATAGCTTTCAAATACCTGTTGTTGTTGTTGTATAGTTTCCAAGTTAAGTAAATATGATGACTGGTTACATGCAGCTCTCTTTGTTATTGCCACCAGTTTTGACTCTTGCTTTGTCTGGACTAATCAGATGTCTATTTCCTAATATCAGTAAAGTATTACCTAATTTATTTATTCAAACTGAGCTATCTGTTGACTCCCTAGAGCACTACTCACTGGCCAAAATACACTTGTAGGGAGTATTTATTTCTCAGCAACACAGCATTCCCTGCCATCCATACAGTTATATCAGAAGTGGATTTTGCTTCATCAGTTGACGTGTAACAGTGAGTAGTGAAAACGTAGACGTAGAGCCTCTTTCAAGTCTTACCCTCTCTTCAGCATACAATGTATTTATTTCTTTCTCCTCAATTTTCTGTTTTTCTTCCTTTTCTTTTGGACTCAGGGCAAGAATAAGGAAAACACATGACATTTTTTTCTTTATACAAGTACTTTCTCCTATATTCACTAAGGAGATACAAACAATATATGACTGGCCAGTCCCGAGATCCTATATAAAAATCCATCCCACACTCCACTCTTTGCTCCTTGTTTCTGATGCAAAATAATTTGTTCTCTCTCAAGACTGTGCAAGACATACTTAATATAATAAGCAGTTAAAAGGAGTGATTTTTAGAATGTTTTCGTGGGTTGCTTGACACTTTTTCCTCTTTACTCCGAATCAAGAATTCCTGGAATTGGTGCTTTTTGGTGTGTGTGTGTCCATGTGATACAGTATAAATTCTTCCTCACCACACTCCAAAAGTTGAGTTATTCAAGGTTTTTCCTGGAAAGCTTCATAATAGCAAAGTCATAACAGCACTCCATCTATCTCCTGAATGCATTCTTTGTGCCTTACCAGCCAGTCTCCTTTATCCTCACTTCTCAATAGGTGAGGTTGCCTGGACTTCACCTTGAGCCAGGAAAGCTCTAGCAACTTAGTAGGGCCTCAACTGGATCTTTTAATTGGAAACAAAATAACACCCACAAAGCCTTCTCTGGAGGTTGAGATAAACATTCATTGAAACAGTATTTTGGATCCCCCCCCCCCCCGCCCTTTTTTAAGAGTGATCAGCAGGATTGTTAAAATGCACACATTCCAGAAATTCTAATCCTATCAGTCTGTTATAGGCCTAGAATATGAACATTTACCAAAACCCAGGAAATTGTAATACAAGTGATGTTTCTACTCTTACTCAGCAAAATTATAACATCTGACTTTCCTCTATTGATCAAATGATTTAGATTGTTTGTAAAAGAATTAAAGTTTTTTGACATTCAATTTAGACAAAGCCATATATGCAACTTTAACAAATTCATTTTCTAGGTGTGCACAGAAATTTTTTAAAATATATTTTATTGATTTTTTTTACAGAGAGGTAGGGAGAGGGATAGAGAGTTAGAAACATCGATCAGCTGCCCCCTACACATCTCCTACTGGGGACGTGCCCACAACCAAGGCACATGCCCTTGACCGGAATCAAACCTGGGCCCCTTCAGTCCGCTGAGCCAAACCAGTTAGGGCTAAAAAATTTTTAAAAGTACACAACTAACATATGTGTTGGTTCTAAGCCTAGTGTTATTAGAACTTCTGCGATTTCCTCATCTATTTGACATTGAAGAATAGATTTCTGGCCCAGTTGGTGTGGTTCAGTGGTTGAGCATCAACCTATGAACCAGGGATTACAGTTTGATTCCTGGTCAGGGTACATGCCTGGGTAGCAGGCTCAATTCCCAGAAGGGGGCATGCAGAAGGCAGGTGATCGATAATTCTCTCTCATCATTGATGTTTCTATGTCTCTTTTTCCCTCTCCCTCTTTTTCTCTCCATATATATATATATATATATATATATATATATATATATATATATATATATATATATAGCAGGTGGAGCTAATAGAGAAATGCCTATCTGGTCCAATTTTTGAACAGATATGTCTTTAGACTGTCTACTTCCTATTTATATATTGACTTTCTTATTTAGATTTATTTAGGATTTCTGATAAAAATTCAATTGGAAATGTCATAAAAACCTTATAATATCTTGCAACTATATCAGGGTGACATCTCCAAAGTAAAAGCAGTTGGTGTTACAGAGCATATTCCACAATTTATTTGAAATGCCAGACAGATCCCAAAGCCTCACAAGGTTCTTTTAGAGACAACAGATTATTTCTGTTCCAGAAAAAAAAAAGTGCATTTATTGGAGAATTTCCTATTTCTATAATAATAAAAATATGAAATAATAAGAAACTGTATCAGTAAAGTGATTGAAGGCATGGGCTCTGTGGCCAAATAGTCTGGCATCAAATCCTGCCAGGTCTGCCAGCTGGGCAACCATGCACCTCCTTTACCTTATTTTCCTTGGTTCTATGTTTGGATTCATGATCATACCTCCCTCATGGGGTTTTAGGAAAAGCTGTTTAACCTTTTAGTATCTTAGTTTCCTCCTCTTTAAAACAGTGATAAAACCTCTAGTAATGTTTGGTTGCTGTTAAGTGTAAATTTTAATATATGCACTAGAGTCCCAGTGCACGGATTTGTGCTCTGGTGGGAGGGAAGGGCCCTCAGCCCGGTCTGCGCCCTCCACCAGTCCGGGACCCCTCAGGGAATGTCGACTGCTGGATCAGGCCTGAGCTGGCAGTCAGACATCCCTCTCACAGTCCGGGGCTCTCACAGTCCGGACACCCTCACTCATTACCGCCCACCTGCAGTGGAGACAGGAGAGGCTGCCGCTCCCATTGCTGCACTCACCAGCCATGAGCCCGGCTTCTTGCTGAGCGGCCTTCCCCCTGTGAAAGTGCACTGACCCCCAGGGATCAGCTCCTGCATTGAGTGTCTGACCCCTGGTGGCTGGTGCGCATCATAAGTGACTGGTCCTTCTGCAGTTCAGTCAATTTGCATATTAGGGTTTTATTATATAGGAAGCTATTTAGTACGGCATGGGTTGAGACACATGACATTTAAAAGGTGCTTGGGCCGAGACCGGTTTGGCTCAGTGGATAGAGCGTTGGCCGCGGACTGAGGGGTCCCAGGTTCGATTCCGGTCGAGGGCATGTACCTGGGTTGCAGGCACGTCCCCAGTGGGAGATGTGCAGGAGGCAGCTGATCGATGTATCTCTCTCATCGATGTTTCTAACTCTATATCTCTCTCCCTTCCTCTCTGTGAAAAATCAATAAAATATATTAAATAAAATAAAATAAAAATTATAAATAAAAAAAAATAAAAAAAATAAAAAAAATAAAAATAAAAGGTGCTTGGCATATATTGAACACTCAGTAAGTGTTAGTAATTACTATAAAATACTAAGAAATTGAAAAGTGTTTTATTTGTTTTTACTTGTAGGTGAATAAGTATGGACAACAAAGACACATATTTGCTGAACTTTAAAGGCTATAATTTTGAATCTTCTTTCGTTGATGCTGACTTTCTAGAAAATCTAGATGATTTTGAAATTAGAGATGATGATGTCTTCATAATTACATTTCCAAAATCTGGTAAGTTTGAGGAGTGGACTACCTGCTATCAGTTTTCACTCTGGTTTGGTAATACATGTGTACAAATGAGCCCTTTTCCAGACATTAACAGTAGCCCAGCCTACATTTAGAGCACCATTAGGATTTTTAATAAAGTTAAACAAATCTCAAAGTTTTACTATAAAAGGTCATTAAAATGCATATATTGTTGTTTTTTAAGGCACCTCGAAAGAAACCAAATATTGAGCCAAAGCAGATACTAGGTCAATGCTGACCTGTTAGCTTTCTCTGAGAATGGAAGAAAACAAATTAAAAAACCCAGCAGGCTTTTGGTTAGCAGCATCTCTCAGTCAGAACTAATTCCTAATATGCTTTTCAAGTATTCTAATTGCTTTTATTTCCCTATAATAACGAAATACTTTTGAACTAAAGTAAATTGTCCTCAAATTTTACATCCCCCTTAAAAGCTTATCTTTTATATGTGCTTTTTAGAACACAGGGTGATTGGTGTTCTTGAATCAATGTTGTACAAGTGGTTAATATTGCTCAGAGATACATTGGAGTCAAAGTCAACACAAAACAGTCATTCCTGATTTTCATGAAAGTGCTCCAGTCCCTCCCTTTTACCATTGACTTTGAAACTGAGGACCCTGTTTACTTTCCCCAAATTAGTAATACAATGCCTTTTCCCTGGGTTTTTCTACTCTGCAAAATGTGTCAGCACGTTTGATATCAGGTGTTTTTTTGTTTTGCTCCCTTAGATGTTGGTGGTGCCCGAGTTTGCTTAGTTTTAGGTTAAGCAGCCCATAAGAATTTTTCCTTTACCCTTAATCCAGACTAAGTATTTGGCACACCACACACCAGTCCTTAGGCCAATCTGCTGGGTTCTTACTCTTCTTAGAGGGTATATTAGTGCTCTCCGGATTTACCATAAATTTTATCAAATCTACTGTGTCTATTAAAATCTACTCACTTGAGTAGCAATGATTGCAAGATTATTGACACCTCACATTCTTTTAGAACATTGATTATATATTCATGAACATAGGTGCAAAAATCCTAAACCAAATAAATATAAGCAAAATAAATCTAGCAATGTAAAAAAAAATACCATTGTGACCCGGTGGCTTTATTTCAACATTGATTTAAACATATATGAATGCAGTTCACCCACATTACTAGAGCATAGAAGAAAGCCTGAATTTTCAGCTCAACAGGTGCAGAACAAGCATTTAATAGAATTCAGCATACATTCCTAAGGGAGAGTATTAGCAAACAAGGGAGAAAGTCAACTTCTTTAACCTGATGAATAGACTCTAACAAAAACTACCATAGACATCAAATGCAATAGGGAAACATTTAAAATCAAGTATGAGACAAGAATGCCCATCAGTACTTTCATTTAGCACTGTATTTGGGGACCAATAGAATGTTAAAAAGAAAAGTTTAAGGGAGTCTTGAGCTCTAAACTGTCTCTATGTCCAAAATGCAAAGCTTTAAGAAAGTCTATAGAAGGAGAAACAGAGACAGCTGCAGAAAATCACACGAACAGAACTTACATGAATCACAGGGAACAAAAGAGCTGAAAGGTTAATCTAAATCACTACTATCACAACTCTTTTTGAGTAAAAATGGAACTTAGAACACCTAATTTTATTTTTACTAATTTTAATGTAAAACACAAAGAAAAAAAGTTGGGCACATTTCCTTGGCATATTTGGAGTGGTTAAAAAGAAAGAAAAAGCTCCAAATAGTTTTGAGATAGATGGCATAATTATAGACATTGTAAATAAAAAATTAATTCAGGGTCGGAAATGAAATTATTTCTTTTTACAGGTACCATCTGGACTCAGCAGATATTAAGCTTGATTTATTTTGAGGGTCATCGTAACAGAACTGAAGACTTGTCAACGCTTGATAGAATCCCCTTCTTTGAATACAATATACGCAAAACAGACTTTCTCAACAGACCGTCTCCTCGCCTCTTCTGTTCCCACCTCCCGTATTATTTAGTACCAAAAGGTCTCAAGAGCAAAAAAGCTAAAGTAAGTCATAGAAATAGCTTATGGACCTTTGGCACAAACAAAAATACTTTCTTCAAATATTTTTTTCCAGCCCCACTCATCCACAGTCTTTTAAATGCAATTATTATAAAACTTGATACTGTTTTACACATTAAATATATATATGGAATTATAAGTATATACATAAATTGGGTCATCCCACACATTGCTTGTAGTGTGATTATCTAGTATACAGCAACATTTCTTTGATGACAGCACATAAAATTCTATTTTTTTTAATGGTTTAGTAGAATTTATTGTATGGCTCTACAATGTTTAGTGTATTGATGGATAGGTAAGTTGCAGCAAATGTATATATTACATCTCAATACACATTGTTTATCTTTTTTTTTAATCCTCACCCAAGGATATTTTCCCATTGATTTTTAGGGAGAAAGGGAGAGATAGGGACGACAGAGAGAAATATTGATGTGAGAGAAACACATCAATTGGTTTCCTCCTGCATGAGCCCTGACCAGGGTCCAGGCCAGGAGGAGCCTGCAACCTAGGTACCTGCCCTTGACCAGAATCGAATCTGGGACACTTTGGTCTGCAGTCCCACGCTCTATCCACTGAGCCAAACAGGCTAAGGCCAAACTTTTTAGTGTTTAATATAAATTATAAAATCATATCTCAAACTAATCTGAGTTTGCATTTTACTAATCAATAATGAGATTAAGCACTTTTTGATATGTTTATTGGTCATAATTATTTCTTATTCTGTGAAATTATTAAGATTTTTGTCCAATTTTTAAATTTCATTGTCTCTTTCTTAATGATTTTTTTGTATATATTCTGGATACTAATAATTTTTGGTTATATGTGTTGTATTTCTCATATTTTGTTGTTTTTTATAACTTCATGCTATATATTTTGATTAATCGCATTCTTTAAAACTTAATACAATTTCATTGATCAATTTTTATTTTAACAGAAATAAATTTTTCCTGTTTAGGAAATCTTTTTCCTCTCCGAGACCAGAAATATATTCTTTAAAGATGTCAAATATTGCTTTCATATTTAAATCCTTAATCCATTTGTAAATGATTTTTTGGTCTGGTGTGAGGTATGAAGTAGAATTCCAGTTTTATACTATACTAGAGGCCTGGTGCACGAAATTTGTGCCCTGGGGGGTCGGGAAGTCCCTCAGCCTGGCCTGCGACCTCTCCCTGTCCAGGTGCCCTCGGGGGATGTTCAACTGATGGCTTAGTCGGCAGCAACATTGCGCTTGCCAGCTGTGAGCCCGGCTTGTGGCTGAGTGGTGCTCCCCCTGTGGGAGCGGACTGACTACCAGGGGGCAGCTCCTGTGTTGAGCGTCTGCCCCTTGATGGTGAGTGTGTGTCATAACGACTGGTTGTTCCGCTGTTTGTCGATTTGTATATTAGTTTTTTATTATATAGGATGGATAATTATTTGTTTCAACATCACCTGTTAAGTAGTTTTTCCTTTTTTATCTTGGCGTTTTGTCAAATGTCACTTAAAACTTACAGAGGGTACATTGAAACAATTTCTTTCTTTTTTAAAAAATATAGTTTTATTGATTTTTTACAGAGAGAAAGGGAGAGGGATAGAGAGTTAGAAACATCGATGAGAGAGAAACATTGATCAGCTGCCTCCTGCACACCCCCTACAGGGGATGTGCCTGCAACCAAGGTACATGCCCTTGACTGGAATCGAACAAGGGACCCCTCAGTCTGCAGGTCGATGCTCTCTCCACTGAGTCACACCAGTGAGGGCAGAAACAGTTTCTATGCAGGGTAATTTGTAATATTAACCAGCCTTACAAATAAATAATTTTACTTTAAAAATTATTTCTATATGCTTGTGTATGTGAAATGTTATGTGAATAAAGTTGATTACTTCAAAAGTCTTTTTAATAGAAAACAAAAATGGCTATAACCTAAATTTTCATAATAGTAGGCTGGATGAAACAAATTATTTTGTATTCATATAGTGACATATGTTGGTGTGAAAAAACAACAACAAAAACAACAACAACCTCTAAGGACAACCAAGAATTGTTAAAATTGTTTTCCTATACCCCCTGCAGATTATTTACGTCTACAGAAATCCCAAGGATGTTATGACTTCATACTTTCATTTTTCAAATCTGGTGGTCCGGTTTGAAGCTGGGAATGATATGGAACATTTCATGAAAAGGTTTCTAGATGGAAATGGTAACTATGAATTTATGCATTCAACTTGTTTATGAGGCCATGTTGCCATTTAGCCAAATTTTCAAACTTGGGGAACATATTTTAAGGAAATAAAGAAGAGTAACGATAGAAGCTGGATGCACATAAGTGGTTACTGCTCCGTTAATTTAATTTGCCACCCAATGGCCTTTCTATTCTCACCAGGACCACTTTGGGGATTGCTATGGTTGCAAAGGCATATTGTTTAAGAAACAGTTTGACCAGATCATAAAAGAACTGCAATGGTGTACCCATTCAAAGTGGACGTAGTGTTTGTGTTCTGTCATGGACTTATGGTAGGCTTTATATGGCAGCGGTGCAATATTCATCTCAACACTGAGGAGGATAGGTTGATGGAAGAGGCTTGTGGAATGTGGAACTGGGGCTCTCACTTATTTAGAAGATTAGATTCAGGTTCTGTCTTATAGATATCTGAAGTTGCTATCCAGACATCTTAAAATAGATAATAAAAGGAGAAATAAAGGCAGATTTTCAGGTGGAAGAAGTAAGAAAGTAAGGAGCTTCCCTTCAATCTTCACAATGAGTTGCTTGGGCTTCTTATTTTCTCCTTGGCTGCTTTCCCTACATGCATAGGAGAGGCAGATTTCCATTAAAATCATGAAATTGTTTCCCAAAGCACCATTTTTTACCAGGTAACATAGATGTCCAGTGGTGGGGGCTGTACTTACCTTTCGGGGGATTCCAGAACAGAAAAGAAAGTCTCTACTTTGCTGTTTGATAAGTGCAACATCTTACCTTGTCAATTCCCCTCCCCCCCCCCACCCCCCACCCCAGTGGTAGGAAGCCGTTGGTTTGATCACGTCAGAGGCTGGTATGAGCACAGACATGACTTCAGTATTCTGTTTATGATGTATGAGGAAATGAAAAAGGTAAGAGGTGAAGGTTATTTTTAAAAATTATTTCTTTGAAACCCTTTTTGATTTTGGTTTAAATGAACCACATTTTCCTAGTTTTCTTGGTACCTAACTACTTCTCATGCTTTTTTAGGGGGTTCTCATTTCCTGCCCGGCCCTTAATTATTGGTTTCCTCAGGGCTCTCTTCCCACTGTACACAGTCATTTTTTGTGGTTCCTTTTCATGCACCCATCTGTGTCTCTAAGGACAAACTCACATGACTAGTGATTGAAAAAAGAGAAAAGACACTTCGAAACAGTGGGGCCAACCCTGGCTGGTGTGACTATTTGGTTAGTTGTCATTCTATGCACTGAAGGGTTGCTGGTTTGATCCCCAGGCAGGGCCTGGGTTGCAGGCTTGATCCCTGGTAGAAGAGCAATGTTTCTCTCCCTCTCTATTCCTCTCTCTCTAAAAATCAACAAAAATATTAAACAAACAAACAACAAACAAAAACAACCCTGGGGCGAGAAACCACTAAGATTTGGCCCATTAGTCAGAGGTAATTGTGTGCCCAGTGATGCGAGTTCTTTGTGTTTTGTTGTTGTTTTTATTAAAGAGAATCTTGAAATGTAGCTTTCATGGAAATCACATAATATTTACATGTTGGCATCCAATGAAAACTGTCTTAATGCATTGTGTAAACCAAACCAAACACATTTGAAGTTCACTATTTTGTGATCTATGGTTGATATGTTGACTACCTGCTACATATCTTACTTACTCATTAATTCAAAATTTTAAAATGCCTATTAGGTGACAGACCCTAAATCATAAGACAAAGACAACTGAACCCTTTAGTTATAGAACTTATAATCCAACAGGGAAGATAAGTATTCATTAAGTAGGTATATATACTTCAATCCTGTGATAACTGTTATCAAGGAAAGGTGCAGGTATGATAAGATAGTACATGAAATATACTGATCTGGTATAGGTAATAGGCAATTGTTTCTGGAAAAGTAATATGACAACTTCAAGCTAATAGATATGAGTTGGCAGAGAAGTAAAAGACAAGTCTAAGCCAAGAAAAGAGAATGTGCAAATTATCTGAAGCCTCAGGTGCATGATAAGGAAGAAAGAAGTTAAAGAGCAAGGTGGAGGGAATGAAAGATTAAGATAGAGAGGTGTATACAGTAGGAGCCAGACCATGCAAGGTCTTTGTTAGTGATGGTAATTTCTTCATCTTAAAAGCAATGATGAGCTTTTTAACAGTTATTAGAAGAGTAGCATATGATAGAATTAGTATCTTTATAATGTAATTCCCTCTAATGGGTTTAAAAGTGATAATCCTATCTAATAAAAGAGAAACATGGTAATTAGCCGTATCTCAGCTACCCTTCCCATTGGCTAATCAAGGCAATATGCAAATTAACTGCCAGCCAAGATGGTGGCCGGCAGCCAGGCAGCTTGAAGTGAACAAGAGGCTTGCTTGCTTCAGTGACGGAGGATTCCAACGTTCCCCGCCTGCCTTGCCGGCCTCTGAGCTTGCAGTTTGAAACATTGTTACAAATATAGAAGCTAAACAAAACCCCAGAAACCTGCTTTCAGCCAGCCGGGATCTCAGAGCTGGAGTTGAAACAGTGTTTCGATTATAGAACCCAAACAAACCAGATACCTGCTTTCAGCAGCTGAGACCTAAGTGCTGGAGCAAAGCCTCAGAGCTAAAGCTGGCCCAGAATTAAAAAAGAAAAAAAAGAAAAAAAGGAGCGGTTGGGAGCTTCAGTCACCCGCCAGCCTGAAAACAGCCATCATCCCCTCACCCAGGCTGGCCAGGCACCCCAGTGGGGACCCCCACCCTGATCCAGGACACCCTTCAGGGCAAACCAGCCAGCCCCCACCTGTGCACCAGGCCTCTATCCTATATAGTAAAAGGGTAATATGCCTCCCAGAACTGGGATCAGCGGAGCTGAGAGGCCTCCCGGCACCGGGATCAGTGGGACAGGGGGTAGCGCCCAAACCCCCTGATCGCCCTGCGGCTCTGTGTGTGACAGGGGGCGGGGCCACAACCTCCTTATCCGCCCTGCTCTGTTCGTGACAGGGGGTGGCGCCGCAACCTCCCCATTGACCCTGCCTTGAGTGTGACAGGGGGCGGTGCCCCAATCCCCCAATCGGCCCTACTCTGAGCGTGACTGAGGGTGGCATCGCAACCTCCCGATCCGCCCTGCTCTGTGCATGACAGGGGGCGATGCCCCAACTCCCCAATCGGCCCTGCTCTGAGCCCGAGCAGGGGCTGCACCTAGGGATTGGGCCTGCCCTCTGCCACCCGGGAGCAGGCCTAAGCCAGCAGGTCGTTATCTCCCAAGGGGTCCCAGACTGCGAGAGGGCACAGGCCGGGCTGAGGGACCCCCCCCCACCCCCCCACACCCAGTGCACAAATTTTTGTGCACCGGGCCTCTAGTAGTAAATATAGGCAAACTAGTTAGAGACCATTTTGGTAAACGACTGTTTATTGTGAGTATAAATAAATGAAATGATTTGGGGATGTTGGTTTTGTATCTTACAACTTTGCTGAGTTTGTTTAATAGTTCTAACAGGGTTTTTGTTTGTTTTTTGTAGATCTTTCGTGTTTTCTATGTATAAAATCATGTTGTATGTGAACACATAATTTTACGTCTTCCTTTAAATTTGGATGTCTTTTTCTTGTGTATTTACTCTGGCTAGAACTTCCAGTTTAGGCTGAATATAAATGGGGAGAATTGGCATCCTTGCCTTGTTCCTGATCATTTGTTGTTGTAGTTGTTAATCCTCACCTGATGATATTTTCCCATTGATTTTTAGGGAGAGTGAAAGACAGAGAATGGGACAGACAGAGAGAAATATTGATGTGAGAGAAACACATTGATTATTTGCTTAGTGCATGTGCCCTGACCGGGCCCAGATTGGGGAGGAGCTTGTAATTGTGGTACATGCCCTTGACTGGAATCAAACCCAGGACCCTTCAGTCTGAAAGCTGAGGCTCTACCCCCTGAGCCAAACCAACTAGGGCTGTTCATCTTTGCATCCAAGGAGTAAATCCCACTTGTTCATAATGTATAGACCTCTTAACGCATTACTGAAATTGTTTTGCTAGTGATTTCTTGAGGATTTTTGTATCTTATCTTACATAAATAATATTGGTTTTTAGTGTTCTTTTTCCTGTAGTGTTCTCATTTGGCTTTGGTATCAGGGCAATGCTGGCCTTATAGAATGAGTTTGGAAGTATTTCCTCCTCTTTCATTTTTTTGAAGAGTTTGAGGATCGGTGTTAAGTCTTCTTTCATTTGTGTTTGGTAGAAATAACCAATGAAGCCACCAAACTTGGACTTTCCTTTTTTGTAGCCATTGTATTTAATTACTTGCTTTACTCTTTCCCTCATGAAATTATAAACTCTTAACAAGCACACATAGCATATTATTGTTCTCTTAAACTTCTCCAGCACCTATCACAGTTTTTGAAACATAGCATTCCTAAAAGTGCCAGTTGAATGAATGAATGAGTGAATGAAGGTGAGTTGTCCTTATAAAATCAAACAGTAGAAAGCTCTAACAAAGCTGACAAGCGGAGCACTCATTTTCATAGAAGGAATAGGGAAGTAATGTATCTTTGTCAAACTTTAGACTTACAATAAGTCCAATCACCTTCAGTTTTCCAATATGTGATGAAGATGTTGGGATGTAACTCGTGCATTCTTTGTAAGCTGAATAGTTTCTCATACCCACAATTCTTTCAGGATCGCAGAAGTTCTGTGCTTAAAATCAGCCGTTTTCTTGAGAAAGAACTGGGTGAAGAGGATGTGGAAGCTATTGTGGAACAGGCTACATTTCAGAACATGCAGTCTGACCCCAGAGCCAATTACGATGAGATTCTAAAATATGAAGTTGGGAAAAGAACAGATGAGGGACATTTTCTGCGCAAAGGTGATGCTCAGGGGTTTTAGAAGCAAAAGTGTTGGGAGTTCCGTGATTGCGCGGCCCCTACACTAATGAAGGCGTGTTTTTACCGCGTCTCTCTAAGTACTGTCATGTCATTTGGAACCTGGAGAGAATCAAGGATCTTAACTGCCAATGGCCCTGAAAAGTATCCCAGGAAAGTACACAATGGTTCAGTACATAGTCTAACACTTGAACCTAATTAATCAATATTGCATTCCTTCCTTTTAGTCTACGTGTCCCTACTCTTTAAAATTGGTTAGCAAGTCTTACCTGAAGATAATGTATACGTGTGACCAGGACAGCTCCAATTATTGTTTGTTTGTTTTTTATTTCTCCTAGAACATTCTAGAGGATAACCCAACATGTTTTTTTGTTGTGGGGGAGGGAGTTTGAGTTAGTGATTTCCTCATGTGTCATATTTCTTCAATGTAAAAAGTAGATTGCTACTTCTTGAAACCAATATGCTATGAATTGAAATATTCAATAACAACATGCAATTAATATTTTTAAAAACATATTTTATTGATGTTTTACAGAGAGGAAGGGAGAGGGATAGAGAGTCAGAAACATCGATGAGAGAGAAACATCGATCAGCTGCCTCCTGCACACTCCCCACTTGGGATGTGCCCGCAACCATGGTACATGCCCTTGGCCGGAATTGAACCTTGGACCCCTGAGTCTGCAGGCTGATGCTCTATCCACTGAACCAAACCAGTTAGGGCAATGCAATTAATTTTTATTGTGCTTCTATGACATGCCAGGAATTAAGAATGAAGATATTTTCCCCCTGATACTTCTTAATTTCAATTCAAAAAAATTTTTTTGATCTTTTAATGTACATTTTTCTAGAACAAAATTTGTACTTCTTTTATTCATATGTTATTCACTAATTTATCCCTAACTTAGCATTTGATGATGGATATTTATACTTAATTAATGAAGACCTTCTTGAAATTGCTCTTGATATTGCTATTTTTTTAAAAAGTGTTTCTTTTTTGTCCCATTTATTATCAGCTTCTAAGTCTCATTGCTTAACTAGACCAAAATACAAAGTAATTCTCATGCCCATAAATAGCTGGCTAACTGTTCCAAATGCCAATGATAATGTTTAAATAAGAAAATTTGATAGTTGAAGATGGCAAGTAATCTTAATTCAAAAATTGGCTTAATGACAGTTTCTAAGTTCCATCAAGTAAACCTGAAGCAATGACAGCTCTGAACACACTCTCTGACCTTGATTTCATTACTTGAAAATCTCTGGGTTTCATTTTTTTAAACTTTTAAAATGTTTTTATTGATTTCAGAGAGGAAGGGAGATGGAGGGAGAGATAGAAACATCAATGATGAGAGAGAATCATTGGTTGGTTGCCTCCTGCGTGCCCCACACTGGGGATTGAGCCCACAACCTGGGCATGTGACCTGACCGGGATTCAAACTGTGACCTCCTGGTTCATAGGTCAACACTCAAGTACTGAGCCCAGCGGGCCGGGCTTTTTTTTCAACTTCATTTATTTTATCTTTAGCTTTTTATTTATTTATTTTTACTTCTTAAATTATAGTTGAGATTCAAGATTATTTTATATTGGTTTCAGGTATGCATCGTAGTGGTTAGACATTTATATAATTTACAAAGTGATCCCCCCAATAATTATAATACAAACCTGGAACCATACATAGTTATTACAATATGATTGGCCATATTTCCTATACTGTATTTTAAATTCCATGACTGTTTTGTAATTACCAGTTTCTACTTCTTCATTCCTTCAGTTTTTCAATTTTAAAAATGAAGAAATGCTGATATTGTGGAGTTGTGTTAAGAATTAAATTACATGCTAGATATAGTTTCCCAAGTATGGTGCCTGGCATTTATATTTTTTTAAATTTTGTATATATACTTTCTCTTTATTTTATTCTTTCCCTGTCCCCATTTATTCCCCTATCCCATCTTCCACCTCTACCCACCTCTCTTTCTCTCTCAATCACCACACTGTTGTCCATGTCCATGAGTTCTCTTTTTTTTCTTAATCTCTCCACCCTACACTCCCAATACTTACCCGATACCAGAGTTGTCTGTCTGCTCTCTATCTATGAATCTATCTATTTTGCTTGTTCGTTCAGTTTGTTCATTAAATTCCACATATGAGTGAAATGATATGGTACTTGTATTTCTTTGGTGCCTGGTATTTAGTAAAATATATGAAAAAATTCTAACCTAGTCATCTATTTTATTTTTGTTATACCATCTCAATAAAGGTTATAATTTAATGGTAGTGGTTGGTGAAAGCATAATAGCTAAGGAAAGTGAACTTTAAAAGTGTTTTACAGTTTGTTTCTTAGTTCATTTCTGTATAAGGAAACATGAAGTATCAAACCCATGGAGAACTACCAGATATTAAGCGTGGCTTGAAGAGGAGATGAAAGTGGGTGGGAAGAAACTCTTGCCCTGATAGTGCCACCTACTCACCCAGGTGCTGATCATGTGCTTATTTCTAGGTACCGTTGGAGACTGGAAACATCACTTGACAGTGGAGCAAAATGAAAGATTTGACAAAATATTCCAAAGGAATATGAAAGATTTGCCTTTGAAGTTCATCTGGGATTTAAACGAGGAGTAAAATCAGTGTAAAAGAATTCTAAAAATATCTAACTAGAGAGGCTATTTTAATATACACATTAATTTGTGCTTCTTATGCAAATGTTAATTATAAAACTTTATTAATAAAAAATTAGTAAACTGTGCTTAGATTAGTTGCCAGGAGTTTGATAAACACTTTGAAATTTCAAATATTAAAATGGTTTAGGAGATAGACTGCATTGATATCCTGTATTATAAATTGAAAAACAGGAAGCATGTAATAGGAATTATAAATGATCTGAGTTTTCTGTAGTGTGTATTTTTTCTTTACCTACAATTAAATTGAGTATCAATGAAACATTAAAATTTATTGTATTATTGTCATTAAGTATTAATGACAATAATAAAATAAATAAGGTCAATAGTGTAAACTTTAGTCCAGAGGTGAATCTTACCCCAAAGACAAAGAGTATCATAGCGTCATCATATAGAGAAGATATTAAAAATCCAAGCATTGTTTTAACTCCAGACATGGTATACATAGTGTGTATGCTAACTTTACATTTTTAGTTAACCAGGTCACATCTCTATCAACTCTTATTGAATTATAAATTAAATATATTTTGTTTTATTTTTTATATTCAAAGTTTAGACCAATTTGCTAGAGCATCCTTTTGAAACAATTAGGTTCCCAAACAGTGCCTGACAGTTGACAAATCACAGTTGAGTGTCTCACCAAGGCAAGTCACAAGAAATTCTGGGAGAGAGAGAAGACTTCAGCAAAACCCATCTACAGGGAGAAGATTTCAAAGATCGTTCTGATAACCTTATTGAGAAAACGTTTGTTTTTCTGTCCTTCCTAGAGTGTAGGTAACCATGTCATATTTTGCTCTAAGGTCTTCGTTCTTGTTTTTAAAAGTAACCATTTCACTATGGATTCCACACCCTCATTAGTCAGCTGCCTTTCAAGAAACTTGCTGATTTTTAGTTCAGTGCTTCTGGGGTTCTGAAGTGGTTTAAGTTGATCACAGATGAATCCCATGATGGAGAGAAGACAATGTACATACCAGAGTAAAGGCCCACAATGTAACAACTGTGTGAATAAGGACTCTATCAGGCAGGTACTGCTCAGAGATGTAGGAGTGTTTCTAGTTATAGTTTAAACAAGTTGGGGAAGATGTTCAGGAATCCAGTAGAAACATGAGACAAAACTCTTTTCACTACACAGTCCATTCATTTCTGCCTACCACTGTGTTCATGAGGCCTACCCTGACTACCCTATTTAATAATGCAACCGCCCCAGCACGCCTTCAGACACTTCCTGTGATTACTAGTTTTCTACATTACCTTTTTATTTCCAGAACATTTATCACCTATCAATACACTAAGCAATGTGATTATGTACTATATACATTGTTTAGTGTCTGTCTTTCCCCACTAGTATGTTAGTTCTAGGAAAACAGGGATTTTAAAAAAATCTATTTTGTGCCCTAACCAGTTTGGCTCAGTGGATAGAGCATTGGCCTGTGGACTGAGGTGCCCCAGGTTTGATTCCGGTCAAAGGCATGTACCTTGGTTGCAGGCACATCCCCAGTAGGGGGTGTGCAGGAGGCAGCTGATCGATGCTTCTCTCTCATTGATGTTTCTAACTCTGTATCCCTCTCCCTTCCTCTCTTTAAAAAAATCAATAAAATGTATTTTTTAAATATCTATTTTGTTCAATGCTTAAAATGCTATCTGGAATGTAACAGTCATTGGGTAAATTTGTGGATGAAAGAATAAATAAATTGTTGCCTAACGTAAAGGGAAAAGTGAACGCCTAAGAGTAAATCACACCTATGTACTAAAAAAGAGAGACTCATGGACACAGACAACAGTATGGTGATTGCCAGAGGAAGGGGGGAGGTAGAAGGTAAAGGGGGAATAAATGATGATGGAAGGAGACTTGACTTGGGGTGGTAAACACACAATACAATATACAGATGATGTATTATATAATTGTATACCTGAAACCTGTATAATTTCATTAACCAATGCCACCCCAATAAATTCAATAAAAATAAAACAAAAACAAAATAAAGGACTTTCTAATCATTTCACTCACTGATAACCTAAAAAAAACTTCTATCTAAAAAGTCCTTAGGAAAGTATATTTTAAAAGTATGTTCTTGGTCAGTCTCAAATGGTCATATACTATGTGATTACATTTATTTAACACTCGAGGCCCAGTGCACAAAACTTTGTGCACTCAGCGGGGGGGCGGGGGGGGGCGTGCCCTTCAGCCTGGCCTATGCCCTCTTGCAGTCTAGGACCCCTTGGAGGATGTCCACCTGCTGGCTTAGGCCCGCTCTCTTAGGGACTGGACCCAAGTGGCAGTCAGACATCGCTCTGGCAGGCCGGCAGCCCTCCGGGAATGTCCACTTTCCAGCCGAGAGCAGGCCTAAGCTGCAGTCGGGCATCCTTAGCGCTGCTGAGGAGGCGGGAGCGGCTCCCACCACCACCGCTGTACTGGCATCCATCAGCCTGGCTTGTGGCTGAGCAGAGCTCCCCCTGTGGGAGCGCACTGACCACCAGGGGGCAACTCCCGCATTGAGCATCTTCCCCCTGGTGGTCAGTGTGTGTCATAATGACCAGTCATTTCCAGTCGTTCTGCTGCTAGGGTCAGTTTGCATATTACCCTTTTATTACATAGGATATAGGCCTGGTGCATGGGTGGGGGCCTGCTGGTTTGCCCTGAAGGGTGTCCTGGATCAGGGTGGGGGTCCGCTGGGGTGCCAGGCCAGCCTGGGTGAGGGACTGATGGGTGTTTGCAGGCTAGGCACACCCCCTTCAGGGTGGGGTCCCCACTGGGGTGCCTGGCCAGCCTGGGTGAGGGGCTGATGGCTGTTTGCAGCTGGTCACACCCCCTTCAGGGTGGGGGTTTCCACTGGGGTGCCTGGCCAGCCTGGGTGAGGGGCTGATGGCTGTTTTCAGGCTGTTCAAGCCCCCCCAGTGGGAACCCTCATCCTATGGAGGTTTGGCCAGCCTAGGTGAGGGGCTGATGGCTGTTTTCAGGCTGGCCACACCCCCTTTAGGGTGGGGGTCCCCACTGGGGTGCCTGCCCAGTCTGGGTGAGGGACTGAGGGCCGTTTTCAGGTTGGCCAAGCCCTCTGGCGATGGAAGTTCCCAGCCTCTATTTTTTCTTTTCTTTTTTTTTTTTATTCTGGGATTTATTTACCTTCTATAATTGAAACTTTGTAGCCTTGAGAGGAGCTCAGAGCTGGCCAGGGCAGGCGGGAGGGAAGCTTGGCTTCCTCCATCACCAGGGGCAACCCACTCCTGCTTGCTCCAGCTCAGGGCCACAGCTGGCTGAAAGCAGGTATCTGGGTGCCGGGAGCCGGTCCATGCTTGCTGTTTCAAGGGACCTGGCATATATGGCATACTGTTCTTAATATGTTTGCTCACCTTCTTGGCACTATGTGTTTTAACCAAGGTCTCTGAGAAAGGTTGTTTCCCCAGGTAGGGATTTTCCCCTGAAGTTAGGGAGGGAACAAAACCTCTTAACTAGTGCCAGGTGGGTAATTAATCACTTTAACTACGAACAATCATGCTTAAGCTACATAATCTTTACTCCCTGGAATGGAGATAAGAAACGCCCTAACCTTTGTAATAGAGATTGATAGGATTGAATCAACTGGTATAAATACAGATGTAACAAGACAGTAAGACACAGAACTTAGAATACGGAACCAAGAGAGACGGAACCTAGGCACAGAACCTACACAGAACGTTCTCTAGAGACAGAAGAACTTCGCTGGAGAGAACATGGCAAAAGATCCTGGACAGAAACTGGCCTCAGAACGTAGAGACAGAACCTAGCGAGAGAACATGGCAAAAGATCCTGGACTGAACCTGACTACAGAAATTGGCAAGAGAACCTGACTAGAACCTGGTGACTGAACCTGGCTGGATAACCTGGACAGAACCTGGCTGGAGAACCTAGCGAGGGAACATGGCTACAGAACCTGGCTGGAGGACCTGGAGAACCTGCCAGGAGAACTTCTCTATGCTGATCAATAGAACCTGGCTGGAGATCCTAACCAGAACTTTGCTGGAGATCCTGACCAGAACTTGGCTAGAGATCCTGGCTAGGCTGCTGATCAACTGAACGCTGTCTCCATGTCATTCCTTCTTCGCCGACTCCGTCCACACCTTTGGGGACCCCTGGACCTGCTGGGGTTGGACCCCGGCATCTGGGGTTTATTTACCTTCTATAATTGAAACTTTGTTGCTTTAAGTGGAGCTCAGAGCCTGGCCGCGGCAGGTGGGAAGCTTGGCTTCCTCCATCATTGGGGCAACCAAGCCTCCTGCTTGCTCCAGCTCTGTGGCTGCCGACCGCCATCTTGGTTGGGTTAATTTGCATATAATCACTCTGATTGGCCGATGGGCGTGGCTTAAGGCATAGTGAAGGTATTGTCAATTTGCATGTTTGTCTTTTATTAGTGTAGATTCTTGAAATAAAATTGAAGAGATGGAGAACAGATTACTAGTTGCCAGAATTGTGGTGGTGATTACTATACATGCGAGAAAATTGCATTGAACTATACCCACAGACACACACATACACAAGTGCTTGTAAAACTGCCGAACTCTGAATAAGCTCTGGGAACCATGAATGTCAATTTCCTGATAGGGATCATGTGTTGTAGTTATGCAAAATGTTACCATGAGGAAGGGAGTGGGAGAGAGAAACATCAGTGATGAGAGAGAATCATCTGTTGGCTGCCTCTTGCATAGCCCCTACCGGGGACTGATCCTAGAACCCAGGCATGTGCCCTGACTGGGAATTGAACCATGACCTCCTGGTTCATAGGTCGATGCTCAACCACTGAGCCATACTGGCAGGGCTAGTATAGAGATTTTAAGAGTATTCTCAATTCCCCTCTTTTGTCTCTTATTACATTACTGTCATCATTTAATTTGTCTATAAGCTATATTCATTCAATACATTGTAATTCTAGTTTATCTTTTATTTTGTTTTTGCATGAATTTAAAGAGTTCTAATCTGGGCAATCTGACTTCAAGGAGTCCCTGAACCAGCAAACATTACTTGCAACATATTGCCTGCATGCACCCATGTGTATTTTGGGGAAGAGTAAAGGTCCCCAGCTTTTATGAATTATTGAAGGGTTCTGTGCTTCTCCCACCCAGTTGGGTGTGAGGGGAGATAAATAGTATATTCTTCCATGAAGTTAGAATTTATTACCAACGTGCTGCTAATTGGAAATCATATCAATGTAGTGTCAAATACCAAGTGTTAATTGGTTTATTTTTTTAAAAAGAGATGCAGTGCAAGTTAACATTAAAGTATTTAATTAATTTACAGTTTTTAGTCAAGGCTAGATACGGTTCAATCATATGTACCTTCTTCATGTTGGTGACCAAATAACATGAGTTAATAGCCATACTCATGACCTTAAATATTGCAAAACTATGAATTCACATTTATATTCTAAACAAGGATTATACTATAAAAGTATGTTTTAGGTTAATTTGGACTTCAATTATTACAAAACAGGTAACCCATGAACTCTCTTATTCATATAGTGTAACCTTCTGCATTGCCTTCTCCTTGAAGGTAATACTCTGCCTATTCATTTGGCAGATTCCACATGAGGGGGAAGAGCAAAAGTAGGATTTCCTTGCTTATTCTCCAAAAATGTCCCGAGTTTGGTTGTTTGATTCGCACGATGAGACACCTTTGTCTTCTAAGTGTTAGTCCTGGGCTCTCCTGATCTGCACACTGGAGTCTCATGGTCACCTGCCCCTCAAGATTCTCTCTCTCTCTCTCTCTCTCTCTCTCTCTCTCACACACACACACACACACACACACACACACACACACTCCGTAAAGCTCTGTAAATGCACTGTCCCTCTACTAAGGCACAACTCACCCCTCACCTCCCTCCTGGAATCAACCTATCAGACTTGGAAATCCTAGGCGCTGGGTGCTGGCTCCCCTCCTTTGTGCTCAGGGGCCCTACCCTTTCTCGGGTTTCCAACCACGACTGGTCGGCTGCAGGTCGGATTGGCTGAGCTAGGAAGAGGAGCAGAGGCTTCGCCAAATCACAAATCTAGGATTTTCCTCTTTCCTGGTCTACTCCCTAGAATCCGGGCAACAGATGTGCGCCATTGCTTCTCCCAGAGGAACCCTGCCTGGGGTTGCTATGGAAACAGGACGCTGCAACTTGCAGAGCAAGTAGGACCCAGACATCGCTTAGCAGACCTCAGCAAAGCGACTGTCCTGCGCTGACTTTCCACATCTACACAATCCCTTTCATCCAGAAGTTTTTTTGTGTGTGTTTTTTTTTCTTGATTCCCTCTATGGAAGACTCCACTGCCCTGGCGCCAGAAAAAGAAAACCAGGAATCGCGGGAAGAAGGGAGGCCGTGGGACGAAATGACAGCAGCTTCTACCCAAGATCCTCAGCCTGGATTATCTGAGCACCCGGAGTCAGAGCAGGGGCCTGACACTGGACCCCAGCCCGGGACCAGCCCACCTGGGAGCCCGCCCGGGAGCAGCCCACCTGTGCATGACCTCCAGGGACCAGGTGCATCGCCATGTGCGCCTCCTCGGGAGACCTCCCCTCCTCCTCTGGCTCTGTCGGGACAGCACCTCGCTGCACAGTGGCGCTCAGACAAGACCGCGAGGGCGATTCCTGAGGCCGGGACACCTCACCCTGACCACCTGCAACAATCATCTGATGAAGGAGAATCAATGCCTCATCAAACAGGCCAGTCAAAGTGGTACGCCTTTCAACAGCTTCAGCAAACCGACGGTCACCTGTATGAGCCGAGGGACGCGAACTGTAACAACTCTAAACAGGAAGACCTGAGATGTGACATTTCTCAGGAGGAAAACTCGGACAGTAAACGTCACCTGGGTGAGCGTGAGCCTGAGCCTGAGCCTGAGCCTGAGCCTGAGCCTGAGCCTGAGCCTGAAGCGGCCCCCAGCATGCTTGAGATTGCCGTTCAGAACGCTAAGGCTTACCTACTGAAGACCAGTAGCAAGTCAGGCTTAAATCTGTAAGTCCTGGAGGAAAAAAGAGAGAAAAGTATGGTAAAGAAAAGGGGGTGTGAGTATCTCTGGGTGAGAGTGTGTTTCTTTGGGGAAATATCTTTGAAAAGTCTGTATTAGTATGAGTTGGTGGCTTAATAACTCTTTGCACCACAGGCCTCAAAATAGGTCATTGGTGGGGATCTTCTAGTTTCTTTAAAGACCCTTGGCACAGAGAAACAAACCTAGGAATTATGGAATCTTGGGTGTGAAAGAGACCAAAGAGATGGTGAAGAACCAGCGTTCCTTCAAGAAGCTTGTAAAAGTAGCTTACTGCCAGTGATGGGGAGCATCTGGCTCTACTGTCAGCATCAGAGTGCCTACATGGCTTGGTTTTGAGTTCTCACCAGGCCAGTCCTGGATGACCCGTTATCTGTTTTTCTGGAACTGTCCTGATGTGAGCACTGAAAGCTCTGCATCTGAAGAAACTCCTAGTCTAGTCAAACCGGGGGAATTAGCCACCATAATTGGTCTAAAGAATAAAAAGTGTTCATATTTAATGTGTGCAATCTCACAAAACTCAAGATTGACTATTTAAAATGTTATTTACAAATTACTGTCTTAAACTACAATTTACTTAAGCTTTAGGGATGTGATCTGCTGCTCAGTTAAGGTAAAAAAAAAGAAAAAAATGTTAATCACTTTAAAATTTATAACTAAGAGATTTCAATCTCAAATGTTAAATGTTCCCGATATAAAATATGTATCTTTCTATGTTTTTCTTTAATATTTTAAATATTCATATCATATTGGAGATATTTTTGAAGGAAAATTCTAGAATAGGTTTTTCTGGCAGTGGAAGTTACCATGTTTATTCACTTAAAATTGGTGAGGTTTTGAGTTGTTGAAGTTTCCTAAACACCAGCTCCCTGAGTCTGCATGAAATGCTTCTTCAAACACTTTTGACGTGGGTAACACCTGGAATTTTCTCTTTTTGGATAGATATGACCATCTTTCTAATATGCTGACCAGGATCTTAGATGAGCATCCTGAAAATGCTGTGGACATCATTGAAAATATTAGCCAAGATGTAAAGATGTCACATTTTAGTAAAAAACTAGATACACTCCAAAATGAGAATGAGATGCTTCCAACATATGAAATAGCAGAGAAGCAAAAGGCTCTTTTTCTCCAGGGAAATTTGGAAGGAGCTGACCAAGAACTGGAAGATGAAATGGTAAGTGACTACTGTAAATCTGAATAGTGCAATCCTGGGGTTTGATTGGAGGTGAGTGGGTGTGGCTCTAAATTCATATCAATAGTTTCTTCTGTCTTGCTAAATAGTACTTTCAACCTCATTTCACATCACTCATTTCCTTGTTTAGTTTTTTTTTTTTCCCCCACACTTGTGGTTTAGTATCGCACAGGCTTAGCTATTACATGTTTGTGGGGCTGAGGTATTCATGTCAGAGAAAATGGTTTCTTCATGTTTTAAATTCCAAAGTGCCTGGTACAGACCTGGGCCTACAGCTGTTTCTTATTAACTCCTCGTTGAATGAATTACTGTCAGATCATTTAAAATCAGGCTTTAAATCAATATGCATATTTCCCTTTAGTTTATTAGACAAAGTAGAAATACTTCTAATGTCATTTTCATTCTCTTCCAAGGCAACTTCCTCATATTATGTTTTGATATTATGCATGTTATGCCAATGAACTATAATAGAAAAGGAGAGAGATCAAATGTCTTTTAATCCCCAGAGACAAATTGTTGAAAATATTTAGAGAACATTGGTGACAGAATTAAAAAGCTATCATTAGAGAATAAAATCTCTTTTATCACAGATATTCTAGCTGCAAATATTTCAATAGTATCCAGCATTGTGTTTCCTAAATGTCTACATGACTGTAATTTATACCACCAAGGAATGTATATACTTACTGAGCTTTCATGTTTTGTTACCAGTAGACTGTTTAAAAATCTGCCTATATATTTGCAAAAGAAATGTTTAGAGTGAGATGATTTCAGAAAAGGGCAAAGAGTTTGATTAGGGAAAAGACAGGAGGGTTGAGAATCTGGACCCACAGGGCTCGGCAACCTTGGTGGGGAGACCCAACTTGACACAGTGGGCCCAGGGTACCCAGAGGGAACAAGTGATCGGTGTTATGGAACTGACATCAACTCTTCTTTTCTGAAAATACCTTACCCCTACCATTTAGTTATATGGCCACATCCAGAGAAGACGAGTCTCGAGGCAAACAGCATTTAGGGATCAAGCAGAAGGCAGATACTCTCATGGAGGAATTTATCAAAGGTCCAACTCCAGTATGAGAACGGGACACTGGGGTATCTATAGGCACAACACTGTCAATTAGGGATCTGTGTCCTAAAATTAGGATAAGGAATGAGAATACAGAAAGCTGTTTAATTCTGGAACCTGAGCCTCTTATTCAGATTCCATAAATTCTTCCTCAATTATGTCTTCAAATGTAGTCATGATTGAGTACTTCTACATTCCTTTTATTTATCCTATATATTACCATATATATGTATATATATATTACTATATTGATTTTTATTGACTCCATATATTACCATATGTATATAATAATTATTTTTTATAAAATATATGGTAATATATAAAAACATATACAACATACCTCAGAGATATTGCAGGTTTGATTCCAGACCACTGCAATAAAGTGAATATTTCAATAAAGCAAATCACACAAATCTTTTATTTTCTGTTTACACATGTTATGTTTACACTATACTGTATTCTATTAAAGGTGTAATAGCATCATATCTAAAAAACAATGTACAATAGTAACATCAAAGACCACTGATCATCTATATATATAAAAGGCTAATATGCTAAGTGTCCAAATGTCTGACCAGTTGCTATAACGTGCACTGAATACCATGGGGCAGATGCTCCATGCAGGAGCTGCAGTGCCGTGCACTGGCCATTTACAAAGAAATGGCACCACAGACCTGGCGCCCACAAAGCAACACTCGGCTTCCCCCAAGTGGGACACAGGCCCTGCCACCACCCCGGAGCAATAGCCCACCAAATTGCAGCTGATGTTGTCAAGACCCCATGGCACAAAATGGGGCCCACAGCCCAGCCCGGAGATGGTGGCTGTGGGCGCTGGGTAATGATGTCACAAAGCAATGCCGGGCTTCCTCTCCCTAGCGACTAGCCTCCTTGCAGTTTCTTCAGGCCACGAACATGACTTGCTTTATAGCCAGGTGAAAACATTTTACACTTTAAATGTCTATGAAGCTTTTTCCCATGCCTCATCTCATTTGATCCTCACAGAAGTCCTGGAATACATAGATGGGAGACTCGGTCGAATCCTATTGTCTTTTCATTAGCTGGAAAATGGAGTTTTAGAAAGCTTAGAAACTTGACCCGACTGAAAAGAAGAAAGAAATGGTGGAACTTGAAAATGACTTCAGGTTTTCTCACTGCACAGGATATAGTCAAACACTGCTGCAGTTAAATATTTTACCCTTTATTCTCTCTGAGTGATCTACAATAATAATCTGCTTTGTGTTGATATTTACTGCTGTGTTGCTGACAATTACCTGAAAGAGAAGTTGGGGTGCTTGACTGGCCTGGAAAGTGTTTAGCTAAATCAGAAAGCAGGTCTAATTAAGCAAGTTTATTCTATATCTATAAAAGGCTAAGTTGACTGGAACATGCGCGAAACATATAAAGCTCTCGCTGGCGCCAATCGCATGCATGTGTTTTGATCTGTCATTGCCGATCGTGAATTTGGTTGACACTTCTATTATAGAGAAAGGGCGAATAATGATATTAAAATATGTCTTCTAATTAATTTCCTTTAAAATGTGTACGAATTCGTGTACTGGGCCACTAGTAAAAATATAATGAAAAAGTTTGAATATTGTTAGAATTTCCAAAATATGACACAGAGACATGAACTGAGCAAATGCTGTTGATTAGTAAAATATGCAGTATCTGCAGAGTACAATAAAGCAAAGCACAATAAAATGAGATATACCTGTATAAATATATATTTACATAAGTAAACATTTTCTAAAAATATGTGTGTAGATAGGTTATAGCATATTTTATTATTTCAAGATAGTAAAGGGGCCACTTAAACATTTTTTTTATAAACAGGGGATGTTGAATATTTATTTTTCATAATGATTATTACATTTTCTCGGCCTAAGATTCATACATGCAATAAGATTATTATAATGGTGAGTGTAAAACACAATGGCAGAAGCTACATTTATAAGTGAGATGAATGAAATTTGCAAATTAATGAAGTGATCTAAATCTTGAAAGAAATGTCAAAGACATGGTGTAGACAGAAAGTAGAGCTAATATCAAGATGTTTAAAAGGGAAATAGGAAGCAAGCAGGTCTCTTTATAGATAGCATGTTAACCACAGCATTTGTATTCGCAGGCAGAATACTCTCTCCCAAATGTAATGGAGTCAGCATTTTATTTTGAACAAGCTGGAGTTGGTTTGGGCACCGATGAGATTTATCGCATATGTCTTGCCCTCAAGCAGCTTACTGACACCCACCCAATCCAAAGATGCCGTTTCTGGGGCAAGATCTTGGGTCTGGAAATGAATTATATTGTAGCTGAAGTGGAATTTCATGAAGGAGAAGATGAAGAGGAGGTGGAAGAGGAAGATGTAACTGAAGAGAGGGACAATGGAGAGAGTGAAGGTGAAGAAGATGAGGATGAATTACCAAGGTCCCTTTACAAGGCCCCACAGCCTATACCAAAAGAAGAAAGCAGAACAGGTGCCAACAGATACATTTATTTTGTTTGCAATGAACCAGGAAGACCATGGGTGAAGTTACCATCAGTTACACCTGCACAAATTGTTATTGCAAGAAAAATCAAGAAATTTTTCACTGGGCGATTGGATTCTCCCATCATCAGCTACCCACCTTTCCCAGGAAATGAGAGTAATTACCTACGAGCACAAATTGCCAGAATTTCAGCAGGGACCCATGTCAGCCCTTTAGGATTCTATCAGTTTGGTGAAGAGGAAGGAGAGGAGGAGGAAGAAGTAGAAAGTGGGCGAGATAACTTTGAAGAAAACCCTGATTTTGAAGGCATCCAAGTGGTTGATCTAGTGGAATCCCTATCCAATTGGGTTCATCATGTACAACATATACTCCCTCAGGTAGGGGGCTTTGCAGTTCTCAATCTATCAGCCAATCAGCACATATGTATTAAATTCAGCATATAATGCATACATATATTCAGACTCTAGAGAAAGAGGTCATTAAAAAATAAAGTAAAAGCACAGAGTACTATATAATTGGCAAGTAATATAGACCTGGGATCTTCAAACAGATTTTTATTTCCAAACAGAAATAAGATAATCATTTCTATGGAGTATTAGACAAGTTATTTAAGGATTAAGATTTATTTGTGTTGTGAAACTAATTTTGGGAACCATTTTTTAAAAATTCTATTTCTATAATACATGGAGATTTTATGCCAAGAACAATAAAAAAATATAATAAAAATAAAAACAAGCAAACAGTGCTAAATAGCAGTTATATAGCACATATTCTACTAGGTGCTCTTAATAGCCTTTTATATGCATTACATCATTTCATAATCATAACTGTATAAAAAGCATCAGACAATAGTGGGGTGAAGACCTGTGGGGGTGGGGGTGGTGTGGAAGGCGTCAATGGGAAAAAAAGGGGGATATCTATAATACTTTCGATAATAAAGATAAATTAAAAAATAATATTATCCTTATTATACAGATGAGGGAATTGAGGCAGAGTTGAGGAAATGTAAAATAAGTAATATACTAATAAGCAATAGGGTCAGATGTGTGTAGGCATAATGGATCCAGAGTTCATCCTTTCAATCACTCTGCTCCATTACCGCAACTGCAGGTAGAAAATCTTTATACTTGGACCTACATATGAGATATTCTTATATCTTTAGATAAGAATTAATCAGATCAGAAATTTTAACCCAAACCTCCATACCTAATCTTATAATTTTTATTAATAATATTACATTATCTTTCTTATATATTATTTATTACAAATAAGTGAAATGCATTATTTTTTTTTAACTAAGGCAATGCTAATTTTAAAATATACCTGTTCTGTAACTTCAAGTAGTTGGCAGATTCCTGAAATATATAGTACAATCTTTTGCTTGAAAAAAACCTAGATCATAATAGCACTTGGTAAATACATGTTGAATGAATGAATGATTAAATTCCCACACAGTGAAACCTTATGCAGATAATTTCATGAATCCAAATGAATACTCTGATATTTTAAGATCTTCATCTTGCAATATTCATACTCAGGGTCGCTGTAATTGGTTCAACCCCATACAAAAAAGTGAAGAGGAAGAAGAAGAAGATGATGAAGAAAAAGAAGAAGAGAAAGGAGAAGAGCCTGACTACATAGAACAGGAAGTGGGGCCTCCTCTCTTGACACCAATCTCTGAAGATTTAGGTAATTTTACATAAACTTAATATGTTATTACTATGTATAATATACTATATGTACCTATACTGTGCATATGTATACTATGTAATATTACCATACTATATACATAGCATACATATATGTATACCACATCTACACATACTATGTATATTTAATACTATATATACATACTATATGTGTAATACTATATATACATATACTATGTAATATTACTAGTATATGTAGATAGTAGTATACCTAGTATATATAATGTTCTATATGGATGGCATATGTGTATATATTTTGTGTATATAATATACTGTATCTACATATCTACACACACACACACACACACACACACACACACACACACACTATAGTATATATGTGGAATAAAGAATGTAGCTGGCCAAACCACCAACTTTCTCTGACAGAAGTTAAAGAAGTGCCACACAGGGAGGAAACAAGTTGGCTGTAGCTCTTACTGAAATGCTGAGTTATCTTGTGTATCATTCTTATCTTGCATTCTGCACACCATAGACAGATGACCATAAACACTTGACATTATTATTTATACTAATAAAAGGGTAATATGCTAATTAGACTGGGAGACCTTCCAGACGTTCTTCTGGACAAAGCCATGGTGGCAGGGCTGAGGTAGAGGCAGTTAGAGGCCAAGAAGGGAGGACAGTTGTGGGTGATCAGGCTCGTGGGGGGCGGGACCATTGGGGGTAAGCAGACCAGCAGGGAGACAGTTGGGGGCAAGCAGGCCATCAGTGGGGGTCAGTTGGAGGTGATCAGGACAGCGGGGGTGGGGCAGTTTGGAGTGAGCAGGCCAGCAGGGGGGTAGTTGGGGGTGACCAGTCTGGTGCGGGGGGGGGGGGGGCATTTGGGGGCGAGCAGGCCGGCAGGCAGAGTGGTTAGGGGCAATCAGGCAGGAAGGCAGGCAGGCAGGTGAGCAGTTAGGGGCCAGCAGTCTCAGACTGCGAGAGGGATGTCCGACTGCCGGTTTAGGCCCGATCCCTGTAAACCGGCAGTAGGACATTGTTCAAGGGGTCCCAGATTGGAGAGGGTGCAGGCCGGGCTGAAGAACACCCCCTCCCCCGTGCACAAATTTTGTGCACCGGGCCACTAGTATAGTGTATAAGTATTCAAATTTCATTGCTCCACAATGTTCATAAAATTCCCTCCTGGTTTTATGTTAAGTTGCTGATGTTTAACTTCTTTTTCTATGTCAAATGTTTTTGTGTTTTATTATTTACAAAAATAGCTTCTCTGTTACACAGTATATCCTTGTCTATGTAGGCATTAAGCTTTTGATTTTCTCATTTATTTACAGAGATCCAGAATACACCACCTTGGACAACACGACTATCTTCAAATCTCATTCCTCAATATGCTGTTGCTGTTCTCAGATCCAACCTTTGGCCTGGAGCATATGCCTTTTGCAATGGCAAGTAAGTATCTGACAACTTTCAAAGTTATTACTGTGATTATTTAAGTTCTGGAAAGTATAAGTTACCTCTGAAATCTTAGGTTATTATTTTAACTCATTTTTAGCAAGATTTATCAAACTTCTGTATTATACAGTAAAGCATCAAATTTAGAATATTAGAATAATTTAGACTTCTGCCTTTTCTGAATTATTTAATTAATGAAGCTAAAATATGGTTTTTCTTCTATAATTATTTGAATAATTGATATTCACTTAATTGAAGTAATTCTAAGCAGTGTTTAAATTAGTTTAAATCTCTCATTATTTTTTGTTGGGTACCTTGATAAAAGATACTTAAAAATATGTATTATTTAGGCTATCATTTTCAAGAGAATTAGGATGAAGAGGAAACTAAATGCCCTCACTTCCTTGTGTGTTATACTTCCATTTCTTACCTAACAAATCCAGTGTTAAAAGCTGAGCTGAAGAGAGAGCTGAGCTGCTGAATGTCAGAGTAGTCATTAATGTAACAACCCAAAAATGAAAAAAAGAGAAAGCACTGTGACAGTACAAGCAAGAGAAAGCACTGGTTTCCTCCCCCACCTCCTGCCCCCATTCCATTTTCCCCATGGAATGGCACACTGGTGGAAGGTCAGGTGGGTCAGCACAGGTGTGGGTGTCATCTCACTGACAGGGGAGTCCCTGACATAAGGCTCTTGCAGTTTTATGGGCCAGGGGGCCCAGGGAAGTGGGGGAGAGCTAGGGAAAAGGATTGGATACTGAGAGTGGGGTAGAGTGTTTTTAAGGTTCCTCCTTCTCTCCTCTAACACCCCCCCACCCCATAAGGAGGCCTTAGCAGAGGTACCCTTAGACCTCTACTGAAGGCCTCGATAGAGACCTAGGAGTGAAGGCATCTGAGCTAGAACGGAAATGTGTGAAGAGCATGACAGGCCAGAGGAGCCACAGGCCTCGACTGCCACTCCCCTGAGACTGTGCTGACTGCACCGAATCTGGAGCTGGAGCGGAGCAGGCAACTGTCCTGTGAGGCATGCTGGGAAAAGCCTTTGTACTTGCCCGTGGTTGGGTGGGAAAATCACATAGGTCTTCAACCACAAGCCCACTCCTCCCCTGGCCAAAAGTTTGCTAGGTTGTAAACTTTTAAAAAAAATATTTTCTTTTATTGATTTCATATAGAAAGAGAGAGGGAGAGAGAGAAACATTGATAAGAGGGAATCATTGATCAGCTGCCTCCTGCACGCCCCCTATTGGTGACCAAGCTCACAACCAGTGCATGTGCCTTGACCAGACTAGGTTGGAAACTTTTAAATTCTTTCTAACTCTAATGATAATAACTCCCCCACCCCCCCCCCCGAAAATAAATGATCAAAGGCTATGGTTTTGGTGTAGGGTACATTTTGACAGGGTCAGACCCCATGGTTTTCTTAACCAGCTTAAGCTGTTCGGATCATAGAAATGCCCTGTGCTGGAAGAATCATTTAGGGGTAGTTCATCTCTAATGCATTTTAAATATATTGTTTTGAAATTATGGGACTATGCTATTTCAAGTACTTTATCATTACAGGAGAGGAAGGTCAACTTTTCTTACTGAAAAAAAAAATGATAGAATGATCATCTACATTTTTTTTTTAACTTATAGAAAGTTTGAAAATCTCTACATAGGCTGGGGTCATAAATATAGTCCAGACAGCTATGCACCTCCAGTTCCACCACCAGCTTGTCAAGAATACCCCAATGGACCAGAAATTACAGAAGCGGATGACCCCAGTGTGGAAGAGGAGCAGGCTTTCAGGACTGCACAGGAAGCTGCTGCGCTTCCAGCCGAGGAAAGCGAAGAAACTGAGGAAGATGAAGATGATTATGACTAACGAAAATAAAATGGGGTGCTCAATTCAGCAGCATATATACTAAATAAAACTGACCCCGTTTTATGAGATTGATGCATACATACTACTTATGTGGTTCTAATTATATATATTCATGTGCAAAATGCCATTCCCTGAAATAATCAAATTTGGAATTTTATGTTTGGAATTATTAGTATGTACTTATAGAAAGATGCTCAATGGATTTTGCAGAGGCTAAATGACATGTTCTACATTACTGTTCTGATAGCCACAACCAATGGAATATGTGCTTCTGTATTTTTTTCAAGTCTCAAGTTTAACTTCTAATATGGCAAACATGAAAATATATAACCCACAAAAGCTTCTTGGGCACTTCAATATTTTTTTTGAGCATCAAGGGGTATCAAGGTAAATATTAAGTTTATAATTTCATCACCTGCTCAAAGCCTTTGGGAACACTCAAATTTTTAACCTTTTTACTTGTTACTTCTTTATTTATTTTTTGTTTAAAGTATTACATGTCTCCATTTTCCTGACTGAACCCCCACCCCCACCTCCCTATTTCCCCCCAGGATACTTGTTACTTCTTAAAGAACTTCAGTGTCTTTCATCTTATAGAAATTGGTTTGCAGAGATGGCTTGCTGGGATATTCAGAAACTTCAGAGTAATGTTTTCTATCACTACTTCTCTAAAACTGTATTTTCATTCACTAAAAATGTATTTTTAAGTCCTGTATGTGCTAGGCACCCTAAGGCTACTGGCTGGCAGTCTGCAGATTACTTATCTACAGACACTGCTTATCAAATACTTTGAAGGTGCATTTATTCAGACTTGTGCAGTTCAGGAAGCACTTCCAAGAGGTGGAGAACTAAAGGTAAGAAGGTCCTAGGCAGCACCAACTATATTTTGGTGAAGGACTTTGGGCTAAAAGGAGTGGAACTTTGAGAGTGGTAAGAGATGAGCCTGGAGAGGCAAGCAGGGCCCAGGTTGTTTGGGATGTTCGGATTTTATACATAAACAGGGAAAAGGACTCAACTAGGAAGTGACAAAATCATATTTGTAAGAAACATTTGGCTTCTTTGTAGAAGATGGATGACAGAGAATCAAGACAGGGAGTCCAGTTAGCAGGTTATCTAGGTAAGAAGTAATGATGGCACGAAAAAGGATAACTGCATGGGGATATGAGGGAGAAACCTGGTCACTAGTCTGAAGGACAAAATATTAGGATTATTTCTAGAATTTTCCAATTGGCAATATTATTCATTCTTGGAATGCAATTTTCAGTATTCAGTGGTGTAGTGAATATTTATAAAACTTCATTCAAGTACATTCTTGTTCATTTTTCATGGTATAACAGACAGTTGTTGTTTTTCTTTTTTGTTGTTTAATATCCATTTCCTCATCTACTCCGATTTCCTTTCAAGAAATTGCCTCTGTCCAGGGCAGATATCATGGTATCAGATTCGCCTCGGGAATCTGAATTGTGAGCAGACATTCTGCTTTGGCTCTTGCTATGAATCAGACCACAGTCTAGGAGTTGCCAGCAAAGTGCCCTAGTTACCTATGGATTCTGTGAGCGTCTCTGATCATCTCTCAATGAATTTCTTTCTGCTTCAGTTGACCAGAGTAGGATTCTTTTTTGCAACCTTACACAGCACAGCCAACATGAGTCTGAAAGTTTCTTTCCTATAGGACACATTAAACACAAGACTTTAAATCTCAGTTGTATAGGTAAGAGTGTGAATATTGAACAAAAGCAAATCCCTCTTTTCAGAGTGACATCTGTTGTTAAATATTAAGTTATTTCTAGGAGGTAAGGAGGTAATTTCATGAAATGTTTTACAACAGAAGAAAACAATGTTTTTGATTAAATTTATTGGGGTGATATTAATATGATATAGATTTCAAGTGTAATTTCTATGATACATGATCTGTATATTACATTGTGTGCCCAACACCCAAACATTGGTAAGAATTTGAAAGTAAGACAGCCTGGGATTATGAAAATTTTTCCAGGCAAATTACTAATCTTACAGTTTCAACTTCCTTACACACTAAAAACACTTGTCTCACAGAACTATTTTGAAGATTAAACTAATTAATACATGGAAAATACTAAGCATACCTAACATAAGAACGCAATAAATATTAAATATGACTATAATACAAAATCAGTTTCTGAAATGGGTAAGAAATATAAAACCCACAATGCAAACAAGGTATTTTTCTAAATTTCTAAACAGTGAATCACTAATGATATATTTAGACATTTTAGAAACTAAAAGTTGAGTATTTAAAGAATTCACAGGTTCATAAGTTGCATTAAGGAATTTAATATCTGAATTTGGGACATGAAGTTCCACACTCACTGAAATGCTTAATTCTTCAAGGAATCTTCTCGGCTGTAAACACTTGAGATGCTTGTCTCCTGGCCTTGAAACAAAATTTTTTAAAAAACTGTTAATTGTAAGCAGAAATCAATTAGTTAGAATACATATTATTCTAATATTTAAAAAAATCTAAAAATAATTTCAAGATACTGAAAATTTCTTAAGTAAAATTACAATCTTGAATTTCAGAAATGAAAAATAAACATTTTAAAATCCAAGCCATAAAAAAAATTAAATAAAATTCCAGATAAAGACTTACAATTTTCTCCTCTGCAGTAAGAACGCCCTCTACTGCCACTATCTGGTACTGTTTATGCTTTAAATTTCCCACAAATTTCCGAAGCTGCTTGAGACTGTTAGCCTCCATGTCTTGCTTTAATAGTTTCTGCATTTCTCGAGAAGGACATGCAGGATCAAATACTAGTAAACATAACGTTTGGTTTTTTCTCTCTTCAATTCCAACAACTGTTCGACTATGACCTATCAAAAAATAAAATAACAGCTATATATGATTTACCTATAGCCATACATACAGATACAAATATGTATACACACACACACTGAATACTCTCTCTGCGTATAAGAAGTGTGTGCAAATGAATGTTTAGACAATAAATATAGTTAGTCCCTCTGACATAGTTATCTGACCTCTCTCATTCCTAAGACCCAAGCATTCAGTTCTACTTCCTAACTTTTCAGTTTTCCTTTGTTCAATTTTAGTTTTCTAAAGGCTTCATTACAAACAATTTTCTACTGTGTCACACATTTTAGTTTTTCTTTCCCAATCCCTTGATCCTTTCTATTCAAAGATCTCAAATGAAAGGATTTGAAAATTATCTATCATAAAACAAAACTCTAATGGTTCTAAAAGGTAAACAGAAATAAATATATACTATATACTAGAATTTCAAAAGTTAAGCTTTACAGCTTGTATTCCTAAATGATGAAATTCCTAACAATTACTTTTCCTCATTCCTGTCAATCCAGATCACCCATTCAATATTTGTCAAACACGCCTGTGCCGGGCACTAGTTCAGGAATCAGTGATACAGAGCAAGCAAAACAAACTTTCCTGCCTTCATGGAACTCACATTACAACAGAAAGAAATACTCTATAAGCAAGATAAATAAGGAAAGTATATATTATACTATATCTAAAAAAATAAAGCAGGGAAAAGGAATAAGAAATGCCAGTGGTGGGAAGTTGGGATAATGAGATGAACTTTTAGGTAAGGTGGTCAGGGAAGCCTCACCGAAGTGACACATGGTTAAAGACCTGAAAAAAGTAAGGGATAAACAATAAGGGAAGAGTGAACCACGCAGCCCTGAAGATACCAAGGGTATCATCTTTCATTACCCAGGAATAGACTGAAATGAAAATGTAACTATGAAAATCAGACAGGTTACTATCACCCTACTCCCCATGATCAGACTTTTAACCTGTCCTAAAGCAAAAGCTAACTCTTTGTCGTATAAAGACATGCTTGTAAGCTACAGTTATTGTTTCTGAGTTGCACTAACCTTGATGTTGCAGATAGATAGGAGGCTTAGGTGTACACACTGCTTTTGGACCCCCTTCCCTCTCTGTAGAATAATAGTTCAGTATCCATTCAAACAGGCGAGGGTGCGTACCCAAAGGACCAGTTGACTTGTGAAAATCCACAATACGGCACCTAGAAAAAATGGACAGAATAAATTATTTAGAAAATATCTTAAAAATCATTTTCATCAGTGGAGTTAATAATACAAAAAAATTCTTAGTTTAAAACTAATTCTATCTCATTTTCCTAAGAAGAAAAAAATGCGAATTTTATTATTTATATAAAAAACTGTCATTTTATGAGAAAATATTTAAATAACTTCATAATAAAGTTGATGACTTATAATTAAAGTTAAAAAGATTTTCTGATATATAAAATCTCCATGAATAAATGAGATTTTAAAAAATCACCTACATAAAACCCGAGACACAGCTTTTATTCTAAAGCCTCTGAACCTGATAATCAATTAGAAGCCAACTTTTAATTTTAATTCCTTGACAACCATTCACATTTATCAAAAATATCCTGAGCATTTTTCCTGTCAGCTCTCTCAAATTCCAATAATAAATAAGAAAAGAATACCTGTAGAAATCAGAAAAACCTGTGTACCCCATCTACCTATCTATCAATCTCCTATTTGGCACTAGACACCGGTTGTGGTATTGTTTCCTCAAGAGGAAGTCAACCTTGAATAAACAAAATTATTTTAACCAGTGTGTATACTTTTCAACAACTGTTTTAAAAAGGTCAGGTATAAACAAAAGCACTTTAAATACTTTATTTTCACTTTAGAGTATAGCATAGATATCCTGTCCTTGTGTCTGTTGGCAATAAAATCTCCAACTGTAATGGTTGTCATTTTAACTTCAGTAAGTTTAATGTTGGTAACTTTCAAACTGATTAGTACTGAGTTTTAAAGGTTGAAATCAAGTTTTGGATAGTTGTTAAAAAGTAGAAACGACTTTTGGGTTAGCAGTTGACTGCATGTCTGTATTTAAGAATGTAAATAGTACCCAACAGAGTATAATTCATGGAGTGCAAAAGGAAGGCGTTTAAAAAACTAGCAAATAAATTCAGGTTCATTAATAAAAAGGTTTTATTCGAAGGAAGACTAAACTATTTCAGGTACCAAGAAAAAGCTGGATACATCAGGTATTTTAGATGGAAATATTCCTTTCCTTAAAATTTTTATAAAAGCTCAAACATGATGAAGTACATATAATATGAATGTGTGAACAGATTGGCAAAAAGAAAAAAAAATTTAGAGGACATAAAACTAGTCCCTTCAATTTAAACTATTCAAGTAAGTTATACACACATTCGTTATTTAAAATTTTTAAAATATTTTTAGCAATAAATATATCAACTAATATGGTAGAAATAGTGTAAAACACTGGATAAATTACCTAGGAACAAACATAAAAGGAAACTATGGAGTCATGAAGCTTAAGGCAAATTTTCCATTAAAGATAATCAAAGGCATCTCTTCCCTCTCGAAAGCCCAACAACAAAATACTGAAGAAGGAAATGACTTAAACACCCAAGGACAAAGAGAATGGGGACAGATAAACGGTCACACCATTCTGAAAAATGGAAAACTGAAAGCTTAGAGGCATAAGGTATTGGGGAGAGTAGTAATGGGGACAACAATATGAGATTAACTGGAAGTTTGCATAAAGAAGGCAAATCACTCTTCACTTCCCCCAACACACACACACACACACACACACACACACACACACACGCACGCACGCACACACACACGCACACACACACACACACACACACACACACACACACGCACACACACACGCACGCACGCACACACACACGCACACACACACGCACAAACACACACACACACACGCACACACACGCGCGCGCGCACACACGCAGGAGCTGTAGCAGAAAAGTGGAGAACTCTTCTCTGAATGGCCTCTGAGAAAAGATCTCTCTCTATACTGATATTTGAGAGTTCCCCAACCAAATAGCAAGTTTCCACCTAAGACTCCTTAAATGAAGCCTGTTACTCTGCAAATCCCATGCAATCCCACAAAACTTCCAATCAGCTTTTTAGTGCCTTGTTCTCACTCTAGGAATACACAATTAAGGATTTACAAAAGGTAGAATGCCTTCAAAATGAAAAAGACTAAAATAAATAGATATGGAAAAAAATTAACATGGAGGAAACAAAAGTGCAAGGAACAGAAAGATACAAAGTGTTGGAAAAAAATTTTGCAACCATAAAAGAATAGGAGTCTATGAAACTTTACCCCTTAGAATTAAAAACATGATTGCTAAAATAACATTTCAATAGAGTAGTTGGGAAATAAAGTTGAGTGAATCTAGACAGTAAAACAAAAAGCAAATATTAAAAAAAAAGACATGACCAATAAATTTACAGTTAACCCCTGAGCTCTTTCTACATTCCAATCACAGTTCCAAGCACTTTATTATTATCTCATTTAATTATCACTATAACTCTACGAAGAAGTTACTATTTATATGTTCTTTTATCAATGGTAGAACTAGGATAGAAATACTCTATAAATAAGATAAATAAGGGTACAGACAAATTAGAGCAGGTAGATAGGAAAGCCGGAAGCAATTACAGGCATCTGACTCGAAAGTCCAAGCTTTAAACACTATACTGAGATCTTACAATTCACCATTCCAGGTTAGAAAAGAAAAACAAATCTCCACACAATATATCAAAATCCCACATTCCAGGTGAAATTTCATAATATCAGGGCTAACAAAAGATACAAAAAATTTCCAAATAAAATAAAATCAGCAATAATAATATTTATACAGTCCTGATGTAAACTCTAACTTCAAAAAAGCTGAGATTTAACCATGTTAGAAGGATTGAGAGTGAACAGGTGGGAAATATAACGGGAATGCAGTAGACAATGTCTAACACTGATAAACCAAGAACAAAAGCCATGAAAGCATATTATTTAAAAACGGGAATGACAGCTGCTTCCGATAAAGACTAGAGAATGGAAAGGAGCATGAGATAGGAAATGAATTTATTATTTCATATAAACCTTTTAGTGCTATTTAAATTTTAATTTTTAACTACTGCTTTGATAGAAAAACAAACAAACAAAAAAACAGCAACCATAAAACCTCCCAGAGATGTGACAACAGTATCACCTTGGCTTTTTAGGTACATACTTTACCCTTAGGGAGGTCAGAAGTGTATATATTTCACATGCTCCAATCCAGGCCTTTGTTCCCTGTAGCCTGTCATTAAGTTGAGAGGCACCCTGAGGATCAAAACCTTCCCTCCATGCATCTTCAATCATAGACTGAATTTTTGGAATACAAGGAACTGACATACCTAAAATCATACAAGCAAACATGTTACATAGCAGTTATAAAAGTGTTGAATAGTATCATTTAGCAGTACACCATTTACTCTAGAGGAGTCTAAGAGATATTGCTGACATCTGATGTTGTATCAGTTTTGCTTCCGCCAACCAGAATTCAGGTTTTTAATGTAAATATCCTAAAGTATTTCTTCCTCAAAGCCATTAAGAGTCCCTACTATACATATTCCATGTACAGCATGTATTCTAGAGGAGCCTACAACACAGTTTCTAAGAGTTATTCTTGATATTTTCTATTGTATCAGTTTCTCTAAATGTAAATATCCAAAATACTTCTTCATTAAAGCTATTAACTGTGCCCACTATATTTTAATTCCCCCCATATCATATAAGGTGATAAGTTCAAAGTACTATACTTCACATACCTTTCAAGCAATCATCGTAAGTATCATTTTGTAATAATGATGACAGTAGCATTTGGAAATTTCTGTAACCACAACCCCAACCTTTGTCACCAAAAGAGGAATGAAAGTGATCCACTGCGGCAGAAAGCCACACACGCCTGACATCTGTGGCAGCATTCTGGTAATACTGGTAAAGCGCTTCAATAATCCCTAAAGTAGAAGAGAGAGTGAGAAGATTTAGAAGAATTAGTTACTTTCCTATGGCTGCCTAATATATTTCTAATATCAATCTGTCCCTCAAACGCCACATTTAAATTTTGTCAATTCCATCTTTTTTATCTTTTTACTGATATAACCTTGGTTCATGTCCTGCTTTGCCATTAAATCAATCACTTCTAAACTTTAAGACAGCTTATCAAAAGGACATAGTATATTTTAGGGCTGTGCTCTGTAATCTTTTACATTTGTATTTATTTTAAATTACATATAAATTAGTGGTTCTTTAGTAACTCTTAAATATATGAACACTTAGAAATTAAAGAATGACACAAATTAAAAACATATAGACATTTTAATATTTTCTTACTGTATACCCTAATGAATCATATTATACATTTCCTAGGATCCCCTACTTCACATACTTCTTTGTACATGAAGACCCTTAGAGAAGTATAAGGGGAGAAAGTACAGATTCATTAAATGGTACTAAGATAAATAAGCAATAAGAAATTAAAGTATTGTTATAAAGGGAAAATATTTGATCCATCCTTTTCTTTCTCTTCTCCCTCTTTCCTCTCACATACACATATGTACAAATAAATTCCAACTGGATTAAAGTCAAAATATGAAAAGCAATCTTTCATAAAATATATAAATTAAAAAAACAACCATGATCTCAAAGATAGGGGAGTTCCTTAAAAATGACACTTTTACAATAATTCGAAAGAATATATGTAAGATATGGAAGCAACCCAAGTGCCCATCAACAGATCAGTGGATAAAAAGCTGTGGTACAAATATACAATAGAATATTACTCAGCCATAAAAAAGAATGAAATCTTACCACTTGTGATAACATGAATGGGCCTGGAGGGTATTATGTTAAGTGAAATAAGTCAGTCAGAGAAAGATAAATACCAGATGATTTCACTTGTATGTGGAATCTAAAGAGTAAAATAATTGAACAAAATTGACACAGACTCATGGATACAGAGTACAGACAAATGATAGTCAGAGGGAAGCAGGGTTGGACTCAGTGAAGAAGTTGAAGGGATTGAGAAGTACAAATTGGTAGTTATAAAACAGTCATGGGGATATAAAGTGCATCATAGGAAATATGCTAGAAGTCAATAAGATTATAATAGGTAGATACTTCAAATATTTGGGAGACCACTTTGTAAAGTATGATTGTCTAACCACTATGCTGTAAACCTAAAACAAATACAAAGTAACATTGAGTATAAACTGTAATTGAAAAATAAAATTTAAAAAATAAACATACCACATATGAAATTTAAAGGCAAAATTATAGACTTGAAGATATTTATACCTCATAAAATCAACAAAGAATTAGAATCCTGATGTACTTAAAGGACTTGCACAAATTAGTAAGAAAAAGAAAAACAATCCAACAGAGAGAGGACAAATGAATAGAATAGGTTATTTCTTGAAGAAACTACCTCAGGAATAAACAAAGAAATGCAAATTAAGACATACATCATTTCGTGCCCTAATGGCCAAAATTATATAGTGCCACCATACAAAGTGTGAGTGAGAATACAGATGCAAATATGGATTTTGACCACTTTGGCAAACAATTCCATAATAACCTTAACGAAGTCAAAAAGTTCATTTTCCAAATACAAAGTAAATTAACACAATATAAAAGTGAATTATTTTTAGGTGAACTATTTAAGAACAGAAGTTTAGACGTTTCAAAACAACACATTTTAAAAAATTATTTGAACACAGTCTCACCTAAACCTATATAAACTGTAGATTATGAAAATTAGGCAAAATTCAAGTAATTCTGATGATTACTTCGGTGATACACAGAATATTAAAACCATGATTTTGATGTTTAAGAACTCACCAGAAGTTTTTGTTTTCCCATCATCAATACCAATAGCTAGTGATTCCATCATATCAGCTTTTCTTCTGTGAAATTCAGATGGATGCATTCTTCCACTATTTACTTCTCTCTCCATACTTCGTAGTAGCTGCTGTTTGTACCCTCCAGAATTATCTAAACCATATTGTCGCTATTAAATATAAAACAAATAACTTAATTTTTATGTCCCTTTACCTTGGTGAGGAAGGAAACTTACCATAATTTCATTTATCTGGAAATGCATTTTGAAACATTTTGGTTTACAGACTTTTATAAAAGTCAATTTAAAGATTTTTATGAGAAATGAATCACACGCATACAAAATCCCTGAATTAGTAAAAGCCTTCTCTATAAACAACCATCATGGCAAGAGACTTGCTTTTCTTGTGGTAGAGAATCCTGTTTTCCTATTAAAAGTACAAGGCAGACGAGTTCTGAACACACTGATGATTTTTGCAAGGAAACCTGTCAGTACTTGTTATTTGGTTCCCAAGCTAGTCTACAAAGGCCTACTTAATTCATAATTCATTCAGGCATTCATTCTACCTAGTAAATGAACTATGTTTTTGCACAGGGAACAGAGAATCTCAAATAATATGTATAAAAAGACCTTCTTGGAAAAAGTTCCTGAGATCTAAACAACTAATTTGCAAAGGGAATAACAAATTCCCTTTAATATTGGAAGCTTTTTGTATTTATAATGTGCAAAATTACATAAGGCAAGAAGAGTTGTGAAAAGCCAACTTTCTTTTCTCTTCTGAATCCTGGTGGGAAAATATTTTGCAAGTAAATAAATCACCAATGAGAAAAATAGCCAAAATCAGATATTCTAAGGTGAGAATTAAATTTTCTCCCATATTGCCATGTGTTGAGATGCCTGAGAAAAAAGTGAGAGGTCATATAAGTTTGGGAAAATTATGATATGCACAAAGCACAATAAAAGGATTTGCTATGTCCTAAGTATATAACCTGTTCTTTTATTTTTCAATTGCAGCTTACATTCAATATTATTCTGTATTAGTTTCAGGTGTATAGCATAGTGGTTAGACAACGTATACTTTACAAAGTGTTCCCTCTGATATTTCAAGTACCCACATGGCACCATATATTATGAATCTTGGTTTCTTAATTTGCCCCATCAACTTAACCATGGGTTTGAATCCAAGCTTTTCATTTAATACTGCCTGATCCTGAGCAAGTTAAGCTACTAAAAAAAAAACACAAAAACGTTTAAAATAATTTCTCCAGAGAGATGAGTTGTTGTGAAGATTTTGGGATATGATGTGAGGTGCTTACCCTAGTACATGACCAGAATGAGTACTTACAAATGGTGGCTATTAGGAACTATAAAATACATGTTAAAAAATATTTAGTATAATAACAAGGACAAAAGCAATAGGCTGAAGTCTTGACAGCATATCTGAAAATTAAGAATTCTACCAAACCAAAATATCAAAATATAATAGTTATAATTTATGTACCTGCAGCTTCTGAAATTCTTCCCTTTCTTGTCTTGATTCTTCAGATCTCTTTCTGTCTTCTTCTTCTTGAAGGTGGTGAGCCAATTCTAGGTCTCTAGAACATTGGACTCTATCCATGCCTATCAGATATTTTTAGTGTTTAGAATAAAATAATTACTGAAATCACAGCTCATTTATTACATGTTTATATATATATTTTTTTTAAAAAGGAGTAATTGCTATATTTTGCCATTTGTTCATGCCTATGATGTCACAGAAATCAAAAGTACAAAGTTAGCAGAACTTAAACTACTTTTGTAAGAGAATAGCCTCCATTTAAATCACTAACATTCACTGAGTGTTTAGGTTGAGACAAGGACTTTCCATTTATTATCTCATTTGGAACCTTATAACAACTTTAGGAAGATAGGTATTATTATCTTCTGAAGAAACCCAAACTTAGAGAAATTAGCTACATCATTCATTGGTGTTCTTTCTTTCTTTCTTTCTTTCTTTCTTTCTTTCTTTCTTTCTTTCTTTCTTTCTTTCTTTATTTATTTCATTGGTGTTCTTTATTAACACAAATCAAATAGATTGGTTTAAAAAAAAATCTGGCAAGGAAATAATAAAGAGCATAAAAATATGTTTGCAAAATAGTTATTAGATTACACAGATATTAATTATAGTACAACTTCTTGCCCTGTCTCCCCTCTATCCAGTGTTCCACAGATCCATTAGCCATTGGCTTTTAGCCAGTATCTTATCTTTTGATCCCCCAATTTGGTGGTTTAATAATGTATTTGACTATTCTTTCTTTCCTTTCCAATCTCTCAAGCCTCCACTACATCTTCCTATTTGGTCCCCACTTCTATTGTTGGAGATATGCAATTTACAACGGACTTCTAGTGTACTGCTGAGGCTATTTACAGTGATACACTCAGACCATATCTTTCTCTCATTACCCATTACAGGCTGACAGGATAATTTATGCACCAATACAAAGCCTATTCATAAACAAAGAAAGAATTATCAGATACTCAGCTCCAGAGGGTTATTCTTCCATGACAGTTCGTAAAGAACAGAGTAGAAAACTGTTCCATCTTTTCTACACTCATTCTCATCTTGGGATTAGTCTGAGTGAGCAGGTAATGCTGTCTGTCCATGGAGATAACTGACTGGTACTAGGATCAATGACACTGGATACTGAGGCCCCGGCATCAACAGGTGGTATCTATGTACCTTAAAAAACTAAAATTCATTAAAATACAGTTGGTTTCTCTTAGGGTTTATGTTATATTTTGTTTCAGTAGGACTGTGCAAGTCATATAGGATATTTCCACTTCTAAGTCACCATAGTGATTACTAAATAATACCACATTAAAAAAAATAGGGCACAGAGGAAAACTTTCATGTCACTTATAAAACTAGTAAGTGGTAATGTAAAAAGCTGGGCTAGCAGCTAGAAAGGCACTTGAAAAACTTTTTAGTCACATAGCTCACATTCTTTTTAAAATTTGTGCTGTATGACAGCATCCTAGTTCACCAACCATTTTGGCTGACCAAATGTTAAATTCAGTTACTTCTAAGCTGCTGAAAAAATGGCCTCAACTTACAAATCAGCTGCCTAATATTTCACTGTCTTCTAAATATTGGTACTCTGAGGCAAAACCCTGGATGTACGTACACCTCTAGCTCAGTTGGTCACAACAGTTTATTCTTCACAGTTTTTCTGTAAAAAAAAAAAAAAAAACAACAAAAAACCTTTTTAGCCCAGCCAGCATGGCTCAGTGGTTGAGCATTGACCTATGAACGAGGAGGTCACAGTTCAATACCTGGTCAGGGTACATGCCCAGGTTGCGGGCTCAGTCCCCAGTGTGGGGGTGTGCAGGAGGCACCAATCAATGATTCTTTCTCATCGTTGATGTTTCTGTCTCTCTCTCCTCCCTCTCCCTTCCTCTCTGAAATCAATAAAAATATATTTAAAACAAATAAAAAACCACCCCAACCTCTTTTAAAAAGTTAGAACTAGATTTGAATTCTTTAAAGGGACAGACTTATTTTTGACCAGTATGCTTTTTTTCTCTCTATATCACTAATATAAAAATTAGATATGTGTCCTAGGAAGTGGGAATTGAATAATGACATTCTTATTTTTAAACATATAAACATACCTTGTCTAAAGCTGCTTTCTTCCAAATGCAAGTCAACATGTTCCTGGAGAATATGGTAATTTGTACAGGTGAGCCCACACATAGGGCAGTCGTACAATGGTTGATCACAGTCTGTATTAGAGATATAATTCAATTGGTTTTATTTAGAAAACTTTTAGATCTTCACCCCAAGTCAAAGACTGTTTGGTTTCTTGCCAAAGAATTTCTACAACTTGAAATGTCAAGTGTTTGAATGTTCCTTCTGTGTGAGGGTTTGAAGCCACACTTTAAATGATATAAATTTACAGACATGCTCCAGCATACTCTCTTTTCCTACTTCCATCTTCTTTTAACCAGCACATAAGAGAAAATTTAAAAACAAAAAGGAAAAATTTGATGCAGCATATGCATACTCAGTTTAGGAAAGAACTTGGAAATGTTTAATTATACTCTCTGTATGATAATAAAGCTACAGAGCCTACCAAGATAAGCTAGAACACTAAGTATTTTTCTTTCAGTTTTGAGATATAACTGACATACCATACTGTATAAGTTTAAGGTGTACAGCATAATGACTTGAATTACACATATTGTAAAATGATTACCAAAATAAGTTTAGTATCCATATCATACAGAAATGAGAAAAAAATTTTTCCCCAGGTGATGAGAACTTTCAGGATTTACGCTTACTCTTGCTAAAGAGTAAATATACAGACGTGTTAGCTCTAGTCATCATATTGTATATCACATCCTCAGAGCTCATTAAATATCTTATAACTGAAAGTTTGTACCTTTGGCCATCTACATCCAATTTCCCCATCTTTCACCTCTGCCTCTAGTAATCATAAATTGAATATCTTTTCCTATGAGTTTGGTGTTTTATTTTTTAGATTCCATACATAAGTGAGACTGTACAGTATTTGTTTTTTATGTCTGACTTACTTCACTTAGCATAATGCCATCAAGGTCCACTCAGGTAGATACCAACGGCACGATTTCCTTTTCATGGCTAATATCCTACTGTATATATAGGGTGTCCATAAAAAATGTATACACACTCTTTGAATAATGATAAAGGTAGTGTTTATTAAAATACAACTCATGCCCTAGCTGGTTTGGCTCAGTGGCTACAGCGTCAGCCCTCAGACTTAAGGGTCCTGGGGTTTGATTCCAATCAAGGAGCGTACAGGCTCGATCCTCGGTCAGAGAGCACATGCGGAGGCAACCAATCAATATGTCTCTCTCACATAGATGTTTCTTTCCGTCTCTCCCCCTCCCTTCTAACTCTCTCTAAAAATCAATGGGTAAATATCCTCAGGTGAGGATTAACAATAAGTTAAAGATGTTCATCACATGTTATTAGGGACTTGCAAATTAAAGTAAGATACTACTACACATTAGAATGGTCAAAATCTGGAACATGGAAAACAAACGCCAAATGCTGGCAAGAACTGAAATCATAGTGTTTTCTGATCATAATTAAATCAAACTAGAACTCAATAACAAAAAGTCAAGAGTCTGAAACAGTCCAGATGCCATTCAGTTGATGATGTCTTTCTCTTCAGAAAGGTAATAAAAGGACTCTCAATGTAGCTGAAACATTTGTTACCTGCATGTATCTTCTTTCCCATTTTGTATTGTATTGTATTGCAACAATTGCAAATAAAAAATGCTATAGATATAGACTGATTTTTAAAACACACTTGTAGTAATCTGATTTACAAATCAACTTTCATGGCACCACATGTTAACTGGAACTAACATTAGTTATTATATGAAATGAACACTTTACCTTCTACTGGAGTGTCTAAGAGATTGGCATGATTTGTTTTCACATGAGTTTCCATATCTTGAGTACAATCTTCTATTTTTCCACAGAATGGGCATTCAGGAGGACTATACACTGTGTCATAAATTGATCCTTTTATTTTGGATAGGTCACACTGTTTTTCCTTACTTTCCAAGAATTTTCTAGATTCAGTCAAGTTCTCTGAATAAAAGGCTTTATGTTCTAAAGTACCATCCTTAGGCAGACTTTGAGCTGAAATTTTCGGATGATTAGATGCACAGGGTGAATGAATACTTGAATTAACTTCCATTCTGCTCTGCTGGGTATTGTCCTTCCTGTTATCTGAAGTTCCACAGTGTATGGTATTGATCCTCTCAAAGTTTCTGCCCAATTCATTTTGTTCAAAATGAGCAGTTTCAATATGAAAACACATTTCATCATAATTCACACCTGACAATTTGCAAAATGGACATATGACTTCATTTTCCATGTGGACAATTAGGAGATGAGCCTTCATGTCCGGTTCTGAGGTCACTGTTTCACCACAAATATCACAGGAAAGCATGGTACATCCAGCAGCTAGAAAAGAACACAATGTTATTCTAAGTTAGAGAATAAGAGTTGAAAACAAAATGCATTTTGTAAAATGATTTGGAACAATTAAGTTTACCCAAAACTGGACTATTTAGGTGAAGACATTTTCAATGTACTTACTGTTCCTCAAATATACAAACTTATTAATAAATCTCAACCAAATTGTCCCTGTGTTTCAATTTAATGAGTCTAATAAAACAAAGTCAATAATAATAATGAACATTAAAATATTTGTTCAGCTATTTCATAAAGTGCGGTCTGAGGCAGAGAGAAAGTAACATTTATAAAATTGTCCAGGGAAGATAAATCAGGTAAGAGACAACAAGGAAGCCTCATCAACTGATGTATCTGAATACAGAAACTTAAAGTTGTCAACAATGGGGAGGGTAAATAAACGCATCTTAACAATGGCAGCTAACGGTGAATGAGCTCAATATATCTCAAACTAGTTTAAGTATCATTATTATTCCCCATGGAGTAAACCCTAGCTCAGACATGTCACCACACCAAGAAATGGTTAGCTACAGTGCCAACCCAGTCAGTACTCTCAACCCGAAGAACAGAAGCCCATTGAGCAGAGTAGAAAAGAGCCTAGAGAACTGGAGTACAATCTCTGGTTTCACAGTGTCAGGGAAAGCATCTCACCGCTTGGATTCGGCTTATAACACGAGCTGTGCTAAATCAGCAGTCACGTTTGAGGTCTGTGGACTAATGAAGTACTAGCTACCGACAAGTGGTGATTTTGTTAAGAAATCACTTTTTAAAAAGCAGTCACCGCCACAACCTTCCTACCACAGACTATTATTCAGCTGCGAGCTATTTAAAGGGAAACAGGAAAAGATCAACTATTCCCACCATTTAAATAAACTTAGTTTTATAAGAACTTCCTACGCTGTCCTTGTTTTTCTCATTTCCCTTCAGAAGAGTGAAAACAGTTCCTGGTTTTAGAAGAACCCCCCCCCCCCCCCCCGCTCCCCGCGCCCCATCCCCTGGGGGGGGAAAGAAAGTCAAACCCAGCGAGTTTCTCTTCCCGCGGCCGGGACTCGGCTGGACCAGGAGGCGCGGAACTCCCTGCCACTCGGGGTGGGAGCGGGAAGGGCGGGGGGCAGTGCTGGTGGGCAAGGGGCGAGCGGGGCGGCAAGGGCCACGTCTGTCCAAGGTTCGCGCCGGCGTCCCGAGCCAGGACTCGAAACCAGCTCCGACACCGACTGGGTCAACGCTCCGGGCCTGGGAAATGAAAGCTGGGGCCGTCAGGACCTACCTCCGGCCCCGCGACCCGGCCGTGGCCACGCTACCCTCGGCTGGGCTTCCTCTTCGGGTCCCGCAGGCGAAACCGGCTGCGCGCAGAGGAGCGTGCGCGGCGTCGATTACCTTTCCTGGCCCGAGAGACGAAGGCAGGTCCTCTCTCCACCCAGAGATTCGCAGTTAACCGGGGAAAGGACCTGCGACTCCGAAAGGCTTCAGTTTGCAGCATCACATTCAAAAAAGCATTTCCTCTGGTCCCCGGAAGGGAAGGACTCCCAGAATGCACCGCTCCACGCCCGGCTGAGTTGCAGTGCATTCTGGAAGTCGTAGTCTTTTTCCACCTCCCAGCAGGGGCCGGACTGCTAACCAAGTGGGAGAGGGGAGGCTCTGACGTCTTTCTGAATGAAGGGGCGGGTCCTAGAGCACGGCAGGAGTCCACAGAGTGAGCGTTAAAATGCTACCAGATGTCACACTCTCAACTACGCTCAGCTGATGGAAGGTGGCTAAGACAAGTTCTTGCCTCAAGGTTACAAGATCCCACGTATCTTTTTTCTATAGTACAGTCCTTATTTCATTGGACAAATATTTAATGAGCGTCTATTAGCAAAGCATTCTGCTTGGAACTGGAGCTGCAGTAGAAATCAAAATACACAAAATCCAGGCCCTTTGAATCTTACATTCTGAGGTAGAGAGAAAATAAACAAATAAACTTATCATGAGAAGTGCTATAAGGGAAATAAAACTGGGTTAGTTATAGAAAGGACAAATGTAGGTAGCAAAGGTCTTTCTGAAGAGGTGAGTGTGCTTATGAACAACCTTGCACCAACAGCAGGAAGAGCATTCCAGGCAGAGGAAATGATAAGAAGAAGAAAGCCTCCCAGACTGGCGCAAAAAGAACATTTTGCGAGCTGAGCGTAACGTTCTAGAAGTGGTTACAACATGAAGTCAGAGTTGTAGGCAGGGGCCAAATCATGTAGGGTCTTGCAGAAAACTACTGGAGTAATTAAATAGGACAGTGGCATGACCTGAGATGTACAATATATATTTTAGAAATCATTCTAGGTGTTGAGTAAACATGGCAAACTGAACATGTACATTTATATACCTTGCCTCTCAAAATCTACTAAAATGACAGTAAAGTAATAAAAAATAAAAATAAATGCTTAATAAGATTTTAACAAAATCTGGAAGCTAAAACAAAGGATGAATGAGTAGTACCTAGCTTAGCTAAGCACAGAAATTCACTAAAAACAAATAACTTCATATGCCAGAAGTCTGGAGATGTTCAGAAATTAAAGCCCAGATACTTCTAAGAAAGATGTTAAATTTGGGCCTGAAAAGAGGAAAATTTTACTGAAATTCCGTATCGGGAGCAATTAGAAGCCTACCTCCAGATGTCCTCTATCACGAGGTTGCTAAGTGGCTCCTCTTTCCCTCCCAGACAGAACACTACAGGTTTAGCTTATGAGGAAAATGAACCAGCGAGGCTATGTAGTTAAAAGGATGAGGGTCAAGGTATTGAACTGAAAATGGGAAATAATGAAAGCTAAATACTGAATTATGAGGCCCCTCGCCATTTCCTCCCATCACATTCTGATGCCTGATTTGTGGTTCCAAGTCAGGAGATTGGAACATTATTCTCCAGGAAAACCATTGGTCCAAGATGGCTGTTAGAAAATCCTCCAATGAAATACCGAGATCTCATTTAATCTCTCTGTAGGGAGGCCAACAATCAGGGAGTCAACAGGCCCCACTGATACACAGGCTTCCAATGAGTTTCTTTAATGTCTCACTCTTAAATATGGGTACTCAACAATCTCCAGGCATTGGAGTACAGCCTGTGGCAGGAAAGATGAGAATCAAAATGATCAAACAGGAAAAAGTAACTCTGAAGAAACAGAGACAGCGAAAAAGGGCGAAAAAAAAAAAATAGTTCAAGGAAACTATAATATCTTCAGAGAGACAAGAAAAGACATATAATCCCTGAATCAAAAATAGGAAATAGCTTTTGGGATTAAGAAAAAAAAAATACAATAGCAGGAATAGAGAGCTGGTGGATAACCTGGAAAACAAGTGCTTCTTAGGGGTAGGAGTTGTGTATGTGGGTGTTTAAATCTTGTATATTCTGTGCCTGGTATTGGGTCTGGAAAAGTCTGTTTTCAGTACTGTTTGTTGAACGTCAGGATGGTTTACCAGGCTATCCAAAATGTGTCATGTTAATTTAGAGTACTTTATCTGGAGTTATTTCACATAACAGTGACTATGAGTGTGTGTGTGTGTGTGTGTGAAATCCACAGATGTTATGGAATCCAAAAGTTTAAATGGCAAGTCGAAAGGCTGTAAACAAAGGGGAGCGTATAGGTCCCTATACTATAGGAACAAGGTAATGCAGCTGAAGATGGAAAGAGCCTCTGCGAGGCTCCATGAGGTTAGCATTTCTATCCGCTGTGAATACTGTTGCAGCTCCAACATCTAAAACAATGCCAGGCGCCGATTAGGCTCCATGAATACTGCGCTGTGGGATGGACTGGGGGGATGAATGGGCGGTAGGGATGGATGGGGGGAGGGAAGGTGGGAGGGATGGGTCCGGGGAAGGATGGGTGGGTAGGTGGATGGATCGGGGGACGGACAGACGAACGCGTGAGTGAATGATCGACTGAGAGCGCGCACGGAGGACCGGGGCAGTCGGACGCGCTCCTGCCACGGGGCCCTCTCGGGTTTAAAACCCCGAGGTCCGAGCAAACGCCGGCTGGTCCTTCGGGGGCGCGCTCCACTCCGCCCCGCGGCGGGTCCCCGCGGCCGCCGCGTGCAAGGGCTTCTGGGAGCCGGGCCCCGGGGTCCCGGGGAGGGGGCGCAGGTGGCCGCCATCTTGGGCTGCGAACCGGGTCGCTCCGTTCGACGCTAGGGGCGGAGTGGCGACCCCGCCGTCACCCGCAGCCGACGCGCAGCCGGAGCCGGGCAGTGCGGGCGCGGGTGGAGCCCCGTGAACGGGTAAGTGGCGCGGCCCCGCCGGTTCCTGAGCCCTGGGGCTGGTCCCCTGAGAGCCACGAGTTCCCGGCGCCGCCGTCTTCATTGACCTTTTCCCGGCGAAGGTTCAGAACCGGGCCCGCCGGGCTTCCCGCAGGTTCCCAGGGGGACGGCGGCGGGGGCGTGGCGGCCGGACCTGGCCCCGCGGCGCCGATCCTCCCAGGCGGCCGGCGGGTCCCGGGAGGGAGCGCCCGGCGGCCCGTGGCACCCTCCGCCGCTCTGCCCGCTTCTCGGTTGTCCCTCCCTCGGCGGCACGGGTCTGGCCAGGGTGGCCGCTCCCTCCTGGGCTCGGCGTCCGCCCGTGTCCGGCGGCTGATGACAAGCATCGGGGCCCGGACGGAGGACGGCTGCGTCCGGGGCCCCGCGCGTCGCCCCCTCTCGCCCCGCCGCTGGGGCGCAGGTGCCGGGAAGGGCTCGCCCGGCTCCTCTGTCGGCGCGGATGCGCGGCTGGCCACCCCGACCACCAACATCCAGTGGTGTCTTCCATCCGCCCGAGAGGGGAAGGGATCCTAGAGCTGGAAACGGGGCGGTGACGCCTCGAAAGGAATGACATTGGCATTTACTCTAGAACTTCTTGAACACGTTAACACACACACACACACACACACACACACACACACACGAAAACGCACTTCTGGCTTGATGGCTCCGTTACAACACTGAATGATTCTCATGCTGCAGGAAAGTCACTTGTGGGTAAAAAGAGACGGTTCTGTCCTTTTGATTTAAGTGCGGGTGTCGGGGCTGTGGCCGCCCGCTGCCCCCCTTGTGCCCATCCTGTAATCTTACTCGCAGGCGCCCAAGCCCATGGAGAGGGAGGCTTGCGGGTACAAGACATTCCGTTTGACAGATGTTAGAAAAATGTTAGGTGCCAGTTATCTGCCCAACCTCAACACAGGTTTTCACAGAGCTGGGCCAAAAAAAAGCTTATGATGGAAGAAATTCCTCTGTTTTGCAACATCAGAGTGCCTGAGTAGCGTTTCTTACATTTGAAATAACTTGCAGGAGACCGCAGCCTTTAAAGCATAGGATTCAAAGTTATTTTCCAGAGAACGAAACAGTCCTCTTGAATGAGGAACCTTGAGAGCTGAGTTTCTTTGGGCTTTACGTCCTCTTTAAACTGCTGTGAAGACGTAGGCAAGAAGTCAGTACCGTAGAAGAAAAGGGAATCGATGATGTAGGTATCAGTGCTGGAGCTAGATTTTAACTTGGTTAACATATTTATGTAAAACAGGTTTAATGTGGTTACCTAGATTACTGGTCTGTTGTATGTGTTGAGGAGGCACAAATGATTCAGTTAGATGTGGAGAGAAAATATTAGAACTTCCATTAGTTTACCTTTTAAAACTATTACTTTAAAATCGTTTTCTATTTGTGGATTTTTGTAATGGGATAGTTTATTAGGCTAACATTACATGTATATAAATAAACATACTGAGGATGAATGTACAAATACGGGGGGGGGGGATGACAAAGTAGGTTAATAGTTGCTTCTATGGAAAATAATATAATCCTATATAATAAAAGCGTAGTATACGAATTGTCCCCTCATCTGGGAGTTGTCCGAGAGTTCGACCAGAGAGTGGGGCCGGCCGGGGGAAGGGAGGAGGCCCTGGCAGTGGCAGGCAGCTGGCAGCTGCTAGGAACCCTACCAGTGCATGAATTTCATGCACTGGGCCTCTAGTAATTAATAATAAGACAAGAATAAACTGTTTTTTGTACTCACAACTGTAAACCTACTTTTGCCCAACCCTGTATTTTTTGTGTACATACCTACAAGTGATAAAAACAGTTTAGAGATCAAGGGCCTACCTAGATAACTCCTTTTGTATAGGAGATACATATTTTTAATAGGATTATTGCTGTGAACATTTCATTTTGCTGAAATATTTTCTACTTATTCAGTATACAGAGGGGGGAAAAGTTTTACAATTGTGAGTATTCGAAACATGAGTTTATTCTTGTATTATTATTAATTATTGTGTTATTTTTCATATGAACAACTGTAAACCCACTTTTGTCCCACCCTGTATAAGAGTCTACAGTAAGCTAAGTGCCATACAAGACATCAGACTTGATAATTAGGTCACTGGTAAATAGTGGTGGAGCTAAAGGTAGAACAGAATGGGCTGAGGACTTTGGAATGATTTAAAAGGTACTTTGTATATTTGAATTTAACACATGTATTATAGCAATTAAGGTATATTTATAATCCACCCAAATCCCTCTTTATATATTTAATGAATTGATTTCAGAAATAGTGTGTGCACCAACACATATTTGTCATTAGAAGCAACTTGTTCAAGCTTTATTAATAACAATGTTTAGCATTGTTCTTTATTTCATATATAAAAATTCTGTGTCATTAATAAGAACATAGTCCCTTGAGGGAAAAAATGGAGATCAGAGATCATTACTGATCTTCAACTGAGCTTCAACATGAGTTATTGAATTAAGTATAGTATTCTTTACATTCACCAGGTCTCTAATTATTGAATCAATTTCCAGATTACAAGAACCATATGTGTTCTTACCTACCCTTCTAGCTTTATCTCCTGCTCCTGCTTCCGTATGTTCTCTTATTCAGGCACACTCAATTTTTTACTGTTTTGTGTTTATGCCAGGCTTCTTCAAGAACTGTCTTTACAGATATTCCCTCTGCTTGAAATGCTTGTTCTTTCCCTTTTCTCTCTTCATCTCCTTCCCTGGGAAATTCTTGTTCATCCTGTAAGAGAGGATAACTGTGAGTACTTTCAGAGCCCCCCAGGCACAGTTTGTTGCTGTGTCTTCTATGTTCTCACAGGGTTTAATGCAGATGTTTTAGTGTACTTTACCTCTTACAATATAATTTGCCAGTTGAATAGTCTATTTCTAATACATCAGGGATGGCAGGTAAATGTCAACTTTTTCTTCTCTGTGTTTACTTCATAAGTGCTAATTGATTACAGCGTTCTCTCTGGTTGAGAGAATGGGTATATTATCAAAATTTATCAGACTAATGTTAGAAACAGACATTAATTATCTCATGTTAAATTCAAGTTGAAACCCTGTATTAGACTCATATTTTAATGTGTAAATCCAGGATAGGTTATAATATCAGTAATTTAGTATTCATTTCAGATATCAAAATATCAATGTAATACTATTATTAAAAAGCATTTATAATTATTTTCCTAAAAGTAAAACTATTACATATATTGCAAATAGAAAATTTCATATTTATACAAAATAAACATTTTAAATATGCTTATAAAATGTTAAGGTTTTAAAATACATTTGTAATAAGACTAATTTCCAAATAAAATATACAAGCACTTCAGTATTTAAAAAGAATGAATTATACTGTAGCAATGAAATCTGGTATTGCAGCCATGACTCAAGTCATGCCTATGTGTGGCCTTAGTTCTTAAGCAGTGGCTAAAGTAAGTGGAAGAAGCCAGCCTGCAGTAAGTATCTGAGGTGTGCTTATTGAAGCCCAATGCCATAGTCCATTGGAAATAAGACACTTCATTGCTGGCTATTTCTCGATCTTGCCAGAAGCTGTAATTTAGAAGTTTTTTACCCACCTATTTCATGATTATTTCCTGGCTGACAGTGGTTTTAAAATGCATCCCACGTCAGAGAGGTTGAAATAGCAGGGATGGGGCATGCACCTTAGAATCAGTGAACTTAGGGTAATGACTTTGTGTTTAGACCGGAGTCTGTTATTTGTTTGATAGTTTAGTGCTAAAAAATTAGGTCATTTTGCTCACATTTGATATGGAAGTGCGGGAATGTGTTCTTTGTACGTAATTTTCAGAATGGGTTTTATTGGACTATTTAATCTGTGAACCTGAATTTAGTTGCCGTAGGGTAAACATCTCATGTTTGAGAATTATCAGTATCCTTTTTTCTCTCTCCTAACCTTAAGGTGCCATGGCTTATTCAGGGAAAGATAACTATAGAATGAAAAGTTATAAGAATAAAGCCCTAAATCCCCAAGAGATGCGTAGAAGAAGAGAAGAAGAAGGAATACAGCTTCGAAAACAAAAGAGGGAAGAACAGGTAGGTGTTTTAAAATAATTAATTATGCTTAACACAAGAACATTATATGCAGATTTTAGAAGTTGTATTACATTGCTAATTTTTAGAGAATTTTAAATAAAAAGTGTTTTAGGAAATTGAATATAGATAAATCTATTCTTTAATTTACTGGACTTTAGAAATAATATTAGCAAACTCATGAGTCAGAATCCTGTTCTGTTTTTAAAAAAATATATTTTATTGATTTTTTCACAGAGAGGAAGGGGGAGGGATAGAGAGCCAGACACATCGATGAGAGAGAAACATCGATCAGCTGCCTCCTGCACACTCCCCACTGGGGTTGTCCCTGCAACCAAGGTACATGCCCTTGACTGGAATTGAACCTGGGACCCTTCAGTCCGCAGGCCGACACTCTATCCACTCAGCCAAACCGGCCAGGGCTCCTGTGCTATTTTTAATCACTGATAGGCATAGCTTTTCTGTTTTATTGATAAATATATATGATGTTAATTATATTTCTACACTGGTGCTAAAGAAATTTTTTACTTTTGAGTCTATTTAGATCACTTTCATTTGTTATTGTAAAATTTTCCTCCTAACATAACATTAATTATATTAATTTGTTGCTTTTGTGGTTTTCATAGCTTTTGCCCCTAAGTTAATTATAGTCTTTTTTTCTAAGCTAATCATACTGTTCCTCCTGTAGTTTCATTATCCAAATCTCTTAGCCTTCTCTGTTTGAACTTTGCCATAAGTAATTTGAAAATCTTTTAAAAGAGCACATCTCAACATTTTTCATTCTAACATATATTTAAATTTAGAAGTATCTATAATAATAAAAGCATCATATGCTAATTAGACTGGACGTCCTTCCAGATGAAGCTGCGGTGGGCAGGGGCCAAGGCAGAGGCAGCTGCGGTGGTGGCGGGGGCTGAACCCCTTGCACGAATTTCATGCATCAGCCTCTAGTTTATAAATAATAAGGAGGATGTGGGTTTCACGTACATGAATTAAAATGAATGTGTGAAGCCCTAGCCTGTTTGGCTCAGTGGATATAGCATTGACCTGTAGACTGAAGGGTCTAGGGTTCAGTTCCCCATCAAGGGCATGTACCTTGGTTGCAGGCTCGATTTCTGGCCCAGTAGGGACATGTGTGGAGGCAACCAATCCAGGTGTGTCTCTCACATCCATGTTTCTCTCTGTTGCTCCCCCTCCCTTTCACTCTCTCTAAAAATCAATGGGAAAATATCCTCAGGTGAGGATTAACAAAACAAACAAACACTTGAAAAGGACTAACAATGAAGAAAGTAGAGAAATATCATTTAGAAATATGATTATGATTTGTCATCTCCCTATATATAGTATCTAGCACAGTCCCTTCTGTATTATAATAGGTATTAAAAAAAGGGAACTCTGTTGAATTAATTACTTGAAAGAGAACTGTGTACAGATTGAAGAAGACCAGTTCTTATTTAGCTATAAAAAATAACAACATTTTTACCCTCAATTTTGACTTAGGAAATGTACCTTTATTTTTTTAAAAAATTTTTTACAAGTCATTTGGTATCTTAAATGATAGTTAATGAACGAGGATGAAAATAGTAAAGGAACATTATTATGGCAATTTATATCAGTCATTCTTTAAATACCAAAACAATGTGTTATTTTATAATCTATACTAGTAATAGAGGACTATGCAAATTGCTCAGAACGCCCTCACGCAATGACCAAACAACAGGCTGTGTGGGGTGACCAGGCCGGCATGGGGGGGGTGGGGTGGGGCAGTGAGGGGCGACCAGGCTGGCACGGGGGGGCAGTTGGGGGCAACCAGGTTGGCAGGGGGGGGCAGTGAGGGGCAACCAGGCCAGCAGTGGGGGCAGTTATGGGTGATCAGGCCGGCAGGGGAGGGCAGTTACAGGCGATCAGGCCGGCCGGCAGGTGAGCGGTTAGGAGTCAGTGGTTCTGGATTGTGAGAGAGTGCAGGCTGAGCTGAGGACCACCCCCTACCTCCTCCCCCCACCCCCCCACAGAAATTTCATGCACCAGGCCTCTAGTGTTACTATAAAAGTCAATGCAAGATAAACTAGAAGTGAATTCCATCTACCTAAGTGTCCTGCCACATTTCCTTCAGCATTTTAGGGCTTTCAAACAGACTATTCCTACAGTATCATAAAATCATAGGATTTTATCTTAGTTCAGTTTCTTCACTTGCAGATAAGAAAACTGCAGAGAAATCAAGTGTTGTATTTTCCCCAAAGGTCACAAAGTACTACTAAAGGCAGATCTTAGAACCAGAATCTAGAATTGTCCTGTCCCCAGATCCAGTGTTTTTAATGTTCAAAAGGCTCCCAAGGACCTTTATCTTTTTTGGCTTTGCATTGGTCTTTGGGGACCAGATGCACGCGTGAGTTGCAAATTCCAAAAGGGACAATTCTAGAGCTCTGGAGAGATGGGGACTAAATGTTCAGTATGTTATTCAAGTGATTGCATGCTCCAGTTATTTCCCAAAATAGTTTCAAATACAAATCTTAAATGCTTTATTTTAAAGAAGCATTAACAAAATAAGGAAATGGAAAGTTCATTATTTCATGTTTAGAAAGAAGAATGGAAATACTGTATTTAGGATGACTTTTCTGTTCAATCTTCTACTTCCTAGCTATTCTTCCAACACTGTAATTGCAGAGCACCGTCAACAAAGTCATTCATGTGTCATCTGTGTCACATATGTGTACATATAATTTTTGTTACGCTTCATACACAGATGTTCCTAGTTGGTCTTGTTTTGCTCTGACCTTCCCAGAAATGGGCAGGAGCAGACAGAAACAACATTGGGACTTTTTGCAAGAGCTGTCAGTTTAAAAAACCCCGTATTACTTCTCTCTTACTCTTTTCCCATGGAGGGTGTTTCTTGCTGCCTTGGCTGCTAGCACTCTGCCCCTCATAGACTCAACTATTAGGACTAAGGGAGATCAACTGCTCAGTGGAAGAACCAGAAATGACTGAAGTTCCATTGCAACCCAGATATTCTACATATCCTGGTTTATAATTTATAAATACAATCCTTCCGATATGCTTCTTTGAAATTGATAGTCCTGCTGATTCACACCACTAAAGCAGGGACAGTTTGATCAAGGAGATCTTCCCTCAGCTAGCCCACATCAGTCTGGTTTTGACTTTCAAGCAGAAGAATATAAAAGAGGGCAGGAGAGGGAAGAGGAGAAATGAAAGAGAAACGAAGTCAAAGACTGAGAAATGGAGAATGGAATGAGAAAGAAGGAGGAGGAGCAGGAGGAGGAGGAGAAGGTACAGGAGGAGGAGGAGGAGGAGGAGGAGGAAGAGGAAGAAAAGTGTTAAAGAGAAGGAGAGAGAGGAGAAGGAAAGGAGAGCGATGGCATAGCATGAAGTTGATGTGTTGGAATAAAAAGAACAAAGATTTTGGAGCCTGAATAAATGGGTTTTATGTTCAGCTTGACCTTTATTCGATGTTGAACAAGCTATAATGTTGAACAAACTAGAGAAATCTATTGTCTCTCAACTTCTCCATCTGACAGAGAAGGATAAAACACTGCCTGTGTTATTTCATGGGGTTCTTACATGATGAGGTGACCTATGAAATGTACCTTTAAATTTTCCTTAGTGACCTCATCATGTTTCATTCTTTCTCTCTCTTGTTTGTTTGTTTTTTTCTTAATTTTTATCCTGAGATAATAGGCATTGGGCCATCTTTTGTTAGAGGAGTTCTCTATTCCTTGTTAATCTGATACACTAACTGTTAATATACCACATTATCTCATCCATGTAATATTTACTTTTTAGTTAAGATTTTCTTGGAAACGTTCTTAGGCATCTCATAATCTGGTGTGGTCATAACGTGTTTTCACAAATGCTGTAAATTATAAATGTGCATTCTACTCATGAGACTAGCCTTTTTTTAATTTGACATAAAAACCAATTTTATTTTATTCTTTCTTTCTTTATTTTTTTAATTGTCCAAAGTTTTACATTTGTCTCCTTTTTCCCCAATTGATGTCCCCCCACCCCCCACCCCAGCCAAGACTAGCCTTTGATAAGACCTGAGATTGACCCAACACAGTCTACAGGACAAGCGCTAACCTAGTCCAGAAAGTATTTAACTTCTCATAGACAATTTAGGTCTTCATGATATAATGATTGGGAAATATTAACATATTCAGAATTTTAAATAAAATTATTAAAATATTCAGAATTTTAAATAATTTTAAATAAAATTATTAAAATATTCAGAATTTTTAATAACTTTAAAAATTATTAGCTTGTTTGTTCACTTCCACAAAAAATATAATTCCATAGGAATCCACTGTTCTATGGAAAACTCAATGTTAGAGTGATTTCTCTTTATTACAGCTGTTTAAACGCAGAAATGTCTCTTTGCCCAGAAGTGATGAATCTATGCCAGAAAGTCCTATTCAGGATCCAGATATCAGTTCCACTGTACCCATTCCAGAGGTAGATATTATAAAAATCTATTTCAAATTATACTTCAACATTATTTCGGATTGTTATCTATGTAAAGTATTTAAATGAAATTAATTATATTTTCTTTTCCGTGTTTTAGGATGATGTTATAACCGCAGATATGGTTCAGATGATTTTTTCTAATAATGCTGATCAACAACTAACAGCGACACAGAAATTTAGAAAGCTGCTTTCTAAAGGCAAGAATTGTTTTCAATATGCTTATTTGATATTACAATGTTCTGTAGTACTGACTTTATTTATGAGGTATTTTTTGAAGTACTTTTCTTTGCTAGAAGGGTCTTGATCTTTAAAATATATTTTTAAATAAAATCAGTTTTTAAACATATTATCAAAGTAACACATGTTGATTATAGAATATTTGCAAATATAAACAGAAAAATTACAGAAGCAAATATAGAAATCATTATTCCCACTGCCAAGAAACAAAGTTATAGAAACATTTTTTCCGAAAATTTTTTTTAAAAAAAATATATTTTATTGATTTTGTACAGAGAGGAAGGAAGAGAGATAGAGAGTTAGAAACATCGACAAGAAAGAAACATTGATCAGCTGCCTCCTACACACTGTTGGGGATGTGCCTGCAACCAAGGTACATGCCCTTGACCAGAATCGAACCTGGGACCCTTCAGTCCGCAGACCAGCGCTCTATCCACTCAGCCAAACTGGCTAGGGCTCACTATATTCTTAACAGCATGACTATAAAAAGAAAAAAATACTCATGTGCCGGGGTCCAACCCCAGCAGGTCCAGGGGTCCCCAAAGGTGTAGACGGAGTCGGCGAAGAAGGAAAGACACAGAGACAGTGTTCAGTTGATCAGCAGCCTAGCCAGGATCTCCAGCCAGGATCTCCAGCCAAGTTCTGGTCTGGATCTCCAGAGAGGTTCTGCTGTTTATTGTTTTGTTACATCCGTATTTATACCAGTTGATTTTAATCCTGTCAATTTCTATTACAAAGGTTAGGGCGTTTCTTATCTCCATTCCAGGGAGTAAAGATTATGTAGCTTAAGCATGATTGTTTGTAGTGATTAACTACCCGCCTGGCACTTAGTTAAGGAGTTTCATCCCCTCGCTGACTTCAGGGAAAAATTCCTACCTGGGGAAACAACCTTTCTAGGAGAGGCATCCCCTCCCTGACTTCAGGGAAAAATTCCTACCTGGGGAAACAACCTTTCTCAGAGAGGTGACCTTGGTTAAAACACACAGCGCTAAGGGGAGCAAACATATTAAGAACAGTATGCTATATACACCAGGTCCCTTGAAACATATGCTGTGCAGATGTTTCTATCCTGCAGCGACTGTGTCAAGCAGCAAGGATGGACCGGCTTCCGGCAAATTCCCCCTTTTTTATTTTTTAAATGATAGCACATGCAAATCAGTGGCCACCTCTCAGATTGGGCCGTTTAAAACTCAGAAGAAGACTGGCAAGCAATGACAGTGAGCATAACCATAAACATAGTGGATGGAGTGCACAAGGAGCCCCATTCCTGTAGAAGGTTGCCAGCCTCTTCAGTCAAGGGATTTCAGCTGTCCTCAAGTTGTTGGTTTGATTGTCTTTGTTGGTCTGGCTAGTGGGCGGCGTCACTGGCGACAGGCTTCCCGAAGCGTCAGCAAGTTGAAGGGCTGCATCAAAGGGTCCATCAGGGCCGTGGTTGATGGTGGTGTCGATGTCTGAGGAGAAGTAAGCTGTGCCCTCTGGATCCAGCTGATATGGAAAATGGAGGGTAGTAGAAAAAGAAGAGAAAGCAAAAGAACTACAAGGCATGGAAGTGTTTAGAAAAAAGAGGGAGAAGAAAGGGAAGAATGCAGCATCCTGACACAGCCCTTTCCTTCAGCTGCCCCTTTCCCTGTGGTCCAAGGTAGAAATGGGAAACAAGTCCTGTTGCAGTGAGAGGGCAGCTGCTGTCAGCCAGTCTCTGTCTTTACCTGGGTCCCGATCTGAGCTGGGCATGGGAAGCAGGAAGCAGCCATGGGGACAGGAGACCTTCCTCAGAAGGGCCGAGTGTTCAAGCCCCTGCACCATTGGGGAGGGGGGTCTGTGCCCCACCTTTGTTGCACCCCAAGTTTTCTCCTACTGGCCCCCGACTGTGCCTGTCTTAGGTTGCCCCACCCTGTGGAGTCTTACCCGTCGTTGCACTCATGTAATAGTAGCTCATTATGTAGCATTTTTTGAGTACATAAATTGAATATTTTTCTTTAACTTTTGACCTTTGTAATTTGCCTCTGTTATTTGTCTAATTTTATATTGAGTTTATAAAAATTTCTTATTAAATAAAAATTTAATGCTTGTGTTTTAATTATGTAATTTATAGAATTAGTTATTCCAATTATACTGAGTTGTATATATGAATTGATAAAAATTTTGAAAATGCTCTTGGCTAGCTGCTTTATCTTCCTAAGAGAAACAGAATTTAGTTACACATGAGGAGTAAAAGAAATTTTATTTTCAGGTCAGCATAAATGACAAGATGTTTGCCTTTGCTTTCTTACTGTAGTTCTTGTTTACAGATACATTTAACTTTTGTTTTCCATTTCTGCCAAGCTAATGTGGCCTAGAAGTGTTAGGCAATCCTTATATAACCAAGAACGGCTTCCTCTTCCTCAACATACTCTACAATTTTTGTTTTTGAAATTGGGATTATTTTTTGAATCAGGATAATATTTAGAAGTACTTTACATTATCATATTCTCTTTCAAGATTTCTTTTTCATATATGCATTATATTAAAATGAATTGACAGGATTCATTTAGATTTAATTCTGTTTAAGAATGTTAGAATATGCCTACAGTGTTTTTATACCACAACTTCCCCATTAATTCTTTAGTTTTTAATATTTTATCCTCATTTGCCCTATTCCTCGTGGTATTCTGTTTCTTTTAAACTGTAGTTTCTTTTTCAGAGAGCCAATGATTTTTTTCTGTTTCTTTATAGTGGGATTTTGCTTGCCCAAGTTGGCACATAGCAGGAATTATATACTGCTTGTTGTGAGTTCCTGCAAAATCTTTTAGGCCTAGAAAAATGTTAGTTTTACTGTCATTTTACTTGATCCATTACTGTAGGAAATATGAAAAAGGAGCTAGAACTGGAAGAACTCTGATTTAAGTCATAATAGTGACATTTTGCTAGGATATCCTATTTACTTCCGTATCATGGCCACTTTTGTAGATGTAAATCACAAGTTGTTCTTTCTTAAATCCCAGTTTTGTAGAAATTTCTCCAAAGTTTTTGGTAGTGGAGGACTCTTAGTTTTAAATGCTGAAGCAGATAACTGCTATTGTACTTACATTTATACTAGAGGCCAGGTCCCTTGGCCTGGCTGGTGATGGGGGTGGCGGGAGGTTGGCCAGCCGGGGGAAGGTGCCACAGGAGGTTGACTGTGGGAGTGCATTGACCACCAGGGGGCAGCTCCTGCATTGAGCGTCTGCCCCCTGGTGATCAGTGTGCATCATAGCAACCTCTTGACCAGTCATTCAGTCATTCACTTGTTTGGTCGCTTAGGCTTGTATATATATCCTCCTCCTATATAATAAAAGCCTAATATGCTAAGTATCTGGTCGGCCATTCAACCAATCCAAGTGTAATATGCTAATGATATGCTAAGGCTGCTCAACTGCTCACCATGACGTGCACTGACCACCAGGGGGCAGACAGTCGACCGGTTGACCAGTTGCTATGACGTGCACTAACCACCAGGGGGCACATGCTCAATGCAGGAGCTGCCCCCTGTTGGTCAGTTCGCTCCCACAGGGGGAGCGCCGGTCAACCAGAGCCAGGCTCATGGCTGTGGAGGCAAATGTATTGTTTTATCCTGTTGATGTTTTATAGCTATAATTATAGTTTAAGCTAGGATCTAGAATTTACATTTTGAAGATTTCAGACTTTTCATTTAGAACACCCAAACAAAAACTTTATGTTTATGGCTTTACTAGCTTGGCAGAAATAAAGTAGTTTTTGAACAAATGAAAAGGACAGAAAATTTGTAGAAAAAAGAAGAGAAGGGAGAAAGAAACCCATTCCTAAATAAACCTTCCTTAACAATTGAGAACATGATTTCTAAGATTTACACTGATTTAAAATGTAATAATAGAGTTTTTTCTATATCATGACAGGATTTATACAGCTCTTTTATGGTTACACTTTATTTATTCTACTGATTAAACACAATATTTTAACATGTATATATGAGTTATTTATGATTGGAAATGCAACCCAACACCAGAATTTAGAAGAAAAGGAGGAGTCAAAAGTAGAAATGAGGTTTTTTATTCTGTGAATAATAGATGGACAGATTACTAAGTGATAGACAAATTTGGGTAGTGGTATAGGGCAAGGGGAAGGTATAAGCAGTGATATTATGAGTTTGGTTTTGGTTATGCTACATTTTAAAGAAGTTGAGAATAAGAAATGGGGCAAAAGACACTTAAAATGTGGTCTAGAATCTAAAAGAGAAGAATTCAGTTATGGGGGTTAGATTTATGGATGATCACAAATGATAATCACAAGGGACAGGTGAATTAACAGGTAAATTTTCTAGAAAGAAAGTAGATAACAGGGAGAAAACCAACCCGAAGGAGCATCAACAGAGAAGTTCCTGGAGAAGCCTAGGGTCTACTTTTTGCTGAAGTAAGGGAAAGGAAAGAGTTCTTGGTACTTAGATTGGAGTAACTGAGATATGTTTATTTTAATTCTGAATGCCTTTGTTTTAAAATTTCTTAAATATTTTATGATTCTCAAAAGCCCTCTGCATTTCATGAAAATTTATCAAGAATTCTAGATAGTCCAATAGCATTTATGTAAATAATAAATAGTACCCTGAGAAAATGAGACATTAGGCAATTCATGGCTAATATGGAGATATCCCTGGAAATGTGGGTATGATTATAAAGAATTAGTGGAAACATTATTTCTCAGTTGGTATTTTGAGTATTGGATTAAAGTAGCTCCCGTGTTGTAAAGGTGAACTCCTTAATAGCCTTCAACTTATTAAATTTAAATATTTGTACACATAAATTTACTTATTCATTTATCTATTTTTCATCTTTTTTAAATTGAATTTATTGGGGGGACAGTGGTTCATAACACCATACAAGTTTCAGGTGTACAACTCAATAAAACATCATCAGCACCCTGCGTCGTGCACCCATTGCCCCAAGCATGGTCTCTTTCTGTCCCTGTTTCTCCCCCCTTTGCCCACTCCCACCTGCCCTCACCTCCCTTTTTCTAAATTTTCTTGTTATTATAGTTATTGAAAAAGAATTCGCTTTTCAGTAAACATTGCAATTATAAGAACATATGTTTTCTTCAGTTATATCCAGCTAGAATTTTAAACTTGGTCAGTGAAACCTAAGAAAGAATTATTTTGTGTGCCTGTTAATTGACACAGACACCAGATCATTGTCTGTTTTTGTCTATGTAATAACTTAATTTTTTTTTAATTTTTAGAACCTAATCCACCAATTGATCAAGTTATACAGAAACCTGGAGTTGTACAGAGATTTGTGAAATTTCTTGAAAGAAATGAAAATTGTACTTTACAAGTGAGTTCTATAGTTTTTGTTCTTAATTGCTTTCTAGAAATGACATGATTGAAATTTTTAGTGAAAGCAGCTTCTGCAGTACTGAATATATTGTCAGCTTCCGTGAGTACTTGGCAACGAAAGGAAAAGGTGGTATCACTTGTCTTATCATGGTCATGGTTGTCTTCTAGGAACTGTTAGTAATTTTGGGAAAAGTTTATAAAGTCATTCCTAATAACTTAATTGTTACTCCTTAGTTTGCCTGTTGATTTGCAGGTCATTTAGTTTTTTGTGTTTTTTTGGGGGGAGACATGGATTGAATTTTCTCAGTTGTTTTTGTTATAAATCCATCACATATAAGTATATACAGATTCTAAGTGAATTGATTTAACTAACTTCTCAGAGGCTCTGCTGCTTAAAAGAATACCAGAGGTCCTACTTGTGGCCTTGTCAATAGTGAACTCTTTAACCTTGAACAAATCACCTAAATCTCTGGACTTCTAATTTTCTTATTTCTTAAATGAGAAGGTTGGGACTAGATGATCACTAGGGAAACAAAACTACTTTTTATAGTTCTAAGTTTTCATAAATATATTTTTCTATTAAGTAGTGTGTCATTAATTTTAAACTGCTTGCTTTAGAACATCTGGCTCTCTAATAGACATTAAGAGTTTTGTGAATTATAAATTCAAATGTGTTCACTTATGGTTCATTAGTTGTAAATTTTTATTATATTTTTCTCAGTTCTTATTTTCCTCGATTGAGAGTTCTTTTTAAAAATTAAGGTTTATTTTTTTCTGTGAAATCTGATTTCAAATTTAATCTTATTAATTATAAGGCTGTCCATATCTCAGACTTGTCCCACTAAGTCTTTACTTCCACTCTTCTTCCATTCTTTCTTTTTCTGACATTTCTTTGGTGCTTTCATTTATTCTACTTTTATTTTTCTTTAGTTTGAGGCTGCATGGGCATTAACTAATATAGCGTCTGGAACTTTTCTTCATACCAAGGTAGTGATTGAAACAGGGGCTGTTCCAATTTTTATCAAACTTCTAAATTCAGAGCATGAAGATGTTCAAGAACAGGTAAGTTTCTATTTGAACTGTTATATTTATTAGATTTTTAATTTTCTCATGAAAGTACCACTGGTGATTATGATTTGAATTTTATTTTTACTAAATTTCCTGTGTATTGCATTTGTTAAAAATACAGTGATTTCCGTCATGTCAAGTTGGAAAGGAAAATTAACTGTCTCAGACATCATCCTGGTTATTTATAAACGTGATCTCAGCTATAAGGAAGTACGATACCCATTTATAAAAGAGCATACTGAGACCCAGAAAGTTAGTAATTTACCCAAAGTCACAGTAATGGCTGAACCAAATTTTAAACCTGCGCTGTTCTGACTCCTTATTCTTTGCAAGAACATATATTATTTTGGTTGTTTCTTTTTTAAAAATATGTTTTTATTGATTTTTAGAGAGAGAGAGAGTAAGGGAGAGGGATCGGCTGCCTTCTGCACACCCCTTACTAGGGACTGAGCCTGCAACCTGACCAGGAACCGAATTTGTGACCTCTTGGTTCCTGGGTTGATGCTCAATCACTGAGCCACACCGGTCAGGCTTGTTGTTCCTTTTTAAAAACATTACTTGATTTAGAATAGAACCATTTAAAAATAAACTTTATGAATAAATTCTTAATAGTTGTTGTACGAGGAAAATTTTAAACATAAAATTTGTGCCATCCAAACAAAATAAAATGTGTTGATATTTTGTTTTAAATCCTTTTAATGCAAATTGATCACATATATATTTATATTTTCCCACTTAACACTAATATTGGGAGCTTATTCTTATGGAATTAATTATATTCAAAGAAAATTTTACTGATTATTCATCCATTCAAGAAATTCATTTCTCAATTATACATTGGAGTTATTTCTAGTTTATTAGTATTATTAATATTGTGATAACATTGTTATATATTAGTTTTTATGTGCCTCATAATTATTTTATTAGGGAAAAATGACTTTACCCTGTCAATAGAAAACTTCTTAGAGTTTTTATTTCATATTTCAAAGTTGACCCCCCAAAAAGTTATACCAATTGATATCCTCACCAACAGAATATTAGACTGCACAGAGGGAAAATGTCATTATTTTAAAAGAGTTTTCTTAAAAACACATACACACACTGAAGTAGATGTTAAAGATATTAACTCATGCTTTTAAACCTTAACTATAAAATTTTCCCAATTAAAAAAGTAACTTATGTCTAATTTTGTGCTTATATGAAGAATTTGAAATGAGAATATAATAAAACTAGAGGCGCCCGTGTACGACATTCCCGCCACCGTGGCTGCGCTCACCAGCTGTGAGCCTGGCTTCTGGCTGAGCGGCGCTCCCTCTGTGGGAGCGTGAGAATATAATAAAATGATAATTCACATTTGCATAATTTCTCATCTAATTGAAATATAACAAATGAAAAATTTGATCTCTTACTGCCATTTATTTAAAAAATATAATGAACCTGGACTGATTCTACACTTTTTGTCAAGGATCAGTCCAAGCTATTTCTCTTATTAGCTTTACCTAACTTTTCTATGCTTTGACTTTCCCTTCTTTTACAAATCAGTTTCTTCCCAGTGAGTGGATTTCCTTGTAATAGGAGCAAACTTCTAGTTTATGTAATTGGAAAATCTATTTAGATATATTTTGTCTCTTCTTGAAGATTGGTATTTCTTTATAGAATAGTATAAACATTTCAGTAGTATGTAAGAAAAAATTTAAAAATGTACTGTCCTTCAGTTTAATTAAATAACACTTAAAGGTTTTCTTTCTTACTGTCCTACTGGCATTTTTTAATTTTTTTGTTAATCCTCACCCGAGGATGTTTTTCCATGGATTTTTTTAAGAGAGAGTGCAAGCGAAGAGGTGAGACAGAGAGAGAAACACCAATGTGAGACACATTGATTGGCTGCCTCCTGCGCGGGGGATGGAGCCTGCAACCCAGGAATCGAACACCGGACCCTTCAGTCCGAGGGCACTGAGCCAAACCAGCTAGGGCACTAGCATTTTTTTTAACATCTGGAAAACTTTGTTCCTTCTGTACTAAAACCTCGTGTTAAGAGGGAGCATTTTATTTATGATATTGTTATAACAATATTTTTCTTTTTCTGAGGCTGTTTGGGCACTTGGTAATATTGCTGGTGACAATGCAGAATGCAGAGATTTTGTTTTGAACTGTGAAATACTTCCACCTCTTTTAGAGTAAGTACTTTAAATTAGTCACAATTGAAGTAATACTACTTTTGGAAAAGAAACTTTATTATAACTACATTTTTATGTACTTACAATTAAGTTTTTAAGAAATGTTTTTAAATTTGGCTATATTTAGCCATGCCTGTAATCGCTTGAAAACATTAGAAAAAATATATGTCCTTTACTAGGATGTTTTCCTAATCCATACTTCACAGTGGTCATTGCTTATTTGATGTTTACTGTGTTAAATAATTACTCTACAAAAAAGGGTATGTAGTAGTATTTTTATTTTATTTTATTTGTTTTTGTTTCTTTTTTATTATTGTTTAAAGTATTACATATGTTTCCCTTTTCTCCTATTGACCCCTCGTCCCCCGCCACTCTTGCCCCCCAGGACAAGCCCCACCGCCTCAGTGTCCGTGACAATTGCTTATGCTAATATGCATGCATCCAAGTCCTTTGGTGGATCTCTTACCCCACCTCCTCCCCCCCCCCCCCCCCCCGCTACCCCACCACCACCACCTTTTCTTTGAGGTTGGATGGTCTGTTCAGTGTGTGTTTGTCTCTGGATCTGCTTTTGTTTATCAGTTTATATTGTTCATTATATCCCAGAGGGAGAAACATCAGTGTGAGAGAGCATGTGATATTTATCTTTCTCTGACTGTCTTATTTTGCTTAGCATAATGCTCTCCAGGTCCATCCATGCTGTTGCAAATGGTAAAAGTTCCTTCTTTTTTATAGCAGCATAGTATTCCATTGTATAGATGTACCACAGTTTTTAAAAAATATATATTTTTATTGATTTTAGAGAGAGAGGAAGAGAGATGATGAGAGAGAATCATTGATCGGCTGCCTCCTGCATCCCTCCCACTGGGAATTGAGCCTGCAAGCCCGGCAGGTGCCCCGATGGGAACCGAACTGTGACCTCCTGGTTCATAGGTTGATGCTCAACCACTGAGCCACGCCGGCTGGGCATACCACCGTTTCTTAATCCACTCATCTGTTGATGGGCACTTAGGCTGTTTCCAAATCTTAGCTATTATAAATTGTGCTGCTATGAACATAGGGGTGCATATGTCCTTTCTGATTGGTGTTTCTGGTTTCTTGGGATATATTCCCAGAAGTGGGATTACTGGGTCGAATGGGAGTTCCATCTTAATTTTTTGAGGAATCTCCATATGGTTTTCCACGGTGGCTGCACCAGTCTGCATTCCCACCAGCAGTGCACGAGGGTTCCTTTTTTCTCCACATCCTATCCAGCACTTGTTGTTTGTTGATTATAGCCATTCTGACAGATGTGAGGTGATACCTCATTGTTGTTTTGATTTGCATCTTTCAGATGGCTAGTGACTTTGAGAATGTTTTCTTATGTCTCTCAGTCTTCTATATGTTCTCTTTCAAAAAATGTCTACTTGGGTCCTTTGCCCATTTTTTAATTGGATTGTTTATCTTCTTTTTGTTAAGTTGTATTTCTATGAGTTCCCTGTAAAATTTGGAGATTCAGCCTTTATCTGAGATAGCATTGGCAAATATGTTCTCCCATGCAGTGGGCTTTCTTGTTGTTTTGTTGATGGTTTCTTTTGCTGTGCAGAAGCTTTTTATTTTGATGTAGTCCCATTTGTTTATTTTCTCCTTAGTTTCCATTGTCCTAGGAGCTGTATCAGTAAAGATATTGCTATAATATTTGTCTGATATTTTGGTGCCATTGGATTCTTCTAAGATTTTTATGGTTTCCCGTCTTACATTTAAGTCCTTTAACCATTTTGAGTTTATTTTTGTGTATGGTGTAAGTACGTGATCTAGTTTCATCTTTTTGCATGTATCTGTCCAATTTTCCCAGCACCATTTATTGAAGAGGGTGTCTTGACTCCATTGTATGCTCTTGCCTCCTTTGTTAAATATTAATTGAGCATATTGGCTTGGGTCAATTTCTGGGTTCTCTGTTCTGTTCCATTGGTCTGCTAGTATATGTCTGTTCTTCTGCTGGTACCTGGCAATTTTGAGAACGGTGGCTTTGTAATATAGCTTGATATCTTGTATTGTGATCCCTCCAACTTTGTTCTTTCTCAGGATTGCTGTGGCTATTTGGGGTCTTTTTTTATTCCAGATGAATTTTTGGAGAGTTTTTTCTAGGTTTGTGAAATATGCCATTGCTATTTTAATGGGGATTGCATTGAATCTATGAATTGCTTTGGGAAGTATGGACATTTTAATGATGTTGATTCTACCAATCCATGAACACGGTTCTTCCATTTGTTTATGTCTTCCTCTATCTCTTTTTTCAATGTCCTGTAGTTTTCCAAGTACAGGTCTTTTACATCCTTAGTTAAGTTTATTCCTAGGTATCTTAATTTTTTTGGTGCAATGGTAAATGGGATTTTTTTTTAGTTTTTCTTTCTGTGAGTTCATTTTTGGTGTATAAAAAAACAATAGATTTCTGGGTGTTAATTTTGTATCCTGCTACATTGCCAAATTCATTTATTAAGTCTAGTAGTTTTTTGAAGGAATCTTTAGAGTTTTCTATGTACGATATCATGTCGTCTGTGAATAAGAACAGTTTTACTCCTTCTTTTCCAATTAGGATGCCTTTTATTTCTTCTTGTCTGATCGCTATGGCTAGCACTTCTAGTACTATGTCAAACAGGAGTGGTGAAAGTGGGCATCCCTATCTTGTTCCTGTTCTTAGGGGAAATGGTTTTAGTTTATGCCCATTGAATATGATGTTGGCTGTGGGTTTGTCATATAAGGCTTTGTTATGTTGAGGTATGATCCTTCTATTCCCACTTTGCTGAGAGTTTTTTTTTATCAAGAAAGGTTGTTGGATTTTGTCAAATGCTTTTTCTGTATCGATTGATATGATTATGTGATTTTTGTCTCTTAATTTGTTTATGTGATGTGTCACATTTATTGATTTGCGGATATTGTACCATCTTTGCATTCCCGGAATAAATCCCACTTGGTCATGGTGTATGATCTTTCTAATGTAATGCTGGATCTGATTTGCTAGAATTTTTTTTTGAAAAATATATATTTTATTGATTTCAGAGAGGAAGGGAGAGGGAGAGAGATAGATACATTGGTCGGTTGCCTCATGTAAGCGCCCTGACTGGGGATCGAACCCAAAATCTGGGTATGTGCCTTTATTGGGAATTCAACCCTGGAGCCTTTGGTGCATAGGAAGGACACTCCAACTAAGCCACACTGGCTAGGGCTTTGATTATTTTCTTAATGCTTAATCTGGGAAATATAATTAACATTTTAAACTTATAATGACTTTGTTTGAATTAATACCAACTTAGTCTCAGTATTATATAAAAACTCCTATTCATCTCTGCCCTACTCCCTTTAAGTTGTTATTGTAACAAATTACATCATTATAAATTGTGTTCCCATTAATATAGATTTATAATTATTGCTTTATGTATTTGTCTTTAATTTGTATAGAAGTAAAGAAAAATTACAAACCAAAAATACAATAATACATCCTTTATGTTTATGTAATTATTTTAAGTGTTCTTTATTTGGACTTATGGTTTTGAGCTATTGTTTATTGTCCTTTCATTTCGACCTAAATAACTTCTTTTTCTCTTGCAAAGCAGATCTACTAGTAATGAATTTCTTCAGCTTTTGTTTTTCTGAGTATCGTTTACTTTCTCCTTATTATTAAAAAATAATTTTGTGGGAGATAGCAATTCTTGGTTGACAGTTTTTTTCTTCTAGTATTTTAAATATATAATTGCATTGCCTCTGACCTCTATGGTTTTTGCTTTATGATATATTTTTATTGATTTCAGAGAGGAAGAGAGAGGAAGAGAGATAGAAACATCAATGATGAGAGAGAATCATTGATTAGCTGCCTCCTGCACGCCCCACACTGGGGATTGAGCTGATGTCACTGCAGAATAGGGATTACAAAAACAATATATATAGGTCGACACTCAACCACTGAGCCACACTGGCCAGGCTGACCTCTATGGTTTTTTATGAGAAATTAGCTGTTGATCTTAAGGCGAGAGTACCCAATTAGTCAAAACAAAGGCAAGTATCTTTCATTAGTTATTCAGGAAGCACCCAGACAGGTCAAAACAGGCAAGCACAATTCCTTAAAAACAAAGTCTCCATAGCTCCTTTTGGAACCAGGAACTCATAGTGGGAACTCCAGATTTTGTGTCCAAGGCTGCTGCCAGACTGGGGAGGGGATTGGGTAGGGGTAAATTTTACTGCTAGAAAGCTCTCCTGCTACATTCCAGCTCTTTCCTGGTTAAAAGTTTTCTTGGTTATTGTAAACTTTTGACTGCCTTTGAGAGTTAGAATAAAGTTGATTTTGACAGGATTTGTAAGTTTTTTTCCATATTTCTGGGAAGGTATGGACCCCAGAGCTCCCTTCTCCACCATTTTTGCTGATGTCACTGCGGAATAGGGATTTTTTTGGAAAAAAAAAACACACACATACTTCTAGCAGTGGGGATATCAAACATAGTAAGATGGACAATTTGTTAAAAAAGACACACACACACAGCAATATCTCTTCTCGACAGCTTATCTTCACTTAATTTGATCCCACATTCCTTGCTTATTGAATTTGTATAATGTATATTCATAGTTAAAAAAAGTAATCTAATACTCTTTTTAAAGTATAAAGAGACAAGTAAATTAATTTCCCATGGCATCATTTATTTTGAACATGTTTTATGTCTTATAAGAATCCACTTGGATCATAGATTCAAAAATTTAAAAATGGATGCTATGTTTACTTTTGTTTCTGGAAATATAATGAATTTGAAAAACTACCTTTTCCTATTTTACCAGCTCATTTTGAAGTCCTTATAAAGTATATTCAGAATTTTTGTTATGATAGAAAATAGCTAAAGAGGAAAAATGAAAGTAAAGTGACAATTCCTTTTTTTTTTCCGCTTTGGCAGGTTATTAACAAATTCAAACAGACTTACAACAACCAGAAATGCTGTATGGGCCCTCTCAAATTTATGTAGAGGCAAAAACCCTCCTCCAAACTTTAGTAAGGTATGAGTAAAATACACAAATTAAGCAACTGTGTATATAAACTTTTAAGTCTCCTTTTAATAGATTTTTAGAGATTGAATGGAAATTATTTTTATTTTAATAACTATTTTTCTTATTGATTAAGCAATGTTTGCACATACACAAAATCAAGAGATATATAGTGAAAAGGAAGTTTTCCTTTCTGCCCCTCCCATACCCATGATTCCCTCTCCTCAGGCAACCACTGTCACTGATGTTTACATATCTCAGAGTTGACTTTAGAAACCTTCTAGTCTAGTTGTCACTTAGGAAATTGGAGCCCCACACAAAATTAAGGTAATTCATTCAGGTCCACTGTTATAAAATTAAAGTAACTAGTCCAGAGTGGCTTGTGCTTTCACATTGTACTGTTTATGTGTTAGAATATCTTTTTCCATCTACTAATATTCTGCTAAAAGAATAGATCATTTATAAATTCCCAATCCCAGTTGTATTGTCTTCAGTAGGATGTTGTTAGAAAAGTAGAATGTGCGTAAATTTTTGGGATACCATTTTACTCCTTTTGAATTCCACATTTCATCTCAAAAAGTAGATTAAACAGTTAGCTTTGATTATATATTTTTTCTTTCTTTTTTGTTTATCTTTATTGTTGAAAGTATTACAGATGTCCCCTGTTATTTCCCCACTGACTCCCTCCTCCCTGCTCTCACTCCTTCCTCAGGCCTTCACCACACTATTGTCTGTGTCCATGGGTTATGCATATATGCATGTAAGTTCTTTGGTTAATCTCCTCCTGCCCAACCCTCCCATTGAGATTCATCAACCCATTGCATACTTCCTTGTCTGGTTCTATTTTGTTCATCAGTTTCTTTGTTCATTAGATTCCAAATATAAGTGAGATCATGTGGTATTTGTCTTTCTCTGACTGGCTTATTTAACTTAGCAAAATGGTACAACCACTGTGAAAAACAATGTGGAGTTTCCTCAAAAAATAAAAAATGGAACTGCCATTTGACCTAGTGATCCCACTTCTAGGACTATATTCTAAGAATCCCGAAACACCAACCACAAGGAATATATACACCCCGATGTTAATAGCAGTGTTATCTACAATAGCTAAGATCTGGAAGTAGTCCAAGTGCTCATCAATAGATGAATGGATATTTTTTCCATTGATTTTTAGAGTGGAAAGGAGGGAGGGACGGAGGTACGGAAGAAGGGAAGGGAGGGAGAGAGAGAGAGAGAAAGAGAAAGAGAAGGAGAAAGAGAAACATGGATGTGAGAGAGACATATTGATTGGTTGCATTCTGCAGGCTCCCTGACCAGGGCTGGGGATAGAACCTGCAAGCCAGGTACGTGCCCTTGACCTCAGTATCCAATAAGTGACCCTTTGGTGTGCGGGCCGATGCTCTAACCACTTAGCAACACCAACCAGGGCTCCTTTCCCTCTTTTAACTGCATGTATGGAGATGAAAAATACAAAGATCTGTGGTACATTTTGTACCACTGCCTTGATTTGTGCTAAGGTGCTGATAGTTTTACCCACCATTGCTTTTGTACCTTTAATGCAAATGTCAACAAAATGAAAAAGACCAGTTATGTGTTAGTATAATTGTGAAAAAATTTTTTGGCATAAAAGACCTCCAAATGTTGCAAGAATCCCTCAGGGGTTCATGGACCCCACTTTAAGACCCTCTGGCCTACAACATCATGTAATATCTACTTGGCTAATTCCCTGTATTTCTCTGTATTTTCCTTGTTTGTGAGAAGATGGTGGAGCAGAATGTTTTTAGTTTGCTCTCTTAAAATAGAAATATGTAGCACTTCATTGTTTTTTACATAACTAAAAGGATATATATCAGTTACACTAGTTTTTTTAATTTAAAAGTTCACAGTTGCTTTTAAGAACTGATTCTCACGTTTCTTTGTTCAAGGAAGAGGAGGTGGTTGGCAAGGGTGAAGGCATGATTGTTGGGGTAGGATCCAGTTGTGCAGATTCTATTTCCTAACTTACAGATGAACATGTCTGTTTTGTAAGTGAACTGATTTCTGTTCCTGGGTCCTAGGGTCATTTTTACAGGAAGGTCCCAGCAGGGAAGATAAGTGCTTTCAGAAGATTATAGTGTATGTACTGGCAATCTTTAAAATAGAGGTGAAGAGAACATCAATCTAAAATCTTAGAATGTGAAAAAGCTGTCATCACTTTTTATTTGTGGCATTTAACATAGAACTCTTACCTGAGAAGAGAGACTAAGAGATGTTAGGTTGCTGATTAAAAAATAAAAACCTTAAAGGAATATATAGGGTGTCCCAAAATTCATGCAAGAAGTAATTTTGATAGAAAACAGAGGTTTATAATTAAAAATTGTAAATTTTTTATTGATTCATAAAGTATACAGTATAGGGTTATGTATGGAATAGAACATCGGGTAAATGGACTCCACAGCTTTGCTGGCACATACGCAAAGCCGTGGTCTTCATTGGTCTTCATTGTCCCTGCTCCTGGGCCATAATTGGTACTTGGTAATGCTTATCAAATTGAAGGGATTGAAATCAAAGGGCAACAGATATTAGAATCTGATTCAATAAACCAAGTAAAATTAGGCTTTTATTTTTTGTTGTTGTTGTTGTTAATGCTCAAGCAAAATTCAAATCTTGCATGAATTTTGGGACACCCTATAGAATCAATACTGAGTATGGCAATAAAAAAAATCAACATCTCAGTGCTTACTATATGCCAGGCATTGTTCTAAGATGCTACATGCATTCTTACTAATTTAACGATATTCTGTTATCCTGGTTTATAAGTGAAGAATTTGGGGTTTAGAGATATTGGGTTATTTGCACATGGTCACACAGCTAGTGAATAGTGTTTGAACCTAGGTCTCTCTAATTTGAGAGGAAGGATCATAGGATTTATTTAATTCAGCCTCTTTGTTTCACAGATTTGAAAACTGAGTCTCGGAGAGATGAAGTGACTTGCTCACCTCACAACTAATTAGTTTTAGTTTTATGCTAGCAGGATTAAAAATCTCTATTGTCTATGTATTCTTTTAATTGAAGATTTAGGGTGTCAATACATTAGGAAATGTAGTTTATTAGTGACTTCCATTAAAAGACCCTTCTGACTTCTTTTTGTGTTTTATACACTTTTACTTCTTAACTGATTATTATACATACTTCCAATAATGTATATGTAGTAAGTAAAGTGGGATTCATTTAGGTTGGATCATATTCCATGATCATTACATTAAAAACTTAACGGGAATATTTTTACTTCTCTCAGTTTTAGTGTGCCATTTTTGGGGTGTGTTTGTGTATGATTTAGACATAGACAGAGGATCCCAAATACGTATTTCATTATTTTAAAAAAACTTTAAATTATCATCTAGTGGCTTTTTGTATAAGATTCAGTATAAGATTAATTCAGTATTAATTTATTCAGTATGAGATTAATAGGAGTCATAATCAGTGTCATGTTTATATTTGATAATAATTTTAAAACAATAGAATGTTTAATTTCTCTAGTATTAAATGTTAGTTTTAAAACAAATTTCTATATTTTTCTAAAGAAACTTGGTTTTAGGTAGAGAAAAATTTTAAATATTGCCTCTTTCTTCCCTAACAGGTTTCACCTTGCTTAAATGTTCTGTCACGATTGTTGTTTAGCAGTGACTCAGATGTATTAGCAGATGTGTGTTGGGCCCTTTCTTATCTCTCTGATGGACCCAATGATAAAATTCAAGCAGTCATCAATTCTGGAGTCTGTCGAAGATTGGTGGAACTTTTGATGTAACTATAATTTATAATTAATAATTACATGATTGTGAGTTTAGCAGTTAGATTAATGGCCTCTCAAACATCTCGAGAATCATATGGGAAGGGTTGAAAAGCTGCTATAACCCCACTTTGCAGAATAGCTATAATACTGAAAGTTGACCCTTAAATTTGTGTCTTATATCCTCTAGTTGGGACTATTCATTTTGTTCATGAATTTCATTAGTTTTAAGCTCTTAATGAATGAGAGATACAAGTATGTATGAAATGCCTGTTACCTGCTAGAGTAAGATATTACTGAGTATAGGATGTAGTTCCTTCTCTCCCAGAATGAGTAATTTAGTTAATTGTTCATTACAATTATTAATCTGTGTAAAAGTGAAAATTATTTAGTATTTGACTTGTATTAAAGATAATATGTTTCTCTGTGCTGAGCTACTATTACTATCTTCTTTAAAAAGAACAGATTTTCGATACAAGGAAGTTAAAAACTTCTAAGAGAACTTATTTTAAAAAGGCATTATAATTTTTCATCCCTTTATTTTAAAGCATGTATTATCTTCCTTCCTTTCTTCTGCAGTCAGAAAGCCACTAGGTAAGCCCAAACAAGGTAGATGGCAGGACGAAGAGAGGTCTGAAAAGGGGTGTGGCTCCAACATGAAGAATGTGGGCAGGCAGGTCCAGTGGGGGGATCAGGGCCCATACTTGAGGATGGCATCAACTAGAACGGAGCAGACAACTAGGCTGGAGCAGGTGGAAGCCAGCACCCTTTGGCATAGCAGCCTAACTGGATCAGAAGATGGGTCATACACAGGGGAATTCTGAAAATAGGAACTATCGTATTCTCAGAGAATGGATTTATAAATATGGAAAGGAAAAAAAGCCAGAAAAATCTTGTGTGATACTAAATTAGAGTTGGAAATGGACTCTAATGTGAACTCATGGCTTTCAGCATTAAAGAGCTAGATCTAGAAACAAATATACTAATATATGTAATTTTGCGCGCGAGTGTGTGTGTGTGTGGGAGTGGGGGGCGGTGCGCGCACGCGTGCATTTCTCTTAAAAGGGCTTGGGAGCTGTGACACATTTATACTTGTTAGCTGAGCACACCAAAGCCCAGGTTTTTAAACACTGCTCTTCATTAACAGGAACCAGGATTCTTGGAGAAATAGCTGATTCCAAGGCTGAGACTGATAAAAAATAAGATATACTCAGAAAGTAATGACTGCTCAAAGAATGAATAAATGTTAAAAGAACACAGAAGTCCACTTGAAGGGACTCCTACTGTTCAAACCTGGGATGATTTGAGCATTGAAATAAATTTATAGTAATACTAGAGGCCCAGTGCACAAAAATTTGTGCACTCCGGGGGGGGGGGGGGGGTCGTCTCTCAGCCCGGCCTGTGCCCTCTCGCAGTCTGGGACCCCTCGGGGGATGTCCACTTGCTGGCTTAGGCCCGCTCCCTAGGGGATCAGGCCTAAGCTGGCAGTCAGACATCACTCTGGCAGCCCGGGAGCCCTTGGGGGATGTCCACTTGCCAGCGGGGAGCAGGCCTAACCTGCAGTTGGACATCCTTAGCGCTGCTGAGGGGGCGGGAGAGGCTCCCGCCAACACCACTGTGCTGGCAGTCATCAGCCTGGCTTGTGGCTGAGCAGAGCTCCTCCTGTGGGAGCACACTGACCACCAGGGGGCAGCTCCTGCATTGAGCGTCTGCCCCCTGGTGGTCAGTGTGTGTCATAGTGACCAGTCATTCCCAGTTGTTCTGCTGTTAGGGTCAATTTGCATATTACCCTTTTATTATATAGGATATTAGAACTTATTCAATAAAATAGGAGTCCATGAGTCCACACTAAAATAAGTACATAGGTCAATAGATAGAGAAGGCATGTAGTTGGAATGATATTATTAGAAAATCATCATTGGCAACAATACTAATAATTATTAATAATCCAGACACTAAGCTTCAACAGATGCTTAAACTATTGGTGAAAGTGGGCTAAGGGGTGGGATTTTACATAGCCTATAAGTATTTCCTCACAAAATCTGAATTATAAAAGGAAAAATAGTAATGTCAAAGTGGAGAATCTAACAGACACCATCTTAATTAAGCAAGCAGAGTTCAGTGCCACTATAATGGACAAAACAGATACCATATGCTATCCAAAATTATGTAATAAAAAGACTGTAGCATTTGTGTTATCCCAGCCAAAGTATATACCTTGTGTCTTAATCATGAGGAAACATTGGACAAAACCAAATAACTGGCTTTTTTTCATAAAAAAGTCAAGATCAAGAAAATCAAGGAAAAATTAAGTAATTGTTTTGAATTAAAGGAGATTGACAGCTGGGTGCACCACATGATCCTAGATTAGATTCTTTATTATGGAGATAATTATGGGATAATTAGTGAAACTTGAATGGATTCTCTGGGTAAAGAGTATATGGGATTTTTTTGGGTACTATTTTTACAAATTCCTGTAAATTTTAAATTCCTATGTAGTGTGTAAGTTAATATTTTTATTATTTTAGGCACAATGATTATAAAGTTGTATCACCTGCATTAAGAGCAGTTGGTAATATTGTGACTGGTGATGATATTCAAACACAGGTGAGTTCAGACTTTTTAATAAGATAAACTAACATAATTATATAGGCATCTATAATGTAAGCATATTCTTGATAATAAGTGATCAGACTCAAATACATCTATGTGAAAGTACTATCCTAGAGCTATATCAATATGAAGAAGTACATGATAGGAGTTAGGCCAGGGATCCTCAAACTTTTTAAACATGGGGCCAGTTCACTGTCCCTCAGACCGTTGGAGGGCCGGACTATAGTTTAAAAAAAAACCATGAACAAATTCCTATGCACACTGCACATATCTTATTTTGAAGTAAAAAAACAAAACGGAAACAAATACAATATTTGTATTTGCATGTGGCCCGTGGGCCATAGTTTGAGGACCCCTGAGTTAGGCTCTTGAGAGATTTGCAATTCAATTGGAGAGAAAAATATATATTAAAACAACATAAATTACCCTAGGTAGTATATGTTTTCTGAGAGCTGATTGATCAATAAATGCTATAAAAGTTTAAAGAAGAAATCAGTGCACTAAGAAATCATAATAGATTCCACAAAGGAGTTGGAATGAAAGCTAAATCTTAAAAGTAGAGAACATAAGTAGACGAGAAGAGATTTATGTGCCAGACATGTATGGAGGTATGTTTAAGAGGCATTAAACTTGATTGGAGAAGAAACTGTTAGTGAGAGGATGATTGATTATAAATAAGTTAGAAGTGGGGTTAGAAATGAAATGGCCTTTTATAGTAGACTAGAGGCCCGGTGCACAAAATTTGTGCATGGGTAGGGTCCCTAGGCCTGGCCAGTGATCAGGGCCGATCGGGGCCTTCCAGCTGCTGGCCAGGGCCTTCCTTTGTTCCACACCGCCCACTGGTGGTCAGTGCATGTCATAGCAAGCAGTCAAACTCCCAGTCAGTCGAACTCCTGAAGGGACAATTTGCATATTAGCCTTTTATTATGTAGGATTGAAGACCTAGGTTATGAGAATGAAAAGAAAGACAGCAAGGAAACACTTTCTGAATTGGTAATTAACTATGTGTGTGAGATATCAAAAAAAGGTGTGATATCAAGAGTGACATCAGATCTGGTATAGATAGTCTTTCTATAAACTTCAACTCTGTAACACATTATATTCTGTTTTGTTTGCCACCATATAGTAAACTTTTTATTCTAATCTATGTGTTTTGTTTTCATTTTAATCCTTAAAAGTTCTATTTATATACCTTAATTATGAAATAATTGGTCCTTAGTAATTGATAGTTATTAAGGAATGTAAAAGAACAAAGCAGAATATACTTCTTTACAAAAGAAAAGTGTAATAGTAAAATTTTTAAAATATATTTTTATTGATTTCAGAGAGGAAGGGAGAGGGAGAGAGAGATAGAAACATCAATGATAAGAGAGAATCACTGGTCTGCCGCCTCCTGCATGCATGCCCCCTACTGGGGATTGAGCCCACAACCGAAGTATGTGCCCTTGATGGGAATAGAAACTGGGACCCTTTAGTCTGTGGGCCGATGCTCTATCCACTGAGAAAACTGGCCAGGGCTGTTTATTGACTTTAGAGAGAGGTGAAGGGAGAGAGAGAAATATCGATGTGAGAGAGAACATTGATTGGTTGCCTTCTGTACATGTCCTGATCGTGAATCAAACCTAAAACCTTTCAGTATACAGAATGATGCTCCAACCGAGTCACCCTGGCAAGGATGGAACAGTAAATTTTTTAATGAAAATAATAGACTTATTTCTACATGTTAAGGTTTCTTAACAGTTATGGAATTAGTCACTTTCAAGCTGTTTGGTGTGTGTGTGTGTGTGTGTGTGTGTGTGTGTGTGTGTGTGCGCGCGCGCGCGTTTTCCCCATCAATTCATTTGGCAAAACTAGAGGATGGATCCTAACCAGTCGCTATATTGTCTTCAAATAGTTATTTCAGTTAAACTCTGAGTGCATTTATAAACTTGAAGGACATAACTCTGAGTGCATTTTACTACACCAACACTAGAAAGGTTTTGGCAAAGTGGGACGGTAGAAGACAGCAAGTGCCTAAGTTTTACTTTGAGAGGAATTTTTTTCTTAAGTTTTCAGAATGGTTTTTGTATTTCTAAATAATTCATGAGTATATTTTTGTTTAGTTTAGTTTTTTATTTTCTATAAAACTGTTTCCATTTCTAACTTTTGTCTTAGGTAATTTTGAATTGCTCTGCATTACCCTGTCTCTTACACTTACTGAGTAGCCTAAAGGAGTCAATCAGAAAAGAAGCCTGCTGGACTGTATCTAACATTACTGCTGGAAATAGAGCTCAGATTCAGGTAAGTGCCTTTCAGATATGAGAAAAACAGGAAGATCTCAGAAGTTAGTTTGGAAAAAAAGTCAACATTTTATCAGTGATGTATTTTAGTGAGTTACTGAAAAAGATTATTGAAAAGTATTTGAAAATTATTTTAAAGAACAGCCTTTCCTCCTCTAAAATAATTACTTATAGTATTCTAAAGAGGAATAGCAATTATATATATACATATGCATATGCATATACAATTATGTGTAAATGTGGTTGTCTCCCACATGTTCCCGACATAATGGTTAGGCTTTAAAAAGGGATTGCTTTTGTTAATTTTAAAAAAGTTAGACAATGATCTCAAAACTGTTAAATAATGATCTATTAGGGCCCCATTAAACTCTTCAGTCAGTAATTACCTGATTCATCATCTGCCTTATGTTTTATCATATTTAAAATTTACATTCTTGCTAATATATTCTCCAGTCTTTGTTTTGCTTTGTTTTTCTGTTAATTCTCACCAGAGGATATTTTTCCATTGATTTTAGAAAGAGTGGAAGGCAGGAGGAGAGAATGAGAGAGAGAAACATTGATGTGAGAGAGACACATCAATTGGTTGTCTCCCACATGTGCCCAACCAGGGCCAGGGATCGAGCCTGCAACTGAGGTATGTGCTCTTGACCGGAGTCAAACCTGGGATCTTTCAGCCTTAGGGCTGGTGCTCTACCCACTGAACCAAACCGGCTAGGGCTTTATTCTCCAGTCTTAAAAAGAAAGTAAGTAAACTTTTGTTGAAAGATTAGAAATAAAATATTTCCAAAAAGCCTGCCATTTTAAAGCCATTGAGTTTCAAGATTCCTCTTCTTACTAATATATTTAAAACTATATTTGCATTGATTTTGCTATAACAATTTTTTCTCTTCAGTCAGTTATAGATGCAAATATTTTTCCTGTTTTGATTGAGATTCTTCAGAAAGCAGAGTTTCGCACCAGAAAAGAAGCAGCTTGGGCTATAACTAATGCAACATCAGGAGGCACTCCAGAACAAATAAAGTATGATACAGATTTTTAAAAATTGTTTTTTAAATATAAATGAGATATTTACAAATTTAAAAAATACATACTTTTTCTTTGTTTATAAAACTAAAACATTATTTCTGTCTATTTAATAAGAATTTGTAATGTGAAAATATAGCATTTGTTATATCAGTTATTTATTTATAGTGGTTTTAATTTTTTCATATAAAGTATGATTAACATCATTCTCGTCAGACTACGAAAAATCAGTATTTAAAAAGCTGAAAAATATAGTCTATGTTAATTTGCAAAATATACTGACATGGGCATTATATTTATCTTAGATCATTAAAGTCATATACATGTAACTTTATTATATAGAAATGGCTAATTTAAATATCTACTTATTTAAACTATAATTGAAATAGGAAATAGACATTTGTTTATATAATAATGCTCTTCCAATCACTGTTAGCCCTACCTGTAGATTGGATCTTTTATTTTTCTATAGTAGTTTTCTTCTTCATGGAAGCTTTTTAAATCTAGCCCTTTTATTGTTTATTTGCTTCTTTCTTTTACTAACAATACAAATGGTAGGTACATGGCCTTTGAAATCAGCCTGTCTTCAAATCCTGCTTCTTCAGAAAAGTTGTGACCTTGATAAAGTCATTTAACTTCTCTGATCCACAATTTCTTCATTTTTAAAATGGGTTTAATAATGGATAGTATCTTATAGTAGTATCTTGACAATTAAATACAGTTTATACATTTAAAGTGCTTAGCAAGGTACCTAAACATGTTCTGTACTAAAATTAGCTGCTATTATTATTTGTATTAATCATAACTTTTATTATCAGATTGATTTCTAAGTCTCTTTTCATCTTGTGCTTTTATCCCCCCCCCCCCCCCCCCCCCCCACGCATAGCAAAGTTCCACTTTGCACCTCTATGAAAGCCTGACTTCCTACAGACTCTTCTTGTTCTGAGGATCCCTCCAAGAAACTCAGGACTTTTTAAGTTTGCGAAGTGACTGTTTAGAAAGTATTTTCTTTTTTTTTTTTTTTTTTTTTTTTTTTATTTTATTTATTTTTTTTTATTTATTTATTTTTTTTATTTATTTTTTTTAATTAAATCTTTATTGTTCAGATTATTACATTTGTTCCTCTTTTTTTCCCCCCCATAACTCCCCTCATCCCAGTTCCCGCCCCACCCTCCGCCCTCACTCCCCACCCACTGTCCTCATCCATAGGTGCACGATTTTTGTCCAGTCTCTTCCCGCATCTCCCACACCCCTTTCCCCCCCAGGAATAGTCAGTCCATTCCCTTTCTATGTCCCTGATTCTATTATAATCAACAGTTTATTCTGTTCATCAGATTATTTATTCACTTGATTCTTAGATTCACTTGTTGATAGATGCATATTTGTTGTTCATAATTTGTATCTTTACCTTTTTCTTCCTCTTCCCCTTCTTAAAGGATACCTTTCAGCATTTCATATAATCCTGGTTTGGTGGTGATGAACTCCTTTAGCTTTTCCTTATCTGTGAAGCTCTTTATCTGACCTTCAATTCTAAATGATAGCTTTGCTGGATAAAGTAATCTTGGTTGTAGGTTCTTGGTATTCATCCCTTTGAATATTTCTTGCCACTCCCTTCTGGCCTGCAAAGTTTCTGTTGAGAAATCAGCTGACAGTCGTATGGGTATTCCCTTGTAGGTAACTGAGTTTCTTTCTCTTGCTGTTTTTAAGATTCTCTCTTTATCTTTTGCTCTTGGCATTTTAATTATGATGTGTCTTGGTGTGGTCCTCTTTGGATTCCTTTTGTTTGGGGTTCTCCGCGCTTCTTGGACCTGTAAGTCCATTTCTTTCACCAGGTGGGGGAAGTTTTCTGTCATTATTTCTTCAAATAGGTTTTCAATATCTTGCTCTCTCTCATCTTCTGGCACCCCTATAATTCTGATGTTGGTACGCTTGAAGCTGTCCCAGAGGCTCCTTACACTATCCTCGCATTTTTGGATTCTTTTTTCATTTTGCTTTTCCGGTTGGGTGTTTTTTGCTTCCTCGCATTTCAAATCATTGACTTGATTCTTGCACTCCTCTGGTCTGCTGTCGGGAGTCTGTATAATATTCGTTATTTCAGTCCGTGTATGCTTAATTTCTAGTTGGTTCCCCAATATAAGATCGAGGGTCTTATTAGTTTTCTTGTAGATCTCATTAAGTTTATCGACGGCTTCTAAACAGTTCTTGAGAGACCTTAAAAGTGTGGTTCTGAACTCTATATCTTCCATTGACAATTTTGTCCTGTTTCTTTGTCTCCGCATTTTGTTATGCTTCCTTGGTGCACCCCCTAGTGGTCTTTGTTCACAGTCTTATAGTTAAATCTTGATTGTTGTAGCTAATTCCAGGGAGGGTTTGACCTCCAGGCCAAGTGGCTATGAGAATCAGCTGTGTCAGCAGTGAGAGAACTTCTGTCCTCTAGGGAGGTGCTAATCTGGCGTTTGCCTGAGGCTATCCGGCAAATGCCTGTGTGCAGGGCTTGGGCGGGGCGGGTCGCACAGGATCAACAGGGTGGGCCGGAGAGAGCAGTTATGGCGGCTCTCAGTCCTGTCCCCAGGGGCTCTGCCTCTCTGAGTCCCAGCACCCGCTGCAAAGCTCAGAGAGAAAGCTGCACTCGCTCTGACCGAAGCCAGACAGTCCCGCTTCTCCCGTTTGAGTCTGGGTCCCTAAAGACTCGCCCGGATCTGGAGCTCAGAGTCTGCGACTCCCTCCCGATTGAAAACGCCAACCGCGCCCTCCGCCGCCAGCCCGCTCCGCGCACTCCGCACCTCAGAATTTGACTTCAGCACTGCGCCTCCTCTGAGTGTCCGTATGCGTTTCTCTTTCCTCCTAGTTGTAGGACTTCCACTCAGGCAGCGTTCCTGTGGTTCTGGGTGATGTCCCTTCCGTTTTTTGGTTTCACTTTTGAAGTAGTTGTTCAAAGCAGCAAACTCCAGCGTTAACCTATGCCGCCATCTTGGTTCTCCAGAAAGTATTTTCTAATGAGTATTTGATTTGTTTCTTAATTTATAAAAGAAGTCAGGCTACTATGCTATTTTACAAATCACAAGATTTTGAAGTCTACCTATTGGGAGATCATTGTTTAATATTGCCTTCTCTCCTGCTCAGATTCCTATCTCTATATGTTAATGACATTCTTCTCTGCTTTTTATTTTCCATTCCACCTATTTGCTTTAATCAATATTTTCACTTCATTTGTATCATGAATATAAGAAGTAATAAAACAAGATCTTTCTTTTGTTCTGGCTTGTATTTTTTTTTTTTTTAATGCTAATGTGATTTTTATCTGCTTTGGGACCCAAAGTTAGTTTGTCCACCTCAAACAGTTGTATTTTTAAAATATATATATTTTTACCATTATGTCTATTCTATTTATTATTCCCTAAATTTATTAGTATGAGTCAAGTATCTAAACGGAGATTATTATTTTTCTAACCATTTCACCATTTCATTTAGTCTACATATATGGGAAGAGGTCTCTTGATCTCAGATTAGGTTTAGTGTACATACTGCTGATACTGTGGCGTGTTTAATGTTGCCAGTTGTGTTCAATCATTTCAGTTATTGAGCACCAGGTGCTTTCACGTCTTTTATCTCCTTTTACTTCATAATTCTGTGAGATAGTTATTCATTCAACAAATATATTTGATGGGTTACAATATAGTATATGGCAAGTGAGTGCTCCAGTAAAGGTATGTACACTTTTAAAAAAAGGATTGAAACTAACTTTTATTGACTGCCTACTGTATTCTCATAGCAGCCCTCTGAGTTTGGTACTGTTGTTATCCCCATTTTAAGATGGAGAAACTGAGGCCCAGAGCAGTTAGTCAAGTCACACATAAGGAGTGAAATTGGGGTTTGAAACCATGCAGTCTGACTTCAGAGCATGTTTATTTTTTTTTATCTTTATGTTTAAATGGACTATTTGTCAAGTCAACAAATCAGTTACTTGATTTACATTATAGAAAATGGAAAAAGAGCTAACAGGAACTAGAAAAGAACAAAGCATTATAATAATGATTTCGTGAACATTATTTATTAAAATTATTCACAACATGGCCCGTTTTGCTCCTAGAAGGCTTCTATGCTTCTGAAACAAAACATGTTTCAGAACATTAGCTATGATTATATTTGTGGGAAACTTCCTGAAATTTTTTTTAGATGCCCCTCCTCCCTCTCATTTCTACCTATCACCTCATATGACCCCTTAAAAACATAGACCCACCCTTAAAAACAAACAAGCCTCTAACCCACTTAGTGTTGATGTGCCAGATTATGTCTATTTTTGTAATATTTGTAATACCATTTATTGTTAATTATGAGAACAGGAGAGTAAAAACATATTTTCAGGTTTCTGTGTAAGTGAATATTTAATTGTTTTTAATTTTTGAGTTAACAGGGATACTTTACTTAATTGTTTATATAACATTTCACTAAAGAATATTTTCATGTTGTTGTCATAAATAATATTTAAGTCTTTTTCAATGTTATTTCTCCCCACCTTTTTTTTTTTAATTACTCTGAAGGTATTTGGTAGCTTTAGGCTGCATTAAACCACTTTGTGACCTATTGACTGTTATGGACTCTAAGATAGTCCAAGTGGCTTTAAATGGACTTGAAAATATTTTACGTCTTGGAGAACAAGAATCTAAGCAGAATGGGATGGGTATTAATCCATACTGTGCTCTCATTGAAGAAGCATATGGTAAGCAGTCAGTTAAAAACATAATTACATTGATGTGATTGCAGTGCACATGTAGATTTGTGTTCCACGTTTTAACATTTTGGGGAAATTTTATATTTCTACATAACATCACTTTTAATAGCCACATAATGTTATATTGAGTGAAGATTGCAGGTCGCTTTAGCCATATTGAGTGCAGTTTTAGCCATATTCTTGCGGTTGATCCCTAGTTTGTTTCCGTTTTCTTTACCACTTTACATATGCTAAAATAAGCATCTTACCAAATATAATTTTTTCTGTTGAAATAATATTTTGGGATGAATTTTTAGGAATGCTATTGCTGAGTTCTACGCATAGACTTCTTTTTAAGCTTTTGATATGTTTTCTATTTTGCTTTCCAAAGATATGTTACATGGTGGTGTCACTGGCATTGTATGAATCTACTCTACAACATCTTGTTTTGTTGATTTTGCTGATTTAGCAGATGTAGAATGGTATCAATAAGTTACTTTTATGTGTCTTTTGTTTTATTTCATGTATAAGCTGGTGTGTATTATCCATGTATTGATGTATTTATTCATCCGAATTGCATGTTTATTATACTTTGTCCAATTACCCATATGTCTCTCCTTTGCTAAAAATTTGAATTAATTTTATTTTACAGTTGTTTGCTTAAATATGGCTCTTCTCCAATTTTTTACCTTTTTATTTTAATAAGACAAATCATGTTCATTTATATTTAATAAATGACTCAATCTAATCTTTTATTCCTTCAACATTTACCAAAGTCATTGCCCCTACAGAGATTTGGTGAATTTTTTTTTTTTTTTACTAATTAAATATTTCTTTTTTAAAATTAATTTTTAGAGAGAGAGGAAGGGAGAGGGAGAGTGAGAGAAATATTGATGTGAGAGCAAAACATCAGTGTGAGAACAAAACAAGGATCAGCTGCCTCCTGCACACTGCCTACCTGGGATGGAGCCCACAACCTCAGACATGTGCCTTAACCAGGAATGGAACCAGCAACCTTTTGGTCCACAGGATGGCGTCCAAGCAACTGATCCATGCCTGCCAGGGCTTGGCTAGATATTTCTGATTGGCCTCATTTACCTTAACATTTAACTTAACTTACATGAACTCACATGGCATCTATTTTAGGATAAGGAATAAATCTAAGTTGATTATTTTCCTTTTAATATATTTCTATTAAATATTCATTTCTGTCTTAAGTATTGTATGGTGATTATATTATATGGTGATTCAAGTGTTTATTTATGACTGGAGGCCCGGTGCACAAAAATTTGTGCACTTGGGGGGGTCCCTCAGCTCGGCCTGTGCCCTCTCGCAGTCTGGGATCCCTTGGGGGATGTCCACCTGCTGGCTTAGGCCTGCTCCCCGGGGGATCAGGCCTAAGCTGGCAGTCAGACATCACTCTGGCAGCCCGGGAGTCCTCAGGGGATGTCCACTTGCCAGCGGGGAGCAGGCCTAAGCTGCAGTCGGACATCCTTAGCGCTGCTGAGGGGGCGGGAGAGGCTCCTGCCACCACCGCTGTGCTTACAGCTGTCAGCCTGGCTTGTGGCTGAGCAGAGCTCCCCCTGTGGGAGCGCACTGACCACCAGTGGGCAGCTTCTCCATTGCGCAATCTGCCCCCTGGTGGTCAGTGTGTGTCATAGTGACCAGTATTTCCCAGTCGTTCTGCTGTTAGGGTCAATTTGCATGTTTCCCTTTTATTATATAGGATTTTTTTTTTTTAATGCTCACCCGAGGATATTTTTCCAGAGAGTGGGAAAGAGAGGGAAAGACAGAGAGATACATTGATGTGATCGATTGGTTGCCTCCTGCATGTACCCTGACCAGGGCCCAGGCTGGAGAGGAGCCTGCAACCAAGGCAGGTGCCCTTGACTGGAATCAAACCTGGGACCCTTTGGTCCACAGGCTGACACTCTATCCACTGAGGCAAAACTGCTATGGCTTAGCTTTTTTTTTTTTTTTTTAAATGACTAAGAGGCCCAGTGCACAGATTCGTGCACCAGTGGGATCCTTTGCCCTGGCCTGCGGGGATCGGGCTGAAACCAGCTCTCCAACATCCCCAGAGGGGTCCCGGGTTGCCAGAGGGTGTAGGCCAGGCCGAGGGACCCCACCGGTGCATGATTGGGGCTGAGGAGGAGTCCAGGGAGGGCTCCAGGGAGTGTCCGGCTCATCTCGCCCTGTCCGGCTCATCTTGCCCAGTCCTGATTGGCTGGACCCCAGCAGCAAGCTAACCTACCAGTCAGAGCGTCTGCCCCCTGGTGGTCAGTGTGCATCATAGCGACTTGTTGAAAGATCAAACAAATGGTCAGACACTTAGTATATTAGGCTTTTATTATATAGGATTCTTAAACCAAACCTGGGATATTAATTTTTATTTCAGTTTATATAATGTGATTGGTTAAGACATTACATAATTATAAAATATTAATCACTGATTTAAGAATATTTCTTTACTACAGTCATTATTTTGGCTCCAAATTATGGAAGATTTTGGGCTATTCTATGTTTGTATATAGATATGGCTACTTTGCTAATTCTTTCAATCCTGCAATTGGATAAGTGAAGAGGTTTGTCTAATTAAATAAATATATTCAGCATTACCCAGACCTATGTGTAGATTTCTTTTTCTTGTGAGCTATAGATTCTCTTATCAAAATGGTCTTTTTCAGTTTCATTTATTTAGGTTGTAAATTATACAGTAGCTACATTGGATTTACAAATAGTACTCATTTATTATATATTGATACTCTCTGGTTCATTCTGTGCAAGAATGTGTGTTTGCACACATTCTACTTTTTTTGTTTGTTTTGTTGCTTTTCATTTTTGTGCTTTCCATTTAGCATAATTACTCTGGAAAAGACCTGTGGATAACCTAAAACTGTCATTTTAAGATTGAGAAACTAAAGTAGAGCGTGACTAAACTTATTTGGACACAATCACAAAGCAGAAAGGAGTCTGTGATCTTCTTACCCTCAGGCCTATGTTACTCTCTCTTAGCACACTGCTCCATACTCTCATTTTTAAGTAAAAAGCATAAGTGTTGGCTATCAGTAAGTGCAAAAATTAGATAAAAATAAGTCCCTTTACCAGTTATTTGATTGGTTATTTTGGTTTAAATATATGTTGCAACTTGAGTAACAATTTTATGTATATATGCTTTGAATAACAGGTCTAGATAAAATTGAATTTCTACAAAGCCATGAAAATCAAGAAATTTACCAAAAGGCCTTTGATCTGATTGAACATTACTTTGGTGAAGAAGACGACGACCCCACCATTGTACCTCAGGTGGATGAAAACCAGCAACAGTTTGTATTTCAGCAGCAGGAAGCACCAATGGAAGGGTTTCAACTTTAACTTGGTGGAGGAAAGAATTAACGCTAAAAAGGGTAGCTTCCGATAGCTCCTCTTTGTTACCATGTCAGTAGGAATGTTTGATATGTTCTTATGTAGAACGGAAAAGGAGTTGATGCACTTTTAAAAGCAAACAAAACAAAAGTTTCTAGTCAGCTGCAACCTCTCAGTATAGTTTTGTTTTTATTTTGCTGTGCCTGTATATATGTATTTTATTGTTTTATCTGTTCCTTAATCTATTCATGAGCAATTAAATACATTATGAAGTTATTTAATAACTTAAGCTTGAAAGGAGAACTTTGGTAAGGTATTACATATGGTTCTGAATTTTTTTTCTAGCATTCTTGAAAACTGCATATTAGCAGTCCAGGTAGTTAGAATTGCATTGTGGCAGCAAGTCTGACAGGCCCAATCTCTACTAAATCTACCTCTATCTTAAAGCAAAAACACGTCAGAAGCATTAGTATAAAAGCTAAATTAAAATGTGAAAATAATCTATTACCTTAAATTATAAATCACTGTGCTGGAGGTTATACTTTGCAAAAATAAATTGCATCAGAAAAAGCTGTAACATTTATTTATAAAACACAAGAAATATTGATAATTAAAATGTGGCAATTGTGGAGAGAAGCTGTTCTTCATGTTGAACACATTAAAATGATCACACATTAAATATTTGTGTTTTTAACATATAAATGCTATTGTATTAACATATTTTGTATTTTGACCAAATATGCTACCATTTTTGAAATAATGTTTTATAATTTTTCACTTTATTTAAAAAAGCATAATTTTAAGGAATGCCAGCATCAGTCTAAAGTGGTGCTGATAGCAAAAATAATACTATATATTCTTTCTCTGATTTTTCACAGCAGTAATTGAAGTTTCATTTTCTGTGTATTAGTGGCGAAATTATCCTGAAGAAGTCACCTTGATATGTGCTAGTCAATATACTTAATGTTTGGACACGAAAAGATGATATTTATGAAAATTGATAAGGATTCTTTAATATAGTTGAAATCTGCATTAGGATATTTTTAATATTCAGAGTTTCATACTGCTGTGTTATCAATCAGTGTATTACATTTCATTTATATCAGATTGGTCAATATAATGTGTGTTTTATGTATTAAAGGCAAAACCTCTTCAAACTGAAACTTTTAAAAAAGTTTCAACAGAAAAGTTATATATATTTATGTGTGGGTAAATATATATGTATGTGTCTGTGTGTTATTCTCACAGTACTATACTTGGTAAAGTTTACGCAGACATGGTACTGTTGAACTCAGCTTTTCCATTTATAGTTATATGCAGGCTATTTACATTTCCAATTATATAACTAAAATACTTATTTAAAAATTAGCTTACAACTGTTTTAAGATGGGAACTGAAACATTTTTTATATGATTCATAGTCTATTCTGTAAAGAAAGATTTCATTTACGATAGCATTTATAATGTTTCTGCTGGAAATCAGAGGCATGTTATGAGAAGGAAATGTATATATGAGTACTTTTAAATAGTATGAAACTTTGTATATTATGTATGATGAAACTAAGCTTTTGGCAAGAGACTTAAAACCTACAACTATAAAGTACAGGTTTAATTGGTGTTTAAATGCTGACTGTATCTGCCAAACTTCTTTTATATTAAGCAGAAGATTGTATTTGTGTCCTTCTTATTGTAGTAGAAGTTACGAAGTTTAGTATAAAAAGTTTCTTTTGCATTATGTATCTTCAAAAGAACAGGGTATATTAAAGATTAGCAAATTGATGGTGAATTTATCAGATAAACATTTTTTTTGTTGTATAGATGATTCTAAGTATAAGGAGACAGGGTATTCCACTCTTTCTATTCAATTGAACTTAATATAGGAAAATTCATAAACTAGCCAGCCGTGCCTGCTTTTATTTTGAGGACACTGTAATCACATTAATAAATCTCTAAGCCAAACCTTTCAAACAAATAGTTCTTATAGAAGGAAAAATAATATATATATGTTTGTGCCCATGCACACATATAGAATGATGTCAGAGGAGGATTTCAAATTTTTTGCCACTAAAATAAACATATCTCTAAGTACAGATGTGACCATATTTTAAGCATTCAAATACAAAATTATATTTAATTTCATGGACCTGTTATGTGGGTAATTAATTTGATTAGATTTGAATGCAAGAGATAGTAATAGTTGGAATCAGCTATTGGTGTGGTGGTGACTATTGAACCAAGACTAGCAAAGACTTTGTTTATAAATTTATTTTTCAATACGACTACTTTTTTCAAATATACTATTTAAAGTGTTCCAAAATGCGTTTTCATTAATCTTCACTGACCCATAGGGGGGAAAATGTTTTAACTTCTTTTCCTAAGATTCATTATATTTAAATCTGAGAGAATCTGTGCCCCACCCCCAAAATTAAAACATCTAAAGGGGGAACACATGCAACATTAATGCAGAAATTAATATAATACTTGAAAGAGTCCTTTACATTTATTGCAGAAAATTCGGTGTTTTGTTTTGTCTGAATTTGAATTTTTAATAGTTAATCTATGCAATTTTGCTTACTGTTGTATATTTGTAAGTACTTGAGTCACTGGACTGTTTTATTATTTGTTTTTTTTTACTATAAGTTTTATTTTTAAAGGTGTGTTCCTAGGACTTAATTCTTAGTGTCATTTTGTTCTCTTACTGGTAGCACTGGAACAAGAAAGCAAAAAAAAAAAGTTTTTTTTTATAATAAAAAAAACGTAATATGCTAATTAGACCAGACAGCCGAACGAAGCCGGGGCTGCAAGGGCCAAGCCCCTCGCATGAATTTTGTGCTTCGGGCCTCTAGTAATAATGCTATCTAATGAAAGAGTAATATGCAAATTAACCATCACTCCACAACAAAGATGGCGGTGCCAATGGTGGGGGGTGAGGGGATGCTGGCGGTGTCACTCTGGTGACGCGAGCCTGGCGATGCGAGCCCAGTGTCCCGTGCTCCGGCCAAGTAGAGGGAGGGACTGAGGGCCCAGCATCCCATGCCCCGGAGGTGCAGAGGGAGGGGCCTCTGGCCAGAGACTTGGGCATGGGACGCTGGCGTCGTTGCAGGCCGGGCTGAGGGACCCTCCCCACCATGCACGAATTTCGTGCACCGGACCTATAGTAATAAAACTTGCTGGCATAGAAATAACATATCATTTGGTAACTGTAAAACCTATTTGCAGTTAAAGCTTGATATGTTTGATAAAGGACTAAAAGAAGCATTACCTTTGCCTTCATATTTTTCTTCTCTTATGAAGGAACATTATGGAAAAAATGTTATAACATAAAAAAGTCTTAGTGGATTTTGGTTGCTGTTCTAAACTCAGCAATCTACTGGCTGCTGTGTGAAACTGAAATCCAAGTATTGTTAACCTTTACTCATTTTAGTTCATAGCATTATTGTTTCATATAATGTGACATATTAGGAGCCGTTATGTAGGGCTCTAAAAGGATAACATATCTTTAAGTTCTGATTGGGGAGTGGGATGAGGCAGGGATAATGTTAGCTAACTAAATAAAACAACATTTGAGCAGTATGCAATATTATGAAATGTTACAGCACTCTATTAAAAATAATAAAATACTATTTTACAATTGCATTTACATATGTCTATTTCATTTGTTCTCACTTAGATTATATGTGTATTCGTAGCACAGCAAAATCAGATGCCCTCGTTGATTAAAATTCCATCCACTTTCTAAAACCAATAAGACTTGTTCGTTGTATATCTGATTGAAGCTGTATGTTGCTTTTATTTTAGAATCTATAAATTTTGCTCTAATAAGGAAAATGTCTAATATATTTTTGTATCTCAAGCCATGGCAACTACTGGACATTCACAGGTTTAATTGAGATTTTTCCTTTTCTGTTATTTAATGCAGTACAATGCATTTATCTAAAGAATAAAGTTTTAAACTTAATAAATAGAAATCAGAGGGTTTAACTTTCTTACTCACTCTGGAACATAAGGTCACACAGTAGCCAAGCCTAGCCCCCCCTGCCCCGCCCCCCCCCCCCCCCCCCCCCCCCCGCACAACCTAGTGCTTTTATCTTCTTTCACCACTGTTTTTTCATTGGGTGGCTTCATTTCCTTCAGCATTTGAAACTGTTGATCACAGAGCAGTGAAAGTAATTGGATCAGTTATTTTTAGGGTATGCTGTACCCAGTAAGGCAGTCTGAAATTCAGGGGCAAATGAGTTACTGAAAATGTATGAAGGAACAATGTACAGGTCAAAAAGTAAGACTTCAGTATGCAGTAGCGTTCTACTGGTCCCTTTAAAAGGGGAAAAAAGTAAACAAAAACATTGTTTTCCCTTCACCGTTTTCACCCATCTCCCTCTGGCAACCATCGGTTTGTTCTCTGTTTCTATGAGTCTGGTTTTGTTTTGTTTGTTTGTTTTTATATTTTTAGATCCCCCATATAAGTGAAATAATATAGTCTTTGCCTTTCTCTGAGTTACTTCACTTAGCATAATATTCCCTAAGTCCATCCATGTCGTCACAAATGGCAAGATTTCATATTGTTGAGTAATATTCTATTATATATACAGGGTGGGGCAAAAGTAGATTTACAGTTGTGAGTACACAAAACAAAGTTTATTCTTGTATTATTATGTATTAATTATTGTATTAGTTTCCATATGAACAATAGTAAACCTACTTTTGCCCCACCCTGTATTTTTAGATATCTTTATTCAACTATTTCTATTTTTTTATTGATTTCAGAGAGGAAGGGAGAGGGAGAGATAGAAACATCAATGATGAGAAAGAATCAATGATTGGCTGCCTCTTGCATGCTCCTTAGTGGGGATCGAGCCCACACCCGGGCATGTGTCCTTGACCAGAATCGACCCCTGGCTCCTTCAGTCCACAGGCCAATGCTCTATCCACTAAGCAAAACTGGCTAGAGCTTTATTCATCTATTTATAGACACCTACCTTGCTTCCATATCTTGGCATTGTAAATAGTGCTGTTAATAATGCTGCAGTGAACATAAGGGTACATGTATCTTTTCAAATTAGTGTTTTCATTTTCTTAGGTTAAATGTCCACAAGTAGAATTGCAGCGTCATATGGTAGTTCTAGTTCTAATCTTTTGAAGATCTTCCAAACTGTTTTCCATAGTGGCTGTACCAATTTACAATCCCACCAACAGTGACCAAAGGTTTCTTTTTTTCCACATACTCGTCAACACTTGCCACAAAAAAACCCACAAAACCCAAATATTTTGTCAAATATTCTATTTTATCTTTTATTGTTGCTGATAGTAGTGGTAATGGTCTGATGAACACTTCATCACTTAGAGTATCATTTAGCCTTAGCCTGTGCAGCCAACGCAGCTTCTTCACGCCACTTAGCTTTCTTTGCCAGGTTCCAACTTGTTAAAGATTCATGTCTTTCTACAGCCTGAAAAAAAAAGCAAAGCATTGTACCCGGAAAGAACTTGTGTGTTAGATATATAGAAGAGATTTTGTGAAAAGGAGAAAAGTAAAGTAAAACACTAGTCACAATGTCAGAAATGTGCCCCATCCTCTCTTGGTAAGCACATATATTTTGGATAAAAAGCAACAAAAATATTAGTTCAAAATAAATAAAGAGAAATGAACAGAATTCAAAAGGCATGAACTGGTGGGGAATGAGAAGGATTGAAAACAGGATAGAAGAAAATGGTTTCATTGTGGGGGTCATTAGGAAAAAATATTTGCTTCAAAAGCTGTGGGCTTGGAGTTTAGCCTCTTACCAACAGGCAAGTCCAGGATTTGGATCGTGGGCATAGAGTTGAGCTAGCAATAAAAAGTTGGAGTTATTAGGAAAAGGTATCCCTACGAAATTACTAAAACATCTCTCACCAGCCCTGGCCAGTTTGGCTCAGTTGGTAAAGCATCAGCCTGGGAACTGAAGGGTCCCGGGTTCAATTGTGGTCAAGAGCACATGCCCTGGTTGCCAGCTAGGTCCCCAGTAGGGGGCATGCAGAAGGCAACCAATCAATGATTCTCTCTCATCGATGTTTCTATTTCTCCCTCTCCCTCCCTCTCTGAAGTCAATAAAAAAGTAAAGAAAAAAATAAAGAAAGAAAAATAAATAAAACAGCTCTCACCAGCAAGAGAAATTGGCAAAGAAAGTAGGCATTTATCTACTTGGCAAAAACTTATGGGGGTGTATCACCTGTGAAAAGAAAAGTTAATCAGCATCATGTTTAGGAAGTCAAAACTCTAGCTAGAAAATAGATCTGAGGAAATAATCATCTAAATGCAGCACAGAGATAAAGATACAAAAAATATAATAAAAAAAGAGACACAGAGAATAGAGTCAGAAGTTCCAACATACATTCATAATAGGTGGATTGAAAATAGATACACTGAGAGTAGGGGCTATATTTGAAGTTATGACAGCTTTTTCAGAAGTGAGAAAAGCTATAGTTCCTCAGACGAACATACAATGTTCTTAGCAGAATAAATAACAGTTTGACATTGGTGGGTGTCTAAGACGCATCTCACAGTTAATATATCCAAAACAGAGGACTGCCATGCCTACCAGTTCTTTCCCCAGCATTACACATCTCAGCAATGCATCACCATCCATCTAGTTGTTCAAGGCAGAAATCTGGGCTTTTGGGTTTCTTCCATTTTCTCTCCTCTTCTCACTGAATTTACCATAAAGTTCTCTTCTTTGTACCTCCCCAAATATATTTCAAATTGCTGACCTTTTCTCCACCTCCATCTGCCTCAATCTTGGTTAAGGGACTAGCATTAATGACTAAAAATGAAAGGTGAATTGAAGAGGCAAGAGGGACAGCAGCGAGACCATTTCAGAAGATACTGCAATCACCTAGGCAACAGATGCTGGCTATCTCAGACCAGGGTGATATCAGGACAGATGGTGAGGACTGGTCCAGGTGTGCATATATTTTAAAGTAGAACCTGCAGGATTGATGGCTTACTCATGAGCACCTGGAAAGATGATAAAATAGTGAGTACCGGGAGAGGCCATTAGAGATGGGGTGGTCAGCGAAACTTTCTCTAAGGAGAAAGAAGAAGCCATCTATGGCAAGAACAGGGAAAGGAAGGAAAGCCTACAGGGTGGAGTTTGATGTATTAAAAACTGGGGGTGGGGAAACAATGCAGATGAAGTATAATGAACAAAGTGAATATGGTATGAAACCAGGGGGTGGGGGTGTCAAGTTCCAATCTGTGGTTTAGGAATGAGAAAATCATCAATGTGGTGGCCGGTCATTTTATCAAGAATAGGTTGAAAACAAGAGATGACCAAATTTCTTTATTTCTATGTTTAAGTGTTCAGCCCTGCAAATATTTGAGAAATGTTCCATTTGATGAGAATAATTTCAAAGCATAAGTTTTTCCCAAGATAGAATAATAGCAATGAATGGACATGAACATCAGTAAGCTTAGAGGCCCTAGTCTATATGGGAATTAGTGGACTCAAATACTCTTGAAAACCTGGGAAGTAAAGAAGAACAGAATCATAAGACGAGGCAGGATTACTATTCTAAATGAGCATTCTTTAGGCATTGGCTAAACTTGCTCGGGGACTGAAGATGTATGGATCCAAGCAAACGAGTATGTGTGACGTGGCTGTCAAAATCTAGTTCCAACTCTAACTGTGCCAGTAAAACACGATGTTCATGAACAAGAAAGTTATAATCATGCTCTAATGGGCTTATTTTCAGGTGCCACAATGAATAGAGACACGAATAAACTGGAGGGTGTCCAGAGGAGAGCTCCAAACAGAGGGAAGCTTTAGGGATAGAGTAATTAAGACGGGAGAAGACTCATAGGGATGTGTGGGGCTGCTCTTCATGATAAAAAGTGATCAGCAGATGGAAGGATTTGGGGAAGCAAGGGACAAAATTAGCAAGTAATTAGTTCTTAATTTCTCTCTAGACACTACATATTGAAGATGGCAAGAAAAAGGCTCAGATACACGATATAGGCAAATAGCCTTGGTGATCACTTCCAACTTTTGCATTTCTAACTACTTCATGATTCTACGACAGCCAACTGACTTCAGTGTTTAAGGAATGATCTGGTCTGGATAAAGTTCTTGTGAAGATTTTAACCAGGTAATGTACTGTTCTGTTTTGTTTTTGTTTACCTTACAAATGGAAACAAGCTTTTGTCCCTCCTGCTCAGATAGTTAAGCTGTTGACTCCAATTTCCACGAAGAAGTTTGTTTCCAGTCTAGACAGATAAATGTGGGTGGCTCAAAGTGTCTGAGACCAAATTATTCTTACATTGAAAGAACAGCAATAATCCCTAAATTGAGAACAAAACTCATAAAATACCTTAAAATTTACAGTCTATTTTCCCCCCATAGTCCTAAGTGAAAACATGGGGTACTTCTGTCTTTTATTCTAAAGTCTACCTTTACCGTAAAGAGGTACTCACCCTTTTGGCTGACGCTATCACTGCAAAGCAGGCGATAATTGTGAGTCCGATCATTATGTAACAGGCTTTCACTCGAGCCTTGTTTCTTGCGGCATCTATCATTTCTCGCCTGCATTAAGGTAAGTATCCTGTTAATTATATTAAAGCACTATGACTTTGTGACGGCATAATAGACGATGATTTGTAATGTAAACATTCCGAAAGCTTTCCCTGAATGCAAATCTAGATGTGAAAGACTTCCAAATGCTATGTCTTACCAATTTTAAATTAACAGGCATTTATTTAGGTGTTAACTAATGTTAGCCACTAGAAGCCAAAGTGTAGTATTTCTGCCGTAGACCAGTTCCAGCATGCCATAATTTCAAGAGTTTCATCAAAAGGTTGATGAGACTTGGGGACTCAACAGGGTTGAGTCACACATGTAGTCACCTGTTGGGAATGGCTAAAGGCACTTCCCCAAACCTGAATAGGAAACTGATTGTGGCTGCCAGACAGTTAAAGGGCATCTTAATCTACATGTTATTGCCTCCTACTGGCCAAACACCTGAACAGCCGTAGGCTATTTCCCAAACTGACAATGCTTCTGTACCCTTTGAAACCTTACCCTTTGAAGTGTATTATCTCCACCTTGCCTTAGGACAAATTGCGTTAATAAAAGCAAGGGTCCTAATTAAGGAGGCACTCTTCAGTTCCTTTAGCTAAAGGTCCTCTGACCCCCAATGCCTTTCAAAATTATATCTCGTCTCCGGACTCTCTATTAGTCTCTGGATTCCTATGTCATCTACGCACAGCCCCTTTTCCAGATTCCTGAACCCTTCTTGATGCTGGGACAAGAACTCCGGCAATTTCGTTTCTAATTGCTCAAAATATAACTACTAGAGATTGTGGCCTGACTCTCCATCCTTTTATTTTTTCCATTGGTGGTGTGTGTGTGTGTGTGTGTGTGTGCGCGCGTGTGGGTATGTGTGTGTGTATGTGTGTGTGTGTGTGGGGGGGAGTAAAGGTAAGAATTAAAGTGTCTGTATGCCTAAATCGTGTTCATTTGGTCCTTGTGTTATTAAGTGGCCTTTGTTTTCAGTCTTAAACAGACTGTTTTTTAAAACTCATTTTCATCATTTTGGCTTTTTGGTTTTTTTTACTGGCTTCCCAATCTCTTCTTGCCACCTCCTATCCTATCCCAATTAAAGAGACTATGATACGTTTTGTGAGATGACTATCATAATGTTATATTTTATATTTTTGGGAGAATAACTATAGAGGAAAGGTTTTTCCTTCATGGCTTTTGTATGAAGTTTTCAAAAGAAATGATTAAAATCATAATAATTTGTCAAAGAAAAGAGAAAAGATATCTTCATTTCTTATTATCATTCTGAAATGTTATATGCTTACTTGAAAACTGAGTACTCTTATTCATTAATAAAGTTGATGCAAGTTGTCGAAAATTTTAGATATACTACTCACAAAGTAGTGTTACAAAAATAATCTTGCCTGTAGGCCTTTTATATTGAAACTACAGACCAGTGCACAAAATTTGTGCATGTGGGTTGGGGGGTGGGTGGGGGGTTCCCTCAGCCCAGCCTGCACCCTCTTGCAATCCGGGACCCTTCGGGGGATGTCTGACTGCTGGTGGATCAGGCCTAAACTGGCAGTCAGACATCCCCCTTGCAATCCAGGACTGCTGGCTCCTAACCGCTCGCCTGCCTGCCTGCCTGATTGCCCCTAACTGCCTCTGCCTTGCCCCCCCTGCCGTGGCTTTGTCTGGAAGGACGTCCGAATGACATCTGGAAGGTTGTTTGGCTGTCTGGTCTAATTAGCATATTATGTTTTTATTATTATAGATCAACTTTAACAATTCATAATAATATGAAGTAGCAGTTTATAAATGCATAAAATTAAAAAGTGGTTCTTGAGAATGTATTCAACAGTATTCTTTCTTATCTAACGCAGTTACATTAAAAATTTTTTTTCATACAGACAAGATGCAGTTTCTCTTAAAAACTTTTCCACTACTTGAAAGAGCACAGAAAACCAATACCAAGCCTGTTAGCCTTAGATTTTAGGCAGATTAATATAAGTTTTAAGATGTTAGCTGCAAACAGGTGAATATAAAGACATTATTAGATTATATTTGTTGTTGACTGTTGTCCAGATGGAACCTAATAGATCTGATCTTTTTCATCCATTCATCTGACTTTCATCTACTATGCCAAATTAGTTTAACACTGAAGGAACAAGAAAAAGTACAGTTATTATTAAATTTCGTTAGTGTCTGGTACAAACTTGGTAATTATATGTTCCTTAAGAGCATAAAAACTGAACGCTGCTTACACTGTAAGTCTAACAGTTAGCAGAGGAGATGTATCCCTCCTAAGTAACAATACTTTTAAAAAACTATAGAAAATAGTAAAATGAAACCAATTCAAACATTTCATGTTCCCAACCCAAAACCATAATACTTTTCATAGGCATCTTGTTCAAACTAAAACTTCCCTGTTTATAAAACTACTTTTAACTGTAATCCTGGGGAAATAAAATTATTTCTGTAAAATGGGACTCTTTACACTTACAACTATTTTAATTCAATGCTGAGCCTAGAATCTCTTGACAAGCATTAATTTACAATAACACCGGTTCTTTACATTCTTGATTACTTGTTGCAGCACTACAACTCAAAACCCTCCCAAAAATAAAAATTAAAATTAAAAAGTGAGGGTAATGTTTTAGATTTGCTGAAGCTAAATTATGCTTTGGGCTGCCTGCAGTTTGGGGTGTATAAATCTCAAAGAAAATGTGTTTTATATTATTTAAATACGTCTCTGTGGAAAAATAAATGCTTAGAACAGATTTCAAATTCTATGTTATTTCAAATTCCAAGTCCATTCCTCATTAAATAATTTGACCCAAGCAAGGAATCTTTGAGCATTCATTATTGAGCGCACATATCCCAACACGTTTTATTTTTTCATTTAATGATGATGCTTTTGGTAACTAGTAAATTAACAAGCAATAAAAGTGTGGGTAGTATGTGCAGAACAAGATGTAGGCCCAGGTTTCATTCTTTATTCCAACAGGCATTGACCATCTTGCATAAAGATAATATACAGAACATCTAACGTCCTTATTTGACATTATAGCTCTAGTCTAGTCTATCTTTCAAATCAGTTTAAACATATTAGATTGATTTTATTCTTAGTTTCCTTCTTTCCCTTTTACCCACTCTCTTGCAAAAATGCTGGGAAGTTTTTTTGGGCTTTGCATGAACTGAAACTGCAGGGAGAATGTTCTGTACGGCCCTGGCTGGTTTGGTTCAGTGGGTAGAGCGTGGGCCTGCGGACTGAAAGGTCCCAGTTGATTCCAGTCAAGGGTACATGTCCGGGTTGTGGGCTCGAGCCCTAGTGGGGGGCGTGAGGCAGTCGATCAATGATTCTCTCTCATCACTGATGTTTCCATCTCTCTCTCTCTCCCTTCCTCTCTGAAATCAATAAAAATATTTTTTTTAAAAAAGAAAATAAACTGATCTTATTAAAAAAATGAATATTTTTTACAGGTTACATTTACCCTGGGGGTGAAGTTGTCAGCTTGTTTGATCATTTACCGAAGCTTTTGGGTGGGTTTGGGATGGCGCAGGGGCCAGCGATGCTCGGGGGAGCCTAGCCTGACTACACCCGCTGCTCAGAGGGGTGTAAAGCCACCACCACGCCAGGCGTCTCCCACCCACAAGAGGAGGTCGCTCGCATGCCGCTTCTTCCCGGAGATTCTCCAGCCAACACCCGGGCATGATCCTTCCTTGAGTTTGGCAGGGAGCCGACCCGGGCGCCCCGGTAGCCCCCCGGGGTGCCCGCGAGGACTGCGCCTCCTGTTGGGCCTCAAAGCTCCTCTGCCTCGGGGCTGGAGCTCGCTGCGGGCGGGGGCCTGAGCTTGGGGAGGTGCCCACTAACTCCTGGGGTTTCACGCAGCTTCTGCAAGCTCCCCGTAAGCTTAGCTGCCCACGTACAGCCAAGGACCTTGACCTCTAGCCGCGAGGGGGGCCTGGGTAAACGGCTGAAGGTGGCGGGTGTTCCCGCAGAGCACTGTGGCACTGCGGCCGCCTCCGCCCCGTGCGCCCGGGTCGGGGAGTGGATGGGCCCCGCACCCTGGAGTCCCGGCCGGACGGCTTTCCCCGACGCGGGAAACACCACCCGCGGCCCCGAACACACTCACGGGATCAGAGGCGGAATGTCCTCCATCGCTTTGAAGCGCCCGGTCCACAGCAGGATTTTCTTGTCGAATTGGGAAGGCTTGTGCTCGGCGGGGACCCTGTGAACCTTCCCGGCTGCCAAAGAGAGAGCCCCGCACCGCGGGTCAGCGCGCCGGCACCCCAGCCCGGCTCCCCGCCCGCCCGCCCGCCCGCAGCCCTCTCCCTCCCAGGCCATCCCCACCCCTCACTCACCCGGACCCTGGGGCCCAGAGCCGCCGGGGGTCCCGCCGCTAGAGAATCGGGGGAGACCCTGGGGCCGGAGAAGCGCGACCGACCGTCGGGCGGCTTCTCGAGGCGCCCCGGGGGCGCAGCGGAGGATGCGCCCGGGACGGAGGCGCAGGAGGCTCCCGGCGGTCGCGAGCATCGTGCGCCCTGCTCCCCGCCTGCAGCCGCGGGTCTAGCCTGAGCGCGAGCTCCTGCACCCGATCTTCTCGCCCCCCCTCCCCCCCTCCCACCCCCCCGCCCCGCGCTCCCAGGGGAGCCGGACGCAGCTGGGACCTCTGACGCGCGTCCTCTCGGCTCGCAGGCCCCGCCCCGGCGGCGACCGAGCCTGGGCAGTGCGACCCCAGCGCACGTTCCCTCTGCAGCCCGCCCCCCAAAGCTCTCAGCACCTAGGCAGTTTCCAGCGACTCACTGTACAGGCACGCCTTTCTCTGTATTTGAGTAGAAACGTGTTTCCATCCGGTTTGCACCCTTTGGTTCCACGTTTTGGTTTCCAAGAGGATAAATCTAACCCCCTCCTTCAAGTGCAGGACACTTCAAACGCTTCTCAGATAAGTGTGAGGACATCGACAAACTTCTGATTCTGCTTTTAGCTGCTCACTCCCCCCCCCCCAGGCTTTTCCTTTTTTCTAGGCAAAACGACCCCAGTTGTTGCAAAGTTTTTCTCCACCTCTTCATTTCTTAGTAAGACCACAGACTCTCCAAGCTTTCTTCAAAATGCGTCTTTCTTTTACCTTCCACCATCTTCCCTCTGCGAAAAGCAGGGAGAACCTAAGGTTCCCTGTGTCCAAATGGGAGCAGGGACTCCGAAAAGCGCTGTAGGAAAGCTGTCACTCTGGAGGAATTTACTTATTTTACTCATATTCCAGGGACAGCAGACCCAGCCCGCTCTGCAGACCCAGACCAGGCCCGGCTCGCCTCCTCTTGCTCAGTCTCTGAGGTTCCTTTCATACCTCGACATTGCCTTACACTTCACTTGGATCGCCAGATCTTTTTTCCCTTGATAACCAGATTGTCAGGCTCTTGAAGGCAAGATCTCTGCACCTCCAAGTGTCTTTCCCATAACTGTATTTAACAAAAGAAGACAGAGTCATATCTCTGTAAAGAAATACACATGTAGAGGAATCATTGTAGAAAGAACACGGGCTTTGCCCAGCGGGCCTGACTCAGTGGTTGAGCGTCAACCTATGAACCAGGAGGTCATGGTTTGATTCCCGGTCAGGGCATATGCCCAGGTTGCAGGCTTGGAGGTGTGCAGGAGGCAGCTGATCAATGACTCTCTCATCATTGATGTTTCTATCTCTCTCTCCCCGTCCTTTCCTCTCTGAAATTATACACACACACACACACACACACACACACACACACACATATATATCATGGGCTTTGTCTTCATATCAAGGTTTAAATCCCTGATTTCTGAGTTAAGAGTTGTACAATCATGTGCAAATCATTTAAGTCACTACTCTTGGTCTCACTTGTAAAACAAGGATTTCTATCTCTGGTGTTCATTCTTGCCATGCCTACAAAAAACCTACTATATCGGCTACCTCTGAGAGCTGGATAGAACCGTGAACAATGTCAAGGAGGGATTAGTAGGAAGAAAAAAAAAGCAGGATTAAAAAAGAAAACGCTGCAGGGGTGGGGTGGAAGCTATTTAGAAAGGACGATTAGGGATACCCCTTGAACATGTGCCGGCAGGAAATAGCACTTCAGAAAACGTTATGGTTTCTTTCCCTTCACATTTTTTGTTTAACTAAGTCCCACAACAAAAAGGCATTTTAATTCATGAAATCTCCTGTAAGGATTCTGTCTTATTCACCACTATGTCCCCAGGAGATAGCTGGGAATTTGGCATTTAGTAGATACTAAATAAGTATTTGTTAAATAAATGCATTCATGCATACACATCTTCAGAAGCCTCCACCTGGGCTGGTTTAAGACTGAAAATGTGTGATGTGCTGCACAGGAACTGAGTGAATGCATGAACTGAGTGCATTCCCGCCTGGCAAAGAACGCGGCCAGACATAACATTTGATTGTCTCAGGAATATGCTACTTGACAATTCTCCCGTTATTCAATTGTGGTTTTTTTTTAAATATTTTATTTTTTGTCATGTCATAGCCATAGAGCTAGAGAAAAACATCTCTGCCAAACAACCAATCATTGATAGCTCACCAAGGAATACTAAGTTAGCTAAATAAGTTTATTTCCCTGGAGAGAACAGAATGTCAGGCATCTACACACGATTTTTCTATCTCAAGTTTCCTAGCATTGCAGGACAGGCAAGAGAATAAGGGCTTATGTCATGAGAGAAAGAACAATTTCCATTCTATTCTCTATTCCTGATGGGATTAAAATATCACTCTTTGGCAGTGTTCCACATAAAAAATTACTTCCATATGCATGAGAGATGTTTTCTTTGGTTCTAGAACTGGAACAAATAATAATAATAAAAAAGACTCAAATCAACTTCGAATCCAAAAAAAAAGCTAATTGTCTGTCTCCCTCCCTTCCTCCCTCCCTCCCTCCCTCCCTCCCTCCCTCCCTCCCTCCCTCCCTCCCTCCCTCCCTCCCTTCCTTCCTTCCTTCCTTCCTTCCTTCCTTCCTTCCTTCCTTCCTTCCTTCTTTCCGGGATAGCATTGAGTGTCCCCTGTGTGCCGGGCCACTGTTCTAGGCTCAGAGGTTATAGCAGGTAAACACACAAAAATCCTTGCCCCTCACAAAGTTTATTAATCCATGGTGTTTTCAGTTTAACCATTCTGGACTGTATTGTTTTTCAGCCCTAGGACTCATCTGATTTGTATATGTATTTTCAGTTTTGTTCCTTCAAGCTTTGTTTTTGGTTAGAATGGTTTATGCTTCCATTTCTTACAGTTTATTAGTTACTTCCTAAGATATACTGTTGTAACCAGGAATATATTTTATATAAAGTCATTATGGAGGCTGAATGGAAAGTGTGGATCATTTTCAAGCTATTATTATTTTTTATTTTTAAAAGCTACTGTGTGCTGGACAGGAAATGCAAAGATTGCTACAGAGCTGTCCTTGAGAAGCTCCCAGTCTCACTGGGATAGTCCCTCACCAGGAAATGCCTGCTCCTAAAGGAGGGGCTGGGGGGACCTTAACTAACTTGTTTCCCAAACCCTGAGTAGTCTCTCTGTAGGGAAGGTTTTAAAGTGGCAGTTTACCTGCAGACACAGCTCACAGTGGTCTCCAGTGCTTGGGGCAACTTTACCAATGGGTGGTCTAGGTGAGAGCCAATTACTCACTAGGTACTAAGCATAGGCATTGTACACTAGCAAAAGCTCAACATGACATCTCCAAAACCACGAATGAGCTCCTACATCAGCTCTTCATGTTATTCTCTTAATTACCATTTTCATTGCTGTAGTTTAGTCTTTTATTCTCTCTCAACCATCTACTAGTATATATATAAAACCCTAATATGCAAATAGACTGAACGGCAGAACAGCTGAACAACCGGTCGCTATGACGTGCACTGACCACCAGGGGGGTGCGTGCAGAACATAGCGGCATTGGCAGCAGGCAGCAGAGCACGGAACATGGCGGACATCGGCTGCGGCAGGATGGTGGAGTATGTGAGTGGGGGCGCCAGACCAAGGCAGTGCGCCCATCACTGTCATTGGAGAGAGCCTCTGGTGGTTACTGAAAATTCTTTGCTCCTGTGTGATGTGGTCCCACCAAGTGCTTGCACCTGCTGCTGGTGCCGGCCCTGCTCGCAACTGCTGCCTGCACCGGAGCCGGAGCTGCCGCTCGCACCCGCTGCTTCCATCAGCCCCAACTGCTCCGCATCGTCAGCGGGTGCGAGCGGTGGCTGCCGGCCCTGATCATCCCTCAGGAGCAGCCTCCCCTGCTTCTGAGGGGTGATAGGGGCTGGCAGCCACCTCTTGCACCCGCTGCCAGCGATAGCTCGCTTGCACTCGCTGCCAGTGCCAGAGTCACTGCTTGCACCCACTGCTGGTGCTGCCCCGCTCACACCCGCAGCTGGTGCAAGCAGGGCTAGCGCTGTCAGTGTGTGGGAGTGGCAGCGGGAATGGGGCTGCTGGCAGACAGGGGACCTGGGGCTGTGGTGGGAGGGGCCAGGCAGGGGTGTGGAGAATGGGCCGAGACCCACCCCTATGCCCACCACAGCCTTGTGGCCCATAGTTCCTTTCAAGGTGCACAAATTCATGCACTGGGCCCCTAGTCTATAATAATAAAAGTGCAATATGCCAATTAGACCGGACAGCTGAGCGACCTTCCAGATGTCCTTCTGGATGACCTTCTGGACCAAGCTGGGGCTGTGAGGGCCAAGCCCCTTGCATGAACTTCTTGCATCGGGCCTCTACTAGTATTATAATGACCTCCAAAGTATTTTCCCATCTCTGGTCAATTCTTTCTCCAATCCTTTCTCTGCCTAGCCTCAGAGATAGTTTTACATGCAATCATGTCAAACTTTCATGGTGCCAATCTCTTCCCTATTCTGTCTCTAACCCTGCACCCCATACCCCTAACCACAGACTGCAAACACAACTCTGAAAAAATCATAATGAGGCACATAGAATTCTTTCCAAGCCTCCTGCTTTGATATTTTGCACAGTCCGATTCAAAATTTTCTGCCCTTGTCATATCTGCAGACATTTAAAATGTCACTAACCACAGGTAGGGAGGTCACATTGAGTTACTCTGTGCTAATAGTGATGCACGGCGGCTATCAACTAACATCACAGTTGTTCTTGGACGACTGGGTAAGCACTGTGTGTGTGACCAGTGCTCATCAGGGCATGGCTGAGTTCTGACTGGTTGAGTTACTTGACTCACTGGTCTAGACATTAATCTGAGAAATACATACAGAGGAAAACAGGTTGGATTAACTGCTCCCTGACCTGTTCAAAGCCTTTTGTGTTTTCCATACCACATAGATTTTATTTATTTATTTTTATTATATTGATTTTTTTCAAACTATAGAGAACGTTTATTTAGAAAGTCACAGAGGTGGAAACAAGTTACAGAGGCAAAAGAAGGGACCTTTGAGCTTAGGAGAGAGAGAGAGAGAGAGAGAGAGAGAGAGAGAGAGAGAGAGAGAGAGAGAGAAGGAAACCCCTCTGGGGGAAGGGATTTGGGGAGGAATGGGCTAGGGAAAGGCATGGGCATGTTCCATAGCAAATCTGAAATGCATGCATATATAAATAAGTACTGTTTA